CCGGAACTTCCCAGAGGCGGTGCTCAAGGTGGGCGGGGCCCGGTGGGGGGGTGGGGGCAGGGCCGGAGCGTCCTCTGACCTCCTCCGACCTCCTCGCCCCCAGGAGCGGCACCACACGAAGGTGCAGTACCAGCTGAAGTCCGAGCGCATCTCGCTGGCACAAGTGTTCAGCAAGATGGAGCAGGTGGTGGGCGTGCTGGGCATCGAGGACTACTCGGTCAGCCAGACCACCCTGGACAACGTGAGTACCGGGCTGGGGGCACTGACCGCCAGGCCCTCCCCCACCTACCCTCTGCCTCTCTGCCCACCAGGTGTTTGTGAACTTCGCCAAGAAGCAGAGCGACAACTTGGAGCAGCAGGAGACAGAGCCACCCTCGGCCCTGCAGTCCCCTCTGGGCCGCCTGTTCAGCCTGTTCCGGCCCCGGCCCACACCCACCGAGCTGCGGGCGCTTGTGGCCGAGGAGCCCGAGGACCTGGACACGGACGACGAGGGCCTCATTAGCTTCGAGGAGGAACGGGTGAGCGGGGCCCAAGGGGCAGGTCAGGGTGGCCAGGCTGGCGGAGGCTGCGGAGGCGGGGTTGATGGCCACAGGGACTGCTGCCGGCTGGAGCTCCAGGGGACGGCAGGGCCCGAGAATGCACGTGGGCACAGGCTGGGGAGACAGACCCACTGCCGGCTCTCCTCGGTGGGGAGACAGGGACATGGAGGGAGGGGCCTTGGAGACAGGCAGGATGGGCAGGGACACTAGGTGGAGCAGGGCCTCCCCCCCGGGAGAGCTCAGGGAGGGCGGCGGGAGGAGGTGGCAGAGACCATGTCCAGTCCTGGGGTGGGGCAGTGCTGGGTGCAGACACATCCCTGAGCCCGCCCACCCTCCGCCAGGCCCAGCTCTCCTTCAACACGGACACACTCTGCTGACCACCAGGAGCCAGCTTACGGACACAATGGAGGGGCAGGAGTCAGAGGGTGGCCAAGGCCCCACTCTGTGCCCCCAGTGCCCTGCTCCCCAGGCCCCGGAGTGGAAGGTCTAGGACCAAGGGCTTCACGCCTCTCCAGCCCTCTGCCCTCTGTCCAGGCCGCGCTCCCCTCATTGTGCCAAAGGCCGGCTGGCCCTGGGCCACGATGCCCTCACCCTGCTCTGCCTTAAAGCCCAGCTCTGCCCGCCGCCCCTGGGGTGACAAGGCTGCCAGGCACACGGGACCCCGTCCTGGTAGGGGACCTGGCTTCCCAGACTGGCTTCTCTCTTGCACCCTGTTTGGAAAGAAGGGGGCTGCCGCGGGCCTAGGGCTGAGGGTGGGCAGGGTTAGGTCCCAGCCCACCTCCTATTTATTTTGCTTTAAGTGGGGGTGCACTCACCCTGCTTCCGTGCTGGGGACCAGGGAGGGGCTGCCTTGGGGCAAGGGGCTGGGTACCAGGAACAGCACAGCCAGCCCCACTGGCCGGCAGCGGCTGCAGGCCCCTCGCCACCCCCTCAGCTCCCCCTGCTCCCCCACCCAGCTTGGCACCCGCCCCCCCGGGGACCTGTATATACCGCACAGATGTTTGTTTTAAGTAAATAAACAAAAAAGTCTACTCAAGCCTGCGTGCGTGGGCTCGGGTGTTGGGGGGACAGGGGCCCCTGCTGGGCAGGCTCGTCTGCAAAGTCCGGGAGGACAAGCCCTGCACGGGGGGCAGGGGCAGCAGGGGCAGCCGGGGGCAGGGGCAGGGCTCCACGCCCCTCTAAGCCTGGCGCCGCAGGTGGGGAGACTGAGGCAGGGGCTGTCCGCCACTCCCCCCCCCACTCCCTCGGCCTGGGCTCCCGGCGCTCGGGTTTCTGTGGACAGCGGGTCTGCTGGGCGGTCTCCGTCTCATCCTGGCCACGGGAGGGCTTCCGGGAGGAGGCGATGTCTGGGCTGAAACCCAAGTCCAGGTGGGAGTGCATGCAAAGGTTGGAGGTGGCACGGAGGCTCCCAGGCCCTGGCTCAAGGAGCCTGGAGGTGGCGCGGTCACAAGGAAAGGTCCTGGAGCCTGTCCCCTTGCACTGGGCCATCGTCAGTCTCCCTCTTTAGGTGCTTCAGGGGGAGTAGAAGGGACATAGATGCCCCGAGAGGGTGGAGGGACGCTGATCTGCTTGTCCCTGTTCACCCAGGTGGGGCCGCAAAGCGGTGACCCCCCGCCGACCCCGCCTTCCTGCATTTACAGCAGCTGTCCTCTCTCACGAAGAGCTCCTCCGCTTTCAGAAATAATCGCTGGGGACGTTGTGGGTTTAAAAAATACGTGCTTGTGTGTCACTGTCATCTTTAAAAATAAAAGATTTTATTTCTGGGAGGAGAAGAGAGGGAGAGAAACATCAGTGTGTGATTGACTCTCACACACCCCCTCCTGGGGAACTGGCCTGCAACCCAGGCATGTGCCCTGACTGGGAATCGAACCAGCGATCCTTTGGTTCACAGGCCGGTGCTCAGTCCACTGAGCCACAGCAGCTGGGGCCTTTATTCTCATCTTTTAAAATGTTTTATTGTGGTCAAATAGTCAAAATACTGTTTCAACAGTTTGTACAATTTCGTCATATTTTTTATGCTCAAAAGGCCCCAGACTCAGCTAGTGGGAGTCCTTCCACAGCGGCTGCTCGTCCCTTTGACGTGTCCTCCTTTTTGTATGTAGCACTGCCTCGCTTGCAACACTCCCCAGCCCCCCCCTAGGCCTGGATTCAGCCATTTCTCCAAGGGGCCCTGGTTCCCTTAAGCGGGGGTCCTTGTTGGAGCCCCCGATGTGAGCCCTGGGTGTGCTCACTGCTGCAGGGGTCACTCCTCCTCCGCCCTCTCAGAGGGCAGAGCTCGGAAGTCCCCGTCCAGGTTGCTGCTAAGACCCCCGCCCAGCCCGCATCCCCTCCCTGCCCCGGACAAGCCTGTTCGCCTGCAGAGCAGCTTTTGCCACCTCGCTGGGGGGGACCGCAGACAGGGCTCAGGCCAGGGGTTTCTGCACGCGGAAGGGCTGGGCCAGCAGCCGAGGGCCCTGGTGGCCAGCGCTCAGGGCTGCTCTGTGGGTGGGCAGGGGAGGTTCAGAGACACCCGCCTGGCCCTGGTGGGTCATGGGTGCTGCCATCAGTTTTGGTGACCGTGAGTTGCTGGTCTCTCCTCTTTAAACAGTCACTCTGGAGAGCTGGCAAAAAAGCAAATGGTCAGATGGATGAGGCTCCCTCACTGGTGGTGGTACCCACTGGAGGTCACCTGCAGGTGGCTCCTCCATCCTTCCCACACGTATGCAGGCACGGGCCCGGGGTGACAAGGACAGACCCTCATGCTTCACATGTCCCAGTTTCTGGGGTTCCCCCCATGTGCACCAGGCCCCTGGGGCTGCCAGATGAATGACTGGAGACTCACAAAAGGGAACACTGTCCCTCCTCCAGCCTAAAGGCCAGGGGCCCATTCCTGCTCCCTGCTGCTGAGGCCGGCCATTCCCCACATCTCAGTTCCTTGACTCACCCCAGACCTCAGCCCCCCTGCACACAGTGTTCGCCCTGGGGACGCATCTGTGTCCACACTCCCCGTTTTGATGAGGCCGGTCCTGACCTCACGAAACTTCATCACACCTTCAAGAACCCCCACCCCCGCCTCCAAATACGGTCCCATTGCAAGGTGCTGGCAGCTGGGACTTCAACACATGGATTTGGGAGACAGTGCTCAGCCCGTGACACTGCGACCCCCCCCCGACCGCTGAGACACCCCCCCGTGGGTGCACACCATGTATGCATCCCAAGGACACCCCCGGGCCAGTTCTCCAGGCTGCCAGCACCGCGACCCAGACTGTGCTGCTTCCCCAACACCACAGCCAAGGATGCGACCCCCTGGGCCGGCTCGCAGCAGCCACGGCCTTGTTCTGGTCTGTTTCTTGCGGGAAGTGGGTGGAGAGGCACGCTCTCGCGTGGCTTTTTTGCAGACGTCTAAGGGTTTTCTCACACACTGGACGTGTGGTGAGGAGGGCCCTCAAGCCTTCTCCGGGACAGTAGTTTGTAGGGGGGAAGGGGCGCAGGAACCAAGTGGGGCAAGCCCCCCTTTCATGGAGGAGCCCCTGCAATCCCAGCCGGTGGAGGGGAGTCCGCCCCAGGCTGGCGGAGCGGCCTCTGCCTGGAAGCCCTGACAGTGTCCGGGAAGGTGCCCTCAGACCCCGTCCCAGGAGAGACCTGGGAAAGCGAAGAAGCCAGGCAGATCCTTCTCTCTGCCACTGGGTGGCGCTGAACTCCTGTGGGCCCCTCCCTTGGGGTACCCCTGCGGCTGCCCCCCCACTGGTGGTGTGGGAGAGGTGTGGCAAGCCACCCTTTCCGGGTGGGCAGGTGCACACCTGTGGGCTGGCAGGCTCCCAGACCTCCTCCGGCCGAGGACAGTGTGGGCTGATCCCACAGGTCAGAAGGTTATGGCTTCTAACCGCCCCCCTGGTTCCTCCTTTTAAAGGTTAAGAGCAGAAAGAATCTTGCCCTGAGCCCCTGGGGAGGGGCCAGGGGTGTGGGGTGCACTGGGTGGATGCCTGGGCCAGGCAGGCCTCCCAGGGGCAAGTCCGGAATGCAGGCCCTGCCCAGCCAGTGGGAGAGGGCCTCCCTTCCAAGTGGTGGCTTATCAGTCTTGTCATTTCCTGGTAGGAGATGGGGAAACTGAGGCAGGGGCCAAGCTATGCACTTCTCCTACACACTGCTCCCCAGCTTCCTGGGCCCCAGGCCCCACCAGACCCCGGATGTCCACCTCAGGAGGGCAGAGGTGCTCCTGGCGGGGGTGACTGGGTCCAGAGCTGCCCCCTCCCAGGCTGAGGCCCCTCTCCCCGAGCCTCCAGCCCACTGCGCCACCCCCCACAGGGTGCTCAGGTCCCCAGCTTTCCTTGGTGGCAGGCCCTTCCACTTGGCCCCACCGTGGTCACACCCTCCTGCTGGGGCACAGCCGCACCAGCCTGATCCTCCCTCTTAGGTGACTCCCGGGGCGGGCCCTGGGCTGGGGAGGGCGGGTGCCCAGGGAGCCTTAAAGAGCCCCAGGTCCCTGCCCTGCCCGCACCGCTGCAGCTCCCACCATGGCTGAGACGGCGAAGCTCCAGCTGTTCGTCAAGGTGCCGGGCCAACTAGGCTGGGGGAGGCCTTGGGGAGGGGCTTCTCTGTGGGGTTCCACTTTCTGGGGTGGCTCAGGGTGGGGTCTCGTCTGTGGCAGGACCCCAGCAGCCCTACAGAGACTGGGTGAAGTGGGCTCAGCCTGGGGGGGGAAGGGCCAAGGGGTCATCCTCCAAAGGAGCAGGGACAGCCCTGTCCCACACCCAGCCTGGGCCCCTGGGCGCACGCAGCCCAGCTGTCCTGGAGAAAAAGCCCGTCCGTGGGGAGGTGCCAGCCAGGCAGCGGGTGGGACTGGGGTCAGTGCAGCAGGGAGGTGCTGAACCTGCCAGCCCTATGGGGGTCCAGGTCTGGGGAGCCCCTCCCCACCTTTGGGGTGCGGGGCAGCTAGTGCTGTGGCCTGTGAGCCCATCTGGCATGTGAATCACTCAGAAAGCAGCTCCCTCTGCGCACCCCACCTCTGAGCCCAGCCCGAGCTGCCTGGAGCCGGGGCTCTGGCCCCTGCCCAGGCTCTTCAGATAAGGGTTGAAGGGCCTGGCCCTGAGCCAGGCTCCCACCCCACGCTGGGTACCGGCCCTCAGTTCCCAGGCTTCCAGCAGCTCCGAGTCCCTCCCCAGCCTCTAGGGACCAAGTCAAGGGCCCTCACCAGCCACTCGCCAAGGCCGTGTCCACCTGAGCTGGAACCCTGGCACAGCACCAGCCTCTTGGCAGTGGGAAGCCAGGAGCCACCCAGCTGGGTGGCAGGATTCCTGGGTCCGCTCCCGGCCCTGACACCCCTCCACCCCACCCACCCCAGGCGAGCGAGGACGGTGAGAGTGTGGGGCACTGCCCTTCCTGCCAGAGGCTGTTCATGATCCTGCTCCTCAAGGGCGTGCCCTTCACCCTCACTACAGTGGACACACGCAGGTGAGCCCCCTGCCCCCCAGGGAACCTTTTCAGGCCTCTGCCCCACTCCCAGAGCCACGACCTCCCCTCCCTCACGGCCACAGGTCCCTGGATGTGCTGAAGGACTTCGCGCCCGGCTCGCAGCTGCCCATCCTGCTCTATGATGGGGAGGCCAAGACAGACACGCTGCAGATCGAGGAGTTTCTGGAGGAGACACTGGGGCCCCCCGAGTGAGAGCCTGGGCACAGCAGCAGAAGCAAAGACTGGGGCCCAGAGAGGGCACTGTGGGGCTGGCGGGGACGGTGCCCTGGCACAAGAGTCTGACCCACTGTTCCCATCTACTCGCCCCCACCCCAGATTTCCCAGCCTGACGCCCTGCTACAGAGAGTCCACCATGGCGGGCAGTGATGTCTTTCACAAGTTCTCCACATTTATCAAGAACCCAGTGCCCACGCAGGACGATGGTGAAGAGGGTGGGAAGCCGCAGTGAGGGTGGGGGGTTGTGTTCCAGCCCCAGTCCTCAACAGCCCCCACCCCCGCCAGCCCTGTACCAGCAGCTGCTGCGCGCCCTCGCCAGGCTGGACAGCTACCTGCGCGCACCCCTGGAACACGAACTGGTCCGGGAGCCACAGCTGCGGGAGTCGCGCCGCCGTTTCCTGGACGGCGACCAGCTCACACTGGCCGACTGCGGCCTGCTGCCCAAGCTCTACATAGTGGACGTAAGTGTGGGCCTGCGGGCGGGTGGCCGGAGCGTGCAGGTGGGTGGGGCACGTCCTGGAAGAGACCCTGATGCGCCTTCTCCCCTTGCCCACCTGCAGACGGTGTGCGCGCACTTCCGCCATGCGCCCATCCCAGACCAGCTGCGAGGCATCCGCCACTACCTGGACAGCGCGCTGCAGGAGAAAGAGTTCAAGTACACGTGTCCGCACAGCTCGGAGATCCTGGCGGCCTACCGGCCCGTCGTACACCCCCGCTAGTGCCCCCGCCTCTGCTGCCGCCTCTGCGCACTTGTCTGCAGCCCCTTAAAGCCAACTCCCATGAGCATGTCCGCACATCCCAGGGACCAGAGGGCCCGATTTTTGCCACCCCTAAGCCCCCACTGTGGCCTGCTGTTCCAGATGACAGCCCAGAATGACGTGGCAGAGAGGCCAGTAGGTGGGGCACGGCCCCTCCCATTCGTCAGGGATGACAGGGACTGGATGGAGCTCCCAAACCAGTCAGGCCAGGGCGCAGCGTTGGGGTGGCCGAGGAGGGTGGGGAGCAGAGCCCAGCCTGGGCAATTCAGGGCTCCAAGCCAGTGGGTGGGGTGGCCCACATTCCTCAGCCCCACCCCAGCTGGCAGGCCCCCCCCACCATCTCCTGCAGGACATCCCGTGTGCTTGGTATGGGGTGGTCGAAGCCATGTCCTGCTTTGTGGGGGTCTGGAAGGGGTGTGCACCCATGGGGTGGGAGGATCCCAGCCCTGGGAGCCCGGACCCTGCCCTGCATGGCCCTCTTGGCCCCCAGGCTGGTTGGGAGAGCCTGGCGGCACCTCCCCAGGGATGCAGGGCCTGGCATCTCTGTTACCTCCTGTGGCCACACACCCAGATTGCAGTGGGCGGGAGACACCTGACCTCTCCCCCAGCCAGCCCCCCGGGAGCCACAGGCTGGCCGTGCCCTCTGCCTGAGAAATCCATTTATTTGATGAGGAAGGAGCTCAGAGAAGCAGGCTTCTTCTGGCTGGGCGGCAGGACGGGTGACGTGGGGTCTTGGGGGCCGCACCCCTCTCACAGACAAGATCCTGGCAGGGTCACTTTTTTGCGGCACGGTCAGAGGTCATCAAAATTCACACCACTGGCTCGTTTCTTACTGGGAGAAAAAAGGAGGTGACATTATGGGGGTATGGAGAGATGGGCAGAGTCCAGGGCTGGACCCTGGGCATGGGAGGGATGGGCGGAGGGGGGGCACCTTTTGAAGCCAGGGTTGATGAGGGACTCGCCAGGACATCGCCTCCTGACCCCAGGTCCAGGGCAGCCTCTCTGAGAATCTGGATCTAGGGAAAGCAGGATGGGGGTGGGTGCACCTGAATGCAGTAGGATCCCAGGGCCACAGCCACCTCTCCACGTAGACAGAGTGCTTCCCTGGAGCGTGAGACTTATTATGGGGAAACTGAGTCAAAGTAGACCGAGTACAGCCCCAGCCCAAGTCACAGGCGAGAGGGCTACCTGGTAGGAACTGCTGAGGCCCCACTGGCCGAGGGCTCTTCCTGGGGCTGGCGGCCATCTCTTCCACAGCTGGGGGAAAAGCCAGGCATGAAGGCACGGGCAGGGGGCGCCCGGGGAGGCTGCGGGTACCCACCCCCTGAGCCTACATGCCAGCTGCCGCTCCAAGCTGCACACGCGCTCTGCCAGGCCCAGAGTCAGTGCCTGCAGCCTGGGGGCCGCCTCTGGGCCTGGCACTTTGGAGAGCTCAAAGTCCAGTGTGGAGGGCCCCCCAGAGATGGTCAGGGATGCTGCGTCCTCCTGAGGAGTGAAAGTCACAGCTTGCTGCTTGAAGACTGCCCTGGGAAAGAAGGGGTTCTGAGTGCTGTGGCCAGGCCCACTGGCCCCCGACCTACCCTTTCTACCTGCTCGGGGCTCACCTGAACCGGGGAGTGACGTCCTCCGCCGCACTCAGGCCAAAATGGGCTTTCTACGGGACACGGGGGCTGGTCACCATCTCGCCTTGAATTTAGACCCAGTGGCGACACCCCAAACCTGCCCGACCTAGTGCCACCCGGGACCCCAAGCCCATCTCAGGCTACAACTACAGAGCCCAGGGAAGGGTGCCCGGCCCCCTTTCGGGGAGTCCCAGACAGCCCCCTTCCATCCCACGAGTGGTCCGTCCTGCAGGCATGGGGTGCTGGGGCTGCTGGGCCCGCCCGGGCGCCCCGTTACCCACGAGGGTCGCCAGGCCTTCCGACGTCAAGCAGGTGCTCCAGAGCTCCGCGGCGTCCGTCACACTGCGGGGGAGGGGCTGTCAGGCGGCCCCGCCCACAGAGCTGCCTGCGCCCCCTGCGCCCCCTGCGCCCCCTGCGCCCCGCGGACCCGTCACTCACTAGAGGTTGAAGCCGCCCTGGCCACTATCCCCAGCTGCCTTCTCCTCCTCGCAGTAGCATATGAAGCGCGGGGGCCCGGGGCCCGGCGGCAACGTGCAGAGAGGCGGTGGTAGCGGCGGCAGCGGCGGGACCATTGTTCTTCTGACAGCCGCGGGGCCGACAGGGGACGGCCTACGGCTGCGGGACCAGGGCGCCTGCGCTAGTCGGCCGTTGCCGGAACCGGGGGCGGGGCTTGCACCAGTGGGCGGATCCTAGGGGCGGGCGCCAAGCCGACCGGGACCTGAGAGGGTCGGGGCTTAGGGCCTCGGCCGGGCTCCGAAAGACCTTAGACCGGCGCGGGGCTGACAGAGCACAGCGGGCAGAGCTTAGGGCGCTGGGCGGTGCTATGTGGGCGGTGCTTAGTCACAGGGCGGTGCCTAGGGCCAGGGTTAAGTCATGGGGTGGGACCTGCGTCGCTAGGGGCAGGGCTCCTGGGATGGGCGGGTTGAGCCCCAGCCAAAAAGCGCGGTCAGGGCTCCAGTCCTGTTTTCCGGCTTTACTCCCGTGCACTCCCGCCGTCCCCGCTGAGCCCCGGGTTCCCGCCTTTGCATGCAGATCTCTCCACACCCAGTCTCTCTCACCCTCGCCTTTAGATACAAACGCAAAGCTTCCTAATGCTGAACAAGTCAAAATACGAAACTGAATAAACTATGGCAACCAGGCAGAAAACTTCCTTCACTCATTTGTCCATTCCTTCGTGTTCCCGGCCTGGAGCACACTTTGACCGCCTTCTGAGATCCAATAGGTGGTCAAATAAACGCAGGAAACACGAAACTCTTAGGTAGTGCCGGGTGCCCTCTGAGCCGGAGGAAGAGCAGGTGGGGCACCCAGGGGGATCCCAGGCAGAGGGGCGGCTCCGCAGAAGTCCCACAGCGGGCTTCGCAAGACGGCTAGGGTGACCACGTGGTGGCAATAGGGAGGACGGCATGGCTAACATATCCCTAGTCTGCCGTCGGCCAGGCCAGTCTCATCTCCCACTTCCTGGTTCACAACCTTCATTCCCGGGGAGGCTCTGCCACAGGACCTTTGCTCATGCTGCTTCTGCCTTTCCTCAGACTCACACACTTGCTTCAGGTCCCTACTCAGAAGCCACCCTCTCAGTAAGGCCTTCCCTAGTCACTTTATATGCAATGTCAGGATGCTGCCCAACACCTCACGTCCTGTTTTATTTACTGTTCCCCACACATGCCACTGCGTGAAGTACATTCTGGGTTGCTGACTGGCCCCAGCCTCTAAGATGGCCCCCAGCTATCCCCATCCTGTGTTTGTACCTTTGTGGATCCCTCCCCCAAGCTTGGGTCCCACTGAGCAACCTGCTTCGAGCCAATAAAATATGGCAGAAGTGGGGGCCAGTCACTTCCTCCTCCTTCTTGAGTTGCTCCCCATGACACGAGGCAGCCCTGTGGAGACACCCATGGGACAAAGGAACCAGGCCTGCCAAAAGCAGTGAGGGGCAGGACTCAGCCCCCTCCCAGCTGAGCCTGGGTCAGCATCTCGGCTGCGGTCTTGTGCCGGGGGACCCAGGTCGCCAGGCCCAGACTCTTGAACCCAGAAACAGGGAGATGACACCTGCTTGCCATTTTCAGTTGCCAGGTTTTGGGGTGGTTTGCACCTGAGCAGTGGGGGATTAACACACATTTTTGTCCTGTTGATCGCCCGGTTCTGTCTTATTTGCCGCTGTGTCCTCGGTGCTTAAACAGCAATGTAGAGATTTTCGGTGCTGCGGGAAGGTTGCAGCGTGGGAAGGTTGAAGCAGGGGCAGGGGAGGCACGCCTGATTTGTGTGTGAAGCCCCACTGAGCACCGGGAGGAGAGGGGACTGTGGCTGCTGAGTCCCTGGGGGCAGAGCTGATGGAGGCTGGGAGGGGCTCCGAGGGAGGTGCAGAGGGGAAATGCCCTTCCTGAGGCCATGGATCTGGGCCCCTACGCAGAGCATGAGGGGCCCCCTGCTGTGTCCTGTCAGCTCTTCCGTGTGGCTGGGTGTCTGATGGAGACAGTGAAGGCTGCTGAGCACAAAAGACTCTGGTCTAGCAGGAGGAGCCGGTCCAGAGATGTGGCTACGGAGCCACCAGCCCCAGGACCGGCTTAAACCTTAGCCCCTCCAGGCCCAGCACCCAGGACCTCAGCAGGACATGGTGGGCAGCACCACGACCCCTAAGGGTGTTGGGGCCTGGCCTTCAAACCTGTGAGTGTTCATTTGTATGGAAAAGGGTTTGTACAGAAGTGGTTCGGCGACAGATCTTGAGAGGGGGAGACTGACCTGTGCTACCTGGATGGGCCCTGAATGTCGTCATAGGAGCGGCAGAGGGGACTTCACCGAGCAGGAGAGAGGCCGTGTGGCCACGGGGCAGCGGCTGGGTGGAGTGAGCAGCTCCAGCCAAGGACAGCAGCGGCCACCAGAAGGTGGAAAAGCCACGGAGGGTCCTCTGCTGGGCCCTGTTGCCGGCTCGATCCCAGCCCTGGGAGACAAGCTTGGGCTTCCGGCCTCTAAAAATGGCACAAGAATAAATGTGTGTTCCAAGCCACCAAGCTTGTAACAAATTGTCACGGCAGCCACGGGACATTAAAGCAAGTCCTGCCACAAACGCTGGTTCCAAAACATGACAAGAACACTGCAAAATCTAAATCCCAAAAAGGTACGCAAAAATCTAGAAAATGTAACAAAACCTGTCTTCAAGTCCTCAGGCCTTCCACAAGGGGCCATCCTGCGCGATGGGGCTGCGGGTACAGCTAAGGGCAGGGCGAGCAGTAGGCAGGGCCTCAAAGACGCAGGAGGAGAGGGCCCAGGAGGTCTTTGGGCAGCCTGGGCGCCTGGCCAGTGTGTGAGGGAGGGAAGGGCAGACGGGCACAGGGCATGGCGCGCCGAGCAGCACAGCAAAGCAAAGGGGGCCGTGGAGCAACTACAGACATTGGAGGGCAGCTGGGGCTGGGGGTCCCAGAGGTCTTAGGAAGGACCACGTGGGTGGTATTTGAGCAAAAGAGTTCAGAGGAGCGGAGAAAGCCAGCAGAGTGTGGAACTGGGAGAACATTCGGAACAGGGGCAGCTCGTGCAAAGGCCCTGAGGCGGGCATGGGGCTGGTGTGCTCAAGAGCCCTGAAGAGGTCAGCACAGGGAGGTAGGCAGTGGAGTCAGTGCAGGGCCGAACAGGAAGGGGCTTGCTGGCCACCTAAGGGCTTTGCCCTTTATTCTCGGTGACATGGGACCCACTGTGGGCAGTTTTGAGCAGCAGAGGCATGAGCTGAGAGGTCTTGCACACACATCCAGGGGCTGCTGGGTGGAGCACGGGGGGGGGGGGACTGCCCCCTGGAGGCCAGAGCAGGGTAGTTCAGGGCAAGACTAGTTGAGTGCAGATCTGCATGTCCTACGGTGGCGGGGGTGGGGCATGTGGGGGCGCACTGCTCCAGCAGGGGGTCTCCCTCCAGGGGAAGGGTGTCTAGGAGGCCATGGAGAGCAACCTGCCCCTTCCCACTCCAGATCCTTCCCAGGGGATCAGGAAGGGACCAGTTAGCAGGGGAAGGCAGAGGACCCGAACCCGGGGGGTGCCGGGAGCCCAGCGGCAAGTCGTCCCGCGCCCACTGCCAGGAGCCCAAGCCTCCCCACCTCTCTGCCTTGACCCCTGCTGTTGCCTCGCGGCACCTTCTGGCCCTTCTTCTCTTGACTCAGGTGGAAACTGAGTCACAGCTGATAGATCAGTCGATGGGTTTCTCACCTGGAGCTCACACGGCATCTCTCAGCAGACGCCTTGGTGAAGTGAACCCCTGGCACCTGTCCAAGGGCGGGATGGGGAGCCCACCGGTCACAGGTGTATGGGGGCGCCCCCGCCCACCAGGGCTTTAATTCTGGGCTGGTGTCGGGCGGGAACAAAAGTATAACGAGCCACCTCCCAGATGAAACAATTGTCAACATTTTAGTATATTTGCATCCAGTATTATTTTTTTCTGAACTATTTACGGATTGTTGTCGTAAAAGAAAAGTTGGTTATTTTAGCGGAAATGGGTTTATTTGGGAATAAAGAATTGTACTTTGAGACACACAAAACACGGCAAAACCACCCTCGAGTCCAGAAGCAAAGGAGAGGGACCTTTACTGGTCGCAGAAAAGGGGAGCTGGGCGGGGTGCTACACGCAGCACCCATTGGAGGAGGCTGGGCGGCCCAAAAGAGCGGCTTTTCGTTGGCCGTGTTGTGACGGTCTCTTACTGGCTGAGCTGTTGCCAGGCGACGGGAAAACCTTCCACCTGCTGGGGTAGTAACTTAGAGAAAACACCTGTTAGAGATGCAGGCGGCTCTCCCTGTTTGGGGTGACTGGCGCGTAGTAGGGGTGAGAGCTCCCCCTGCCGGCTGTTCCCGCTGCCGTCATGGTCGTGGTTTCCGTTGTTAATTTTCACGAGATCTTTCAGCATTTTCTTCTCAAATTCTTCAGGGTGTGTGTGAAGAACAGCGACGTTGTCCCCCCTAAGCACAAAGGCAGGACAGAGTTGTGGACCCCTGCTGCCCCCCGCCCCCGCCATGCTGGGCAGGGGGGGCCTGGCTCTGAGTTCCCACAGGGAGCACTGGGCAGTGGTGGGCAGTCAGGTGAGAAGTGGGGGCCTGGAAGGGCCTCCCCAGACGGAAGGGGTCCGGATGTCTTCCTTCCTGCTGCGGTTTGGGAGGACCCGAGGGCTGAGCCGGCAGCTGCACCCACAACCACTGCACCCGTGGGAGGCCCAGCCTGCCCTTGGTGTGAGGTCCTGCACAGTAGCCACCGCGATCTCCAACGATGCACACAGGCCTGGGCGGGGGTGAGAGCGGCACCCCGAGTCCCAGCGCCCCAGGTCCACAGGGGCCCAGGGAAGTCCCTGCAACACTCCGACCCGCCGTGGAGCAGAGCCTCAGCCCCTCCCACCCCTGACACCCCCACAGGGGCTGGCAGAGCAGGGCCTCGCGCGGCAAGGGGCCCTGGAACTGGCCTTGGAGGGGCGACCCTTCAGGTCCCTCTCCAGGTAGGTCCTGTGCGGCTCCTAGTCCCGGCCACCTGGCCCCTCGGTCCTACCTCCCTCGCCTCCCTCTGACAAGAAACAAGGGCCGTTGGCTTTGGAGGTTGTTTATTGCTCTGAGAGGCGGTTCTCTCTGGGGAGCGCTATGCACGGAGGCGGGGCGGGGCGTGCTGCGGAGAACTCCGCCCCCCTCCCGGCTGCAGGCCTCGCTGCAGGCAGGGCAGCAGGTGCACAGGATGGGCGGTGCCCTCTCCTCCCCGGGTCCTGCTCCATCCTGCCCCACAGCTGCCTTCTGCCCCACCTTGCTTTTATGGTATCAGCCTTCTCACTCCCAAGATGGAAGACCCCCACAGCGTGGCCCTTTGGCCAGGAGGGGCCTCCCTGGGTCAGCAGGGTACACGGCACTGCACCATCTGGGGCCTGGGAGGGGCGGCTGGGCCTGCCCCCCCCCCCCCCCCCAACTCACCTGTGAGAAGGCACCAGCACACCGGCCTGTGGGGAAGAGTGGGGCCTGAGAAGCCCCCAGGGTCCCCTCCCCTAGGGCAAAGTCCCCCCCACCCTCCGCTGCCCAGCCCGGCCTCCCCGACTGTGACCTGACCCCCGGCCCTGACAGGCCAGAATGGGGCTGGAGCAATGCTCACCTGACCTGGGCAGCAGGTTCTGACCCACTCGGGGTGACAGCAGCTGCACCTCTGGGAGCCTGCAGGAAACAGCTCCAGGGGGTGCAGGCTGGGGGCAGAGGGAGCGGGGTGGGGTGGGGGGAGGTGGAAGAGGGGCAGGGGTCAGGGAGTGGGCAGGGAGGGTGGCCAGGAGGGAGGGGTGAGGAGGGGTCCCAAGGAGACACTGACTCCTGCCCTGGGGTCAGAACTTGCTGGAACAGGCCCTGGCCGGTGTGGCTCAGTGCACCGAACACCGCCTGGGACCTGGTTTGACTCCCAGTCAGGACACACGCCTGGGTTGCGGGCCAGGTCCCCAGTAGGGGGCGCACAAGAGGCAACCACACACTAATGTTTTTCCCCTCTTTCTCCTTCCTTCCCCTCTCAGAATAAACAAATAAAACCTTTGGAAAAAAAAAAAAGAACTTGCTGGAATGTGTACGAGGTCAACAGTCCAGCCAGGTGGCGGCAGTGGGGCGGGGTGGTGGCGGGCTGCCCACCTACCACCACGGAGCCGCAGCAGACGGCCCCAACATCCCCCTTCTGAGTCTGGAAGCTCAGCACGGACAGGTGTGTCGTCCACGGGCACCACCTGGTTGATGTGGGTCTGGGCCACGGCTGCAGGAGCCAGAGCCACTGAGCCTGGGGTCCCTGGCCTGGGATGCCGGTCCCTCGGTCAGCACAGCTGCAGGGCCCCACCCGCCTGCACTCAGGGCGCCCTGTCCACTGCCTGCTGGCCTCTGGCTGCTGCCCCCACCCCCTCTGGTGAGCTGCCTGCCCAAAGCAGCTGAGGAGCCTGCTGGTCTCCCCCGCCCACCTGCCCCCAGTGGGATGGGCCAGGGGCACTGGGGCTCCCCCCACCCCCGGCCCTATACAGGCTGAGCTGGGTCAGGGAAGGGCTGCCTCTGGCCCTCCAGCCGTTCCGCCCCACGATGCCCTGGGGCGGCTGGCCTGCCCGCCGGAGGGACCCTCTGAGACAGGCTGGAGGCCAGGCTTCGCCCTGCACAGGCGCAGGGACCTTGGGCCTCAGGAAGCCAGAGTGGGAGGTGGCTTGTCTCCAGCCCACTTGGTCAGTCTGTTCCAGTGGGAGGAGAGGGCCCCCAGTCCGGCCCCGTTCTTCCTGCTCCCTGGAAAACCTCACCTCCGTCTCATCCTGGGGTGCTACCCCTGCACCTGCAAACTGCCCAGACCAGACCCTCAGCCTCTCCTGGCTGGGGGCGAGGGGCCAACTGCTTCGGAGAGGGGTCTTCCTCTTACCTGTCCCGACTGCTGACCCAACCCGCCTCCCCCACCCAGCTTGTCCTCCCAGACGTGGAGCAGAGAGCGTGGGGAAGCAGAGGTCCGAGGGCAGCCAGGGTCAGAGAAGGCCCGGGGTGGTGACGGGTGACCGACTACAGGACAGACAGACAGGAGCCAGGCTGCTGACTTGCTTCAGGACTTTATTCTCAGAGGCAGGACAGAGCCGAGTGGGCGAAGGGGTGGCCGGTGGAGCCAGGGCTGGGGTCTCGGGGGCCTTGGAGGACAGCAGAGCAGAGCAGGGCAGCCAGGTCCCGAGGGCGGACCACCTGGCCGAGAGAGCAGGACCCGCAGGTGAAGCAGGAAGCCCCCCCCGCCCCGCCTGGCGCCTCGTGCCCTGGTGTTTCTCAGCAAAGGGCACCAGCCTCCCCTGACCTCCGCACCCCACGCCATCCCGGCCTCCGGCTCCTTCTCCCCGGAGCCCCGCCCTTGGACCGGCCCCGGTCTGCCTGGGCTTCCTTGCATGGCGGAGCGGGGACTGCTGGGTGAGGCCCGCCCGTGGCCCACTCACCTACTGGTGTCCTTCCATGCACTTATCTGCCAAGAAAGAAGTGGGGACAGTTAGCGCCCTGGGCCAGGGCCACCGTCCCCACTGGCGCCCTGGGGGGACCCTCACACCTGTGAATCTGACTTCCCTCCCCACCCCATCCCCCAGCTCCTGCTGCAGACAGAGGGGTGCTGTCCCCACTGCTCTCAGAGCAGGCTGCCCGACCCCCGGGGCCACGCCCCAGAGGCCCGCCTCTGGCATCTGTTCCCTTGGGCACCTGCCCCCCCCCAGGCTGGGGACCCCCGTGTCCTGGCGGCTGGCGGGGATCTGGCCCACATGTTGGGTGCTTGGTGAATCTGGGGAGGGCTTTCCTGGAGAAGGAACCTCTTCCCTGCCCCTGTGGGGTGCAGGCCACGCTCATGCCTACAGACTGCCCCCCCACTTTGGAAGCCCCGCTGCTGGTCGTTGGGCGGTCTGGCCAGATAAAGTCAGGACCCTCGGCCTCCCCAGGACCAGGAGGCTGTGTGCCTGGAATCTCTGACCCTGCCCCCTGCCAGCGCCCAGCAGCCCTCACCGGTTGGGGGCAGGAAGACAATGCTGTCCTCTGTGAAGCCCTGGGCCTTGGCGAAGGCAGTGAACTTCTCCTTCACTTCCGCCTTGGGGGTCTGGGTCCGGCCTGGGCAGGAAGGAAAAGCGGGGGCGGGGTGGGAGGCGGCCTCTGCTCTGTGCCCCTACCCGCTGGTGCAGCCCCACCCACGCCCGCACCCCAAGGCCGAGCCCTGGCTGCCCGGTGGGGGCGGGCACCTACTGTAGAGAGTGGCCACGTGGAAGTCCTGGCCCGGGCCCTTGGTGCCCTCGGTGTGCAGCAGGGCGTACTCTCCGTAATCCGTCTCCACCACCCGCACGTCGTTCGTGCTGCCCCAGTCTGCGAGCCCAAGAGACGGCCACAGTCGGGACCCCCAGACCTCCGGCCTCGGGAGGGGGCACCCTCTGAGGGTGGGCTGCCTTTCCTGCCCCTCCCCGACTCAGGCAGCTGCCGGCCCCCCCACTTCCTGCCTGCACGGCCTGCCAGGTGGGGGCCAGCACACACGCAGGCTCAGAAAACTGGGGGTTCTTGGTGCCGCCACCACCCGTCGGGCTGGCCGAGAAGAGGAAAGGTGCCCCAGTGGGGAAGCCACCGCCGGGAGGGAGTGAGGAAGCCCCATGCGCAGGTGGCTCTGGGCGCTCTTCCCGTCCAGCAGGGAGGGGACAGCAAAGGACTGAGGACCTTCCACCCAGGTGCAGGGAGGGGCCCGGCAGGAGACGGCCCCGGAGCGGGCCCTGGTCCCCACACCTGAGCGTGTGGCACTGGACCGGAGGACCCTCGTGGGGCAGCCACCACCCTGCTCACCCACCAGGGGGTGTCGCCCAGAGCAGGACCCAGGCGCCCAGGAGGGCCCCACTCACGCTGGCTGGTGTAGCTGTAGCAGCCCGGGGGGCCCACTGGCTGCAGCAGCAGAGTCCGGGTCTCACACTGGTCCTTCCTGTGGGCAGGGCACCTTCGGGTCAGGACCAGGCCCTGACCGGAAGGGCAGGGACCGCACCCAGGGGCAGGGAGCTCTCAGCCCGCCCCGCGGTCACACCTCAGGAAGGTGACGGTGAGGTTAAGTCCGCCGTCCTCAGTCGGGGCCACCAACGATGTGCACATGGACAGAGCTGCCTTCTTCTCTCGGATCCAGCTCGAGTTGGAGGCGAGGCCCGCGGTGAACCAGAGACCCAGGAACTGCAGGAGAAGGCCCCTGCCCAGTCGGCCAGGACCCTCTCTGGCGACCGACCCGCTTGGGCGTCTCGTCTCCAGCCCGCCCCCCGCCCTCCTGAAGGCCTGCCGCGCTCCACGCCGCTCCTATCGGGCAGGCCAGGTCCCACCTTCGCCCAGCTCTGGGGCCAGCCCGTCGGTAGAGCGGGCGGCAGAGGGCGCCCGGGGCCGGTATCGGAGGGGCTGGGGCGAGCGCAGCTGACTGCTGTCCGGTGCTAGGCCTCTGAGACGACGCTCAGGGAAGGGGCACGGGGCGGGGCGGGAGAACCAGACCCCCTGCACCCGCGCGCAGCCCCTGAGCGTGCGCGCGCGTCGCCCGCTGCGTGTGTGCGGGGCGCGGACCCGCGCGCACTCAGTTTTCTGTGGCCAGCCTGTGCGCCCTCCCGGTGCGTCACCCCGTGCACCATCGACGTGCACCGACCCCTTGCGCCGTCTCCGTCTGCGTGCTCGCGCCCGGGGGTGTGTCCCAGGATCCGTCCTGGGACCCAGGGGTGGAATGTGCCCCCACTCCCTGCCGGCGTCAGGAGTCCGGAGGGGTGACTGTTCGGGTGGCGTAGGCGCGCAGGTGCACCGGGCGCGCACTCGCAGACAAAGGTGCCTCCCTGCCAGTCGGTATACCCACCGCCTCTCTCGGGCGGGGAACTGCCATTGCCCCAGGGGCGGCCTCGGCCGCTCAGCCTTCACTCAGCTACCCGCCTCCAGGGAGACAGCTCTGCGACAGAGCTCCTTCCCCTGGCAGCCCTGTCTGCCTCAAGGACGGGCGGGGGAGCACCTCACCTTGTCCTGTTGGAAGTTGGGCTGCAGGGATACCTGGGCCTCGGCCCGGGTCTGCAGGACCCCCAGGACCCCCAGCAGGACCAGCCCCGTCCACAGTGTGCGCAGAGCGGCCATCCTCCCGGGGCAGACGTCCCAGGCCTGGCACCAGCAGTGTGGGCAGAGAGAGGGAGGCAGGCGGGACACGCGGGAGCGGCAGGGGAGACCCCTATTTATGGGCCTGGCTTGGCCCCCACCCAGGGCCCAAGGACAGCCCACTGGAGGCTCGTGACGGCAGGGTGGGGAGGAGGCGTGTGGGATGCAGCTGCAGCCTCGCCCCCTTACAGGGCTGCTTATGTAAGAGGCTCTGACCAGTGGGGCCGGGCCCGGACACAGTGCAGGGCGGGGGCGGGGCAGGCAGCGGCCCCTCATTGCCGGCCCCTTTTCCAGAGCCAGGACCCTCCCGCAGCCCAGAGGGGTCGTGGCCTTGGTGCTGCCCTGCCTCTGGGGCTCACCTCCCACCTGGGTCAGGGCCCACCCTCATAGTTCCAGTCCTCATTCCCTCCCCAGTTCGATGGCTCTGGGGAGGGATGCAAGGCCCCACTTGTATCGTGAGCCCGGGGGTGACGGGGAACTCAAGCTGAGGCTCAGAAACCAGACCTGTGGGTAAGGTGGCTCATGAGGGCCAGGCGCACCGGGCACAGCCCCAAGGGCACCTGAGGGTGCGTGCCCACCTTGCAGAAAGGGCTGCCTCTGAGGTCCCGGACTTGATCAAAGCTGGCGAGTGCCAGTGGCTTCTCTGCTCCCTCCTGAGTGCACTTCAGGGGGCTGGGCCTGGAGCACCAGGAGGGCCTGGGCAGGGCATGGCATCGGGTGGGAGCGGCCTGGGCCCGGACTTGGGAGGCTTGAGGCTGCAGGAGTCCCTTTGTTGGGGGGGGGGGCTAGTCGCCCCCAGACACAGGCTCAGCCCACTGGTGGGGGGTGGCACAGGCTTCTGTCCCAGGGCCTGGCACCTTCTGCCTGGACACTGGGTTCTTGTTCTTGGCAGCACCAGCTTCTGGCCTTGGAATGGCCCCAAGGCCATCAGGAAATGGTCAGCGGGGAGGCGTGGGAGCGGGACAGCCCCCTGAAGGGGACCAGCGTGGGCTCTCCTGCCTGCCCAGTGGGGGCGGGGGGGGGGCACCAGGCCTACGGGGCGGGTGAGGTCCGAGCCGCCTGCACTGCAGCCCCACCGGCACCCTGGCCCTGGCTGGGACCCTGCTGTGGGCCAGGGGTGTCCTGGCAGGACCAGGAGCCCTTCCCAGGGCTCGGAGCTCAGAATTGCCGGTGGAGGCGAAGGAAAAGGGCCGGGCCGGGGTGAGGGGCTGCTGGCGGTCGCAGGGTCCTCCCTGCAGGCAGAGGCTCTGCGCCCCTGGCACCGAAGAGGTGGAGGCGGGGCTCCTGGCCCCCAGCACCGGCTTCTCCCCGGAGAGCCGCACGGTGGGTGGGGCAGGGCTGCGCACCCCCTGAAGGAAGGACCCCCGCTGGCTCAGCACCCACCTGCCACGCTGTCCAGGCTGTGCAGAGGGCACGGGCAGAAACTCCAGCCCAGTGGACACAGCGCCTGTCCTGAGGGGCAGCAGGGTTAGGGCCGCGGCTCAGACCGCCCGGGCCAGGTGGGGACCGGGCTGCACGGGAGGCGCCAGGATTCTGGCCTCCCAGCCCCGCCCTGCCCATGACGACAGGGCCCCCCCACCATCCCAGTCCAGCTCAGAAGGACCCAGTCTTACCTCCAGGCCACGGACCCTGCTCAGACCCCCCAGGGCTGCCACTGGGGTGGCCTCAGCACCCCCTGCCCTGCCCCGGTGGGGGAACTCCTCTTTCCTGTAGTTCACCTCCGTATTCCCCCGGGTGACTCGCCCTCCAAGGTGCCGGTCTGTGCTACGTTGGGGGTCCCCCAGCCCACCCCTCCCACCCCATCCTGGCACTAAACAGCCCCCCAAACCGGCCACTCCTCTGTTCCTCGCTCCTCAAGTGCACCCAATGGTCAGAGCAACTCTTTTTTTAAAGACTTTATTTATTTATTTCTAGATAAAGAGGCAGGGAGGGAGAGAAACATCAGTGTGTGGTTGCCTCTAGCGTGCCCCCTAGTGGGGACCTGGCCTGCAACCCAAGCCCGTGCTCTGACTGGGAACTGAACCGGCGACCTTTTGGTTCGCAGGCAAGCGCTTAATCCACTGAGCCACACCAGCCAGAGACAGAGCCAGCTACTTTCGTGGGCCGCTGTCCAAGTCCTTACCTGCTCCACCCCAGCACTCCCGCCCCTGTGCCGGACCAGCCACACCTACGTTGGTCTCCCAAGTGGCACCCACAGTTGGCTAAAGGAGCAGCCCCCGGCAGCCCCACACCCAGAACCGCTGCTTCCCTTTCAGGCTGGTTGGCTCCTCCAAGGCTGAGCACGGACCCCGCCTCCAGGAAGCCCTCTGTGCAGGTCCAGGTGGAGTTCCAAGGGCATCCGGCGTCCCTCCCGCGGCAGGACAGCTCTGGCCTTTCCATTTTGCTCGACAAGGACCGTGTCCCCCGTGAGCACCGGAAGCCTGGGTCGGATGAAGAACAAATGAGTGAACGCATGTGCCGCACGTGCAAGTGCTGCCGGAGCGACGGTGCGGTGCTGGGGCATCTCCAGGTGGCGCAGTCTCTCTTCCTAAACGTGTTTCCCGCCAGGCCGAGGCGGAGCTGCCGAAGCCAGAGGTGGGGGTGGGGGCTCGGTGCTGGGCCTGCGCCCATGCTGTTGGCAGAGACAGGGTGGCCCTGGGCCAGTGGATGGCCTCTCTGAGCCTCAGTTTCCCTGTCCGTGCAGAGAGAGGATGTCCTCACCCCACGAGGACTCATGGGGACGAGGCGGGCCTGCTCCTGGGGACCTCTCTGTGGCGATGGGGGGCTCCTGCCCTCCTGTGTGCAGGGCTGCAGGGAACCCCGGGCTGAGCTGGGGTCGGTTGGGGGCCTGGCCCAGCCACAGAGGAGCCAGGGCACGGTTTCAGGGCCCGGGAAGTGGGGGCCAGGCAGCAGCCCCTGAGAGTCCTATTTATGGGCACACCCGGCCCAGCCCCCACCTGCCATCCCCCAGGGCCAGCGACTCCCCTCTCACCAGGTGCAGGCAGGGCTGGGCTGCCGCAGTAGCTGTTCTGAGACTCCTGCGGGGCTCCTGCCCGCCCTCCCCGCCCCAGGGGCTGTGCCAGATGCAGGACTGGGGTGGGACTGGGCTTCCCCAGAGACCCTCTGCAGCTCAGCCCTGTGAGTGGTCAGCAGTCCAAGCGGAGCCACCTCTGCCCTGCTGGGGCCCCTGCTCAGCCCAGGGAGGAGGGTGGGTGTGTGCTGGACGCTGGGGGCCGGATCGCCCCTCCTGGCACCCGCAGAGGGCAGAGAGGCTGGGCCTCAGTGCCGCTCCCTGGCCTCACAGCGATTCGCAGGTGGACGGCTGAGGGCGCACATCCCTGGCCGGGGAGGACAGGGTGCCTGCTCTGAACCCCTAAGTAGGGTGCTGGCCTCTGAGGAGCCCCACGCAAGGCCCTGTGCAGAGAGAGACCCCAAGAGGCTGGCCTAGGAGTCCCCCCTTAGGGCGGCCCTTGCCTCAGGCCCAGGCAGCACGTGGGCGGCTCTGGATGTTGCTGGCTGGGCGCCCCAGGGGCCTGGTGGGCAGAGACCCAAGCCGACCTCGTGAGCTGAGGCTGCAGTTTCCCTGGAGCCGGGTCTCGTGGGGGGGGGGGGTGACAGTGGCACCCGCCTGGGGAGGGCGGGGGCTGGAAGGTGGCTGCGGGCCCGCTGCTCTGGAGCCCGGGCTGCGGGGAGTTGGCCTCAGCCTTGATGGGCCATCCGGACCGCCCCCGCCCTGCCCCTGGCCGGCCGGGTTGCTGGTCAGCCCAGGGTGCAGGCATCGGCGTGACCTCAGCCTGGGGGTTGAGGCGCGGGGGGAGTGACAGGTCCCAGCCCCCGCAGTGTCGCACAGAGGCACTGGGCCCTCTGGGCCTGCAGCTGCCTCTGCTGTGACCGGTGCGGAGCTGGGGTTCCTGCGTGGGGTCAACGGGACATGAAGAAAAGACACAACACAGACAGTTTAAGGACAAGGGGGACCAGGTGGGACACTGTCCTCTGAGGGAGAGACGACGAGCCACGGACGCGGTCTCCGCGTTTGTTTTATGGGGGCGGGTTAGACGAGGCTCAGGGACGTTTGGCAAACTCAGGGAGACGCTGCAGGGGCAGACTGTCCCCTTCCCCGGGCTGTCTGAGGGGCACCTGTGTCCCCTGCAATAGTCACAGCCCATCCAGCTGAAGCTCCCGGTCCTCTGTCTCCCGTTCGAGCCTGCGGGTCCCCCTTCGCCGCCGTCCTCCACAGCCTCTGCTGGTCCGGACGAGTCCCACGGCGACCTCCCGACCCCTCCCCGCTTGCTGCGTGGTGACGGCTCCCTCAGCCTGAAGGAAGGGGGCTGCGGGACCCTGAGCAGGTGGGCAGGGGCAGCCCCATCCCGCGATGCTCCACAGGAGGTGTTGGAGAGACATGCTGGCGACTCCCCAAAGGATTTTAAGTGGGGGGGGTGCGGAGAAGCTGCTGGGGTATTCTGCAGAGTCCCTGAAGACGCCGCCCCCTCCCCAGACTGCAGGGCCCCGACAGGTGTCGGCAGCAAACCGGAAGCAGCCCGGCTGTGCCGCAGGTGGGGGTGCTGAGTCTGCAGCTGGGGGGCAGGGGCGCAGGTAGCTCAGGCCCGCCACGGGCACGTCCTCCACACGCCACCCAGATCCCCATGGGACAGCAGCCCCACCTCGGGCGCCCACGCAGCACCCGCCCCGTCCTGGGCAGACCCAGTGTCCCCCTCTGCTCTGCTCTGCCTCTGAGGACACTTGGCTGTGGCCTCGTCCCCACCTGGCTGCCGGGGCCAGTGGAGGGGCCCACGGTGGTCCCGCAGGGCTGGGGGGCGGGGAGCGGTCTGGCCACCCCGGCTCTCATGTGCACACCCCCTCCCACCGCCCCAGTTGGTGGCATCAGGGCCACCGGGGGCACATGGTGTCCCGAAGCATCCAGCCCAGCTGGCCCAGTGAGGCATCTGCAGGGTCTCCTGGTCCCAGCAGGGGAAGCTGGGCCACCTTTCTGGCGGGGCCCGGGGCCCTGGGTCCTCAGCCCAAGCGCACTTGGAGATGGGCACCCCAGCCTTTCGTCCTGGGTCTGGGGTGGCCCTTCAGCCGAGTGGGCACCGTGGGGCAGGGGTGCTGGGCTGGCGGGGCCGGCAGGGGGCGCCTGAGTCACGGGCCCCCACCGGCACCCCAGGAGGCCCTCCAGGGCCACCTGACACTCCACGCTCCCCAGGCCCACGGCTGTCGCTGCTGGATGCCATTGGCAGTGGCCCTGTGTGAGGACAGGCCTGGCTCTGTGGCCTGCGAGCCCGGGCCAGGCCCAGGGGAGGCCCAGCCTGCAGGGGTGACCTGAGGACCCACGTTGCCCAAGCCGGGAGCCCGGAGATCTGGGAACCACTGCCCATCCCATGGGCCATCCGGAGGCCATGCCGGCTCCTCCTGGCACCAGGTGTTTATTCTGACGGGGACAGATGTGGCCTCGGGGGACAGGGCAGTGAGGATGGGGGAGGGACAGAGGAGGGGGACAGGACCTGGGTGACAGCCCCCATGGGGAGAGGGGAGAGCAAGAGGGGGAGGAGCAGGGCCTGTTTGCAGGGCCTCTGCCCCCTGGTGCCTGCCCTGCCTCCAACCCGAGGTCTTAGGAAACCCAGTGGCCCTTTTACTACTTTCTTTAAAAATTATTTGTTTTTTAGATTTTGTTTATTTTTAGAGAGAGGGCAAGGGAGGGAGACAGAGAGGGAGAGAAACATCAGTGTGTGGTTGCCTCTCTTGCGCCCCCTACTGGGGACCTGGCCCACAACCCAGGGACATGGCGGGACAGGGAATGGAACCGGTGACCTTATAGTTCTGGGGACAGCACCCAACCCACTGAGCCACACCAACCTGGGCTCCTCTATTACTATTATCTTTACATTTTATTTTCATTTACAGTGACTTTACGATTTTGTGTCAGTTTCCAGTCCCCGGGGCACTCCCGCCCGTCGCCACATGCCGCCGCCATGGACTGTGCTCCCTGAGTGGCGGCCGCGCCCTGAGGCCCGTCCCCTGCACCCGCGGGTCGGTCTGCGCCCTCGCGCATCCGGTTTGATTCTCAGGTCCCACACGGAGTTGCGGCCGCGCGGTGTCTGTCCTTCTCCATCTGACGCCAGGTCCCCACAGGCCGTCACAGATGGTGAGACTTCACCCTGGTGGCTGAGCCACACTCCTCTGCAGTCAGTGAACGTCCCTGTGGCCTGGCTCACCTGCCACATGAATAACTGGGTGTTGCCACGTGGTCAGCTGACGGCCACACCTCACTGACCACCTCAGCTTTTACCCAAGCCCCCTCCCTACCCAGGGCCCCGCCCAGGACCCGCAGGGCGGCCTGTCCCCCCCACCGCTCCGGGCTGGGACAGGCTCTCAGCCTCCTGTTTCCCGCGGCCAGACGTCTCTCTTTGACAGGAAGCCCAGAGGTGGCGGCTGTGAGGGGCTTCCCGGCTCACGGGCATGGCCCCCGGAGTGCCCATCGGTCCCCACCAGCACTGAGGACAGAAGGCCTCCAGGACAAGTCACTTTGGTGCGTGGCCAGGACCAGCCACCAAGAAAGCCGGGGTGGCCGTTCCCACCCGGAGTGGCCCTGCTGCCTGCTCACAGCCAGGGCCCAGGCACATCCAGCCGGGAGCGGGGAGAGCCTGCGCCCCCATCCCACCCGGCGCCCTGCTCACCCGCACCTGCCCCGCCATCTGGTCCTTGGCGGCCCCTCCCAAATGCCTGAACATCGTCTGTGTGACAGGGACAAGGGCGGCGACGGCAGGTGCGAGCTCCCCTCTCCGGAGAGAAAGGGCAGGTCCGGTCGGGCAGCCCTGGTCCTGGAGCCCGGAGGTCATTCCCTGTCCACTGTCCGGTGGCTGACCGCCCCAGGCCGCCCACAGCCCAGCGGCCAGGCGGGAGCCAGGCTGTTCCTGGGACAGCTCTCCACCAGCCTGTGAGCGTTGCGGGAGGGGGGCAGGAGGCTCAGGTCCGGGCGGGTTGGTAGCCGGAGGGAGTCAGGAGAAGATGGTGTGGGCCCCTGGCAATGAGCCGACGGCCTCGGGCAGCTGCCGCCCAGGTCGGGCCAGACACAGGAGAAGAGCGTGGCCAGGTGGGGATTCACCACGTGGCTCCAAGATTTGGCTCAGAAGGGGCCTTCCATCCCTGCGACGGCAGCCGCCCTGCCCACTCCTCCTGGGGAAGGGCCAGGCCAGTGAGGGGGGCAAGGGGGCCACAGACACTGCCGTCTCAGGACCAGGGGACACCGAGGGCCACAGGCTTCAGAGCCCTGAGCCGCAAATGGAGGTGGGTGTGGGGGGCGACAGGGGACAAGGCCAGCGGGCCGCCCAGAGCAGGGTCTGCTCCCAGGAACAGTGCCCGGCTTTCCACCAGCCTCCCCCGCCGGCCCTGGGGCAGCTTGTGCCGCTCGGCCCAGCCTTCCGGATGCGACAGAGCCAGGGACCTGGCTGAAGTGCTCAGTCGCTTCGGGGACCCCGCTCTCCAGGGACTCAGGCTCCTGGCAACTGACAGGGTGGTGGAAAAACCCGGCCTCCAGTCAATCCGCACAAACCTAAGAAATAAGATAGTTTCCTGCCAAACAAACAGCTTTCTCTCTGCCAGAGCTCCCTCCTCCCTCCGCGGCACAGTAGCCACGGGGGTTCCCCAGCACAAAAGAGACAGTGTGTGCCCGGCAGAGGTGTGGGGGTGCACACACCCGCGTGCGCCTGTGTCAGCATTTGTGTGCGTGCCCTTGTTTGTGTGACTGCGTGTGCGTGTGCGCCTGTGCCTGTGACCACCATGGAGACTGTGAGCCAACACCCCCTGTCCACCCAGGAGACGGCAGCTTCCTCTCTCAGGAAGGGGGGTGGTCAGTCAGCCTCCTGGGTGCCTAGGATTGTCCCACGTGGCCAGAGCCCCCGACTCCCCCCGCTCCGGGCCCCTCCGCATTTCCAGCCCGCCAGGTGGCCCCGTGGTGGACGCCTGGGGAGGGAGCCCTGACGCACCCTGGTCCTGTGCCAGCCGTCGGTGGTGGGTGGCCAGCCCCCCAACGGCGCCCGTGCACCCTGCGGGCGGCCTGCCCACTAGACTGGCAGCGGGCCTCTTCACCCTCCAGGCTCCGCCCCCCTTCAGCCTCCCCCCAGGTCAGAGGGCCTGCAGAGGTGGGCACCTGGGTGGGGGCCCCTTCCCAAGCCAAGCACAGCCCAGGAGGCTCCACCCAACCCGAGCGCCTGGGTACGTGCCCCACGGCCCCGCCTGGGCGCCCCAGCCCCGTTGGGCCAGCAGGAGGCGGAGAACCCCGCTGGACTCAGGTCTGTCTTTCCAACCCAAACCTGTTCCTGGCTGGAGGCTGTGCCCGGAGTGAGCGGCTGGCCGGTCCCCTGACCCCAGCCGAGGGGCTGGGGGGCCTTAGGCAACGCGCTGTGTGCTTCCAAATCAGGCCAAGCTCCTCTGTGGTGACAGGAATTAGAGCCACAGCTGTGGGGCTGGGCCGGGACCCTGCCTGCAGATGGGCCCCTGGAGCCTGGGGGCGGCCCGGCCGCTCTGAGCAGCAGTGTTTGTGCAGCTGTCTGAAGGTGCCCCGTGGGACCGCGCCCCCCCAGTGCTTCTCAAATGCGCTTCAGAAGAGCTCGCGATTTGGAGGTGGAGGCTAAAGGCGGCCTTTGTTTGGGAAGTAGCACCGGGAGGCGTCAGCACAGACTGACACCCGGAATTGGTGCTCACAGCACTAGTCCCCAGAGAGAACGGTGCCTGTGGACCCGCCACCCAGGAGGGCCGAGGCGTCACGAGGTGAGATGTGGGGCCAACCCGGCACCCCTGCTGCGGCGTGACCCCTGCCCAGAATCCAGAGGGCACACGCGTGCCCCGCCGGTCGTGCCCGCTGGCGCGCTGACCTGCGGCCCAGGGCGGACCCACACCTGCCGCCGACTGTGGCAAGAACAGGAGAGCAAAGCAGGCCCGGAGAGAGGGCGGCACGCCCTGGCGGGGCACCGAGGCCTGGCTGTCCACGGCCCCACGGTGGAGCGGCCCAGTGCCCGCAGGCAGAGGGGACCGCACAAGCACAGCGGGGTATCACTCGGCCAGCAAGAGGAGGACGCCCTGGCACAGGCCACACGCACGGACCTGGAGGACATGATGCCGGGGGCCAGAAGCCAGTCACAGGGGGACAGTCCTGTGAGGCCCCGCTCACACGGTCCCTGCAGGAGGCAGACCGGCAGAGACAGGGAATCCACGGTGGGGCTGGGGGAGGGGTGGCAGTGGGGCCTCATGGGGACCGGGCGTCCGTGTGGGTAGACGGGCCGTCGGGGAGAGGATGGTGCACGCTGGGCTGTGCCCCGGGACACGGTTAAGGTGGTTGGAGAGACAGCGCACACTGACCAGCCAGTGCAGAGGGAGTGGTGTGACAAGAACTTATTTAATCCTCAAGAGGGGCCAACAGTCGCCATGGGACTGCTAACGGCAGTCCTCACAGGAGAGGAGTGTCCTCTGCTGCTCTCGGGGCCCAGGCCACGCCGGGAGGAGATGATCCACAGCCACGGAAGTCACGGCGGGTGGGACTCTGTGACGCCCGCTCAGGGCAAGTGCTGGGCAGTGACGGGACTGGCTGGGGCCACTCTGTCCTTCAGCATGTCCTCTGATGGGGTGCCCAGTCTGATGGGGTGACCGGGGCTCAGGAAGCAGGGCAGAGGGGCGGGGCCCGGAGCCCAGGGCAGGCAAGGGAGACGCTCAGCTTCCTGGGGGGTCGGGGGTGGAGGCAGGGAGGACGGGGGCCTGCAGCCGCTGCAGGGGAAGGGCTGGGGCAGGAGGCCCAGGGCTGAGGGAACCCCACCCCGGCTGCTCTCCCCCAGACCTGGTCCTCGGGAAGCTCCATGAGCCCCTGACTCAGTGCAGGTACAGGTGGCCAGGTGCAGGCAGGTGTGCAAGTGGGTGAGTAGGTGAGTGTGCAGGAGAGTGAGCAGGTTGATGGGCAGGTGGGTGTGCAGGTGAGCGTGTAGGCAGGTGTGACCCAGGTGGAGGCGGACACCATGGAGCCATGAGAGCCCTCAGTCTGAGCTCAGGCTGAACCCTCTGTGGCTCCCAGCCCCCGGCCACATGTACCCCAACTGTAGGCCATGCACACCCACGGGGCTCCGGCCCGCAGGCAGGTCCCCCCCGCCCCCCGCACTGGGCAAGCATCACCTGCTGGGTCTGGAAAGACGATGTTGTCCTCCGAGAGTCCCTGGGCTCCAAGCAGGCAGACAAATCTGTCCAGCTCCTTGACCTCAATTGCCCACATTCTGCCTGGAGTCCAAGAACATGGCGTGGCCCTTCGTGGCAGCGGCAGTGAGGCTTAGTGGCGGGCACCCCCGTCTCGCGTGACCTGGGCCCAGAAGCCCGGAGCGGCCTCCCCCCTCCAGCCCCTCCCGCCCGCCCGCCCGCCGGAGAGCAGCTGCAGGAAGGCGGGGCTCACACAGCAGGTAGACCCTGAGGATGCGCTGGCCACCGGACTGCCTCTTGGAGACCATCAGGGCGAAGGTGGTGTAGTCGGTGTCATGCACCTGCAGCTCCTCGGCCAAGGCCCCGGGCTCTGGGGGGGTGCAGCCGGTCAAGGGCCCTCCCGCCGCAGGCCCCCATGCCGGCTCCCGGCCTCCCCCCATCTCACCCCTGCTGTTGTCCACTGAGAACTGTCCAGGCTGGGCCGTGGGAGTCAGCAGGTAAGACCAGGTGATGCAGCGTGGGCCCCTGTGCCAGGGCGGGCAGTGCAGGGCGGGTGGGGCAGAGGAGGAGGGCTCTGGAACCCGGCCAGGCTGCTGCCCTCCTTGGCCCCAAGGCGGGCCCCCCAAGGAGAATTCAGGAGGCTGGGGGCCCAGCTGCCCCCTCCCTGGGGAAGGTAATTCCACACGGTGCCCCAAGGCTGCCCGCGCCCAGAGCAGTGACCTGCGAGCCGTGCTGCCTGTCAGCATGGCCGACCCCTTCGCAGCCTCTGCCCAGCCCACCCACAGGCCACTCCCACTCGGACTGGAGCAGGGTGCACAGGGATGAGGGAAAGCTCGCTCTCCCAGGGTCTCGAGTGTAAGCGAGGTGGCCAGGTAGGTGGGTGGCCGTGCTGTGCTGAGCCTGCAATGCCCCTGTGCCTGCTCCAGCCTTAGGGGCCCGCCCAGCAGTGCAGGGGCGCTGGCGGGGAACCGCTGAATGCTTTGAGCAGCAGCATGTGTCTGGCCTGCAGGCCAGGGGTGGGGGAGAGGCCACCCAGAGGGCTTCATGGGGGGCATTTGCACTAGGCTCCTCCAATCAATCAGTCTCCAACCACAGCCCGGCTGGGCAGGGCGGGTGCCCCGGGAGGCCGAGCTGTGCAGGCAGCTGCAAGGGCGGGTGGGTGGCGGTGCTCCCGGGAGGACTGCAGCAGCAGCTGGGTGTGGCTCCTCTGGGGCCAGACTGTCCTAGTCTCCAGGGCACAGCTGGATGGATCCCCACGACATACCTGCCTTGCTCAGGCTCCTACGCTGTGTTCCCTGGAGCCCTGACCAGAGGTCTGGGGTGGGGGCTGCCTAGCCCCGCTGGGGGGTGGGCACTTGACCTGGGCAGACCAACCACAGTGCCTGCCACTCTGGACACAGCGACTGGTCCAGGAGGAGCACATGACTCAAGAAGACCAACTGGGGCCATTACCAAGCTGGCCGGGGTGCTCCCTCTTCCTAGAATTGGGACCCTGAGAAAGATGACAGCTTAGGCAACTGTCCTATCCTATGAGGTGAGAGGCAGCCTGCCCACAAGCCTGGGAGAGGCATGCCAAGGCCCGAGCACAACAGCTGGGCTCCTGGATCCAGCTGAACCTGAAAGCCATAGGCCTGTGGGCCGAGTCCACATTCCAGTAAATGCCTCCCTTCCTTGCTGTATGACCCAGAGCCAGCTGAGGTCCTGGCAGGCTGTGCTGTGATGGCATCAGGAGGTGGCCCGGGAAGAACGTGGAGAACACGCCCTGGCGCCACGGAGCCATCAGCTTCTGGGGCGCAGGCCGGGGCCTCACTCACCGAGTCATGGCGTAGGACACTTGGAGGCGTCGCTTTCCACTTCGCTCGAACGTGGCTGTAAAAGGGCTCAGGAGGGACCTGTCCGCCTTGCTGTGGGTGCTGCCCGCCAGGCCGAGGACGAACCACAGCCCCTGGAACTACAGGGGGATGGGGCGGGCAGAGCCCAGGTGCCCAGGAGCCCAGGAGCCCTCCCAGGGCCTGGCTCCTGCGTCGCTGACGCTGGGACCTGGAGGCTGCCCTGGGTCCAGCGGGGATGGGTGACCCTGGCCTGTCAGGGCCCCGGGTTCTCCGTGTGTGCACAGAGACTGAGATGGGCCCCCCACAGGGACGGCTGTGGGGGGCCCAGGAGGCGATGCCGACCCAGGAGCCAGGCCTCTGAGGGAGATCAAGGGTCTCCCTGGTGGGGGGTAGGGGTGTCTGAGAGCCAGCCGGCCCGGCCTCTCTGCCTCCCCTCCCGCCCAGCACCCCACACCTGTTCGTCCTGGAAGCTCTTCAAGGCCTGGGCTCCCACCCTCGGGAGCCACCAGGACTGGCCCTTCAGGGCTCCCAGCAGAGTGAGTGCCGTGCACAGCGCGCCCAGCGGCCCCATCCCCGCCACTCTGCAGGACGCTGACTCGGCTCACCTCTTTATGGGCCCCCTTCCCCGCAGTGCCCGCCCTGGGTGTGACTGCTCCGCCTTCCCGCTCGGACTGGCAGCAGGGACACCAGGCGCAGGGGCTGGCAGTGGGCGCACAGGGCAGGGCCTTCCTCAGACCTTGCACACCAAGGAGGGGGCGACTGGGTCCCCGCCTGGGGTAGGTGGCCAGGGAGTGGAGGGTTCCTGGTCTTTGCCTTCTGATCCCCAAGACCTGCCTCCCCACTCTGCACCCCCGCGGCCCCCCTTCTGAGCCAGCACCAGGCCCACGGCTTCTGCCCAGCGGCACGGAGGGAGGCAGCCTGCCCCGGGCAGGGAGCACGTCCCTCCCAGTCCCACGGTCAGGGTCACAGTGTCCTCGCTGCAGGAACTCAGTGTGGAGCCAGCACCCACGCCGCTCCCCACGGCCCCAAACCCAAGGTGCGTGTCGAACAGGGAGGTGGGCCCGCAGTCACGGAGTGCGGGTGAGGGGTGGGGAGAGGCAACATCGGGGGACCCCTGGCCAGAGGGAGAGCAGAGGTGGGGGCGCCCGCACGCAGGGGCGGGGGAGGCCACAGGCAGGCTCTGGACACGCAGCCCGGCTGCCCCTGGAGGGAGGGGCCAGGAAGGAAACCCCTCCGTGCCCCCGGGGGGCCAAGTGCGGGCGCGGACTCCGGAGCAGGAGGAGGAGCGCGTCCCTGACTTGTGGGCTCCCGGTCCTGGGCTGCTGCCTCCCTTCAGCGCCCTCGGCCTCGGGCAGCCTGTCCCGAGCAGGAGCCCCAGACAGGCCACATAGAGAGCCCTGGCCCCCAAAGCCGAGGGGCTTCAGGGCCCGATTCTGTGCCAGGCCTCGGTCTCCCCACAGAAGGTGGGGACCCCCTCCAGGGCCTTTCCCCTTCCAGGAGGCTTCCCACCGCCAGGGCCCCTTTGGGTCATCGGCACCTCCCAGGGCAGGGACCAGGTCGGGGATCTGGAGGGGCAAGCCCACGGGGCGCTCTCCCCATTCCGAGTCCGCGGTGCCCACTGGTGAGCAGTGTGTTCCCGGAGACTGACCCACAATGAGCAAAGATCCCGCCCATGTGGCTCTTTTCCCCTAGGGTCCCGAGGAGCCACCCCGTTTCACTTTGATGGGAACTGGGGGACAGCTCCTGCCCATTCTCTGGGTGCAGATGCCTCTGTGATCTGGGGACAAGCTGGGACACACTTGGCTTTGCCAGGTGACGCCCTCTTCCCTGTGCTTCCTCATCCACAGGGAGCTCTGGGGAGACCGCAGGGAGTCAGAGGGGCCCCGCCACCCTGGCCCACGCAGCCCAGGCCTCGCCACTACGCGAACGACTAAAGACGCCCACGCAGCAGCGGTGACCTGGAGCTGCAAAGCGTCCACCTCCGTGTCCGAAAACTCGATGAGCATGCGTTTCTGTGAGGACTCCACACGCCCTAGCCCCAGCGGCTCTCCAAGGCCTGCCCCCGTCCCTCTGTTCCCCCCACCTGCCCTGTCCCCACAGGTCCTGCCTGGCCCTGGGCCCTGAGGTCAGACAGGGGGGAGGTGTCCTGTGGTGTGGCCTCAGCCCTGTGGTCACTCAGGAGGGCCTCTGGCGCCACCCCTTGGTCACTCCAGAAACACCCTTCTTTCTCCAGAAGCCCTGGGGGGGGGGATCTGTGGGCACCCCTGCCCCTCCCCCAGGGACAAAAGCCCTAACTTTCCATGTTGGAGTCACAGGGGGGGCAGGGTGGGGGCGGCGCAGCTGCTCTGAGTCTCCACCCAGGCAATGTGCTTGACCTGTGGGTCCTGGGACTCATGGGGGGGGGGGGCTATGGTCTCCTATGTCCTTGTCCCTTGAAGTCCAGGGAGCTGAGTCCCCTGCCGTGCCCTCCTCCCAGTGGCCCTACCCATCTGTCCCCCTGGGATTCCAGTCTGCAGGGTCAGGCATGGTCCCCACTCAACGGGTACACACGTCCCCGCTAAGACTGCTGTTGTCTCCTCCCAGTGACCACAGTCCTCTTGGTCTGGCCAGCTGTCGGGCAGCCCCACCTCCTGCCCCACCAGGACAGGTGCCCGCGAGGCGACTGAGGGGACAAGTGTGCAGAGACCCCGGGCTGGGCCCAGCACAGGAAGTAAGGAGTCTGGCCAAGCAGGATGGCATTTAATGGGGGCAGTGCCCCAGGGACCTGCGGGGGAGGGGCAGCGTGAGGGGCAGGCCTCAGTGGGGGATCTTCACTCCGTGCCACCGACCGGCTGCTGCTGGCCTCGCCTGCCGACCTCTGTAGCATGGAGACGGCACTCAGCCCACAGGGCAGCCTTGGGTGCAGGGCACGCCACCCAGCCGCACTGGCTGCCCACTCACCATCCAGGATGTGGAACTGGTCTGCGGCCTCACAGAAACCTGGGGGCCAGGCAGGGGTTAGGGTGGCAGGGCCAAGGCCTGCAGGAAGGGTGGGTGGGCAGGCGGGCCACGGGGGCTACTCACCATATTTGGGGAAATACAAAATGTGGTCCTCGGTCAGATTGGCCTGCTGGACCCGCTGCTCAAACTTGTCCACCACCAAGTTGTCCACGGGGAGTGAGCGGGCTGTGGGACGGAGGGCTCCTGGGGTGCCCGGCTCCCACCCCGTGCTGCTGGGCAGGGTGCCCTGGGGACAGGGTCTGTGTGCCTGCCACACACCCCACCACAACTGACCAGTGCTCCTCCTGCCCCTCCTGGTCCCTCACCTGCAGGGGCACCTCCCTGGACCCTGGTCAGAAGGAAAGGGTCAGGACTACCTGAGGATGGATGGAGGGAGGGGAGGGCCTCTGTGTGCGCCAGGGCTTGGCCAGCCCTCATGGACGGGGCCCAGGGAGCAGAACCCGGGCCGCCGTGTGGACCCACCGTACAGCTTCACCGAGAGCCGCCGGGCCCGCTCCAGGTACAGGATGGCAAAGCTGCTGTAGTCTGTCTCCCCCACGGCCACCTGCACCTCCCCTCTGGCACCTCGAGCTGGGCAGAGACCACTGGAGGTGAGCTTGGCCCCACCCCCCCCACCCTGCACCCCCCCTGCTGCCAGGCCTCACCTTGTAGCAGGAAGCGGCCCGGGACTCCCGTGCTTCTGTAGAGCTGCCGCACCTGCCAGCAGATGCCGTCCCTGGGTGGGGGGGACACGGCGGCTCGGGGACCCAGCCCGGGAAGCCGCGGGGCTCCGCGGTCCGGGCCGAAGCACGTGGATGGGGCTGGGGTGGGGCCTAAAGGACTGTGCTGCACTCACAGCTTTCGGAAGGTGTTGATGGCCATGGATGTGCCCTGGGGATCCACGTGCAGCTTCGTGGCCTCAGCCCGGTGGCCCTGCTCCTGCAGGAAGCGACAGGAGGAGGCCACAGAGGCCAGGAACCAAGTCCCTGCGAACTGGAGGCCACCGTATAAGGGCACGAAGGATGGGGCTGCCCAGGCCTGATCCCCTACAGAGCTGGGGGGGCCGCGGCCTCCCCATCGCCCCCTGCTCCACCTGCTGAGTGTCGAAGTCAGCCTTGGGCTGGATGGCGCTGATGGGGGACAGGGGCTGGGCGGGTCTCCGAGCCCTCAGACCCAGGAAGCCAGCAGCCAAAACAAGAGTCAAGAATAGTGCAGTCCTGGGAAGCAGCATGGTGGAGGCAGCGACGGGAACAAGAGTGAGGGAAACCAAGGGCAGGGTGGCCACGTGCTGGGTCGGAGTCCACAACCCGGTGCTGCCAGGAGCCTGGCCCGGGAAGTCCAGGTTGTTCTCCCCAAGCCCCAACGTAGAGCGAGGTCCCCCCACCCCCCGCATGGACGTCTGACCTTGACCCTGCACTTCCCGGCAGGGCCCTGGCACCATGCCCCGTGTACAAAGGCGGAGTTGACCTCTTCCTATTTGAGAGCCCCCACGAACTTCCACTGTGGCCGGTACTCAGCCCTTTGCACATTTATCTCCCTCAAGCCGCCCGCAGCTCCTTGAGCCAGGAACTGGTGTAACCTAAAGCCACCTGCTAAGGGCCCCAACCACAGCCCCAGAGCCGGATCGAGAACCCCCCAGCTCGGAGTCTGGCGTGCAGCCCCCTGCTCCTCCGGGACGCCAGGGGCGCTCTTCTGAGCGCGCCGGAGCGCGCAGGCGCACAAAGCACCGCCGAGCCACAGAGTCCGACGCGCAGGCGCAGCTGACACCGGGCGTTCGGCCCTCCGCAGCCATCGATGCCTCGGGGCTCGTGGCGGCGGCCTGGCGGCCCCATCTTAGAAACGCAGCGGCGGGCGGAAGCGGGCCTGTGGGCCGAGGCAGGGCGCCGGGGCGCGGGTAGCGCAGCCGGGCGGAGGCGGCCGCGGTGAGTGAGCGCAGCCCCCCGGGAACGACGTCACTCAGCCTCGGGGAGCGTCGTTACCCGGCCTCGGCCCCGGCCCCCAGGGAGTGTCGTCACCAGTCCCCGAACCCTGGGCCCTGGTTCCCAGCCCCCTTCACCCCCGCACCCTCACCCAATGAATGAGCCGTAGGCCTCGCCCCCGGCAGCCTCTCGGAATGAAGGTGGGAGGGGGCGCTGGGCGTGTCCCGCCCCAGCTCCTGCGGCGGTGGCCGCGCTGGCCCGCCGACCGCCTGGCAGGGCTCTCCTAGGCCACGGAGCAGAGACCGAGGGCTGGCTGGTGCCCCTGGCGGCGTCTGGGGCGGGCACCAAAGCCCTCTTGGGAAGGAAGTCTCTGTCGCAGGCCGACAGCTCCAAAGCATCGGGGAGGAGAGGTCAAATGGACAGGAGGGCACCGTTCGTTTCTTGGCTTCGGAGCGGTCGCCAGCCCTGGCACCCAGATGTCCCCCTGCGTCTACGTGCGGGGGAGGTCAGAGGGCCTAACCTGAGGCCTGTCCCCAAGGCCTAGAACCTTTGGGGGTGAAGGTGGGTCGGGTCCCTGGGGGCCCGCCCCATGCTGCCCCTCAGGCTGGACCAGGCTCCGAGGTGCCAAGACGTGCCCGCTGCTTGCCCGGAAGCTGCCTGTCCCAGGGAATCAGGGACTTCCTGGGGGCGCCACCGGAGCGTGTGGTCCAGGAGCAGGGCCGTCCAGGGAGGCTTGGTGAAGCTGTCGGCGCCTTGGTTGGGTGGGCAGTGCTTGCTGGCCATCCGCACAAGCTCAGTCTAGCAAAAGGCCCAACAGGGCAGTGGGTGTGTGGCTGAACGACAGGCCTGGGCTGCCTCTGCCCTGCCAGGGCTCGGCACCTCTCCTCGGCTCAGGGGCCAGTGTCCTCCCTGGACCGACTGGTAGCTAAGGCAGCTGTACGTGGCTTTCAGGGCCGCCTGGGCAGAATGTCAGGATGGATGAGGGGGACACGCCCCTGCTCCCCGACAGCCTGGTCTACCAGATCTTCCTGAGCCTGCGCCCTGCGGACGTGCTGGCCGCAGGGCTGGTGTGCCGCCAGTGGCAGGCTGTGTCCCGGGATGAGTTCCTCTGGAGGGAGCAGTTCTACCGCTACTACCAGGTGGCTCGAGATGTGCCCCGACACCCAGGTCAGCCCTGGCACACAGCCCTGCCACCCACTGGGCCAGCTGGGTGGGAGGCAAGGCCGCCCTCCACCTCCAGGTCCTCACACGGAAGGGGCACAGCCAGGGCACACCGGGGAGTGCAGGGCCTGGCAGGAAGCCAAGGGTGGGCAGGGCTGCACTGGGGTTGGGGGTGCCAGAGCAGAGACTAGTGGGCTCCAGGGGCAGGGCTGGCCCCCACACTGTTGGGGCCCCAGCAGTGAGAGCCCCCTGCCACGTACGTGCCTTGCAGGGGCCACGTCCTGGTACGAGGAGTTCCGGCGGCTCTATGACACGGTGCCCTGCGTGGAGGTGCAGACGCTCCGGGAGCACACCGACCAGGTGCTGCACCTCAGCTTCTCCCACTCGGGCTACCTGTTTGCCTCCTGCTCCAAGGACTGCACCGTGAAGGTGAGGGTGGCAGGGCCTGAGGCCAGGCAGCCCACCAGGTGGGAAGGGAGGGTCAGGCTGGAGATGAGGTGCCCAGTCTGCACGTCCCCCCAGAGAGGGCCAGGCCAGGAGAGAGGCACCTCAGCCAGGAGGAGCACACAGGACAGGGGGCTGGATCAGGGAGGTCAAAACTGCCAACAGTACCCTGGCTGGTGTGGCTCAGTGGACTGAGTACCGGCCTGTGAACCAAAAGATTCCCAGTCAGGGCACCTGCCTGGGCTGTGAGCCAGGTCCCCAGTAGGGGGTGCGCCAGAGGCAACCTGTGGGGTGGGCTGACAGCCAGGAGCGTAGAGCCGCCAGGATGGCGCTTCTGGGCACCGGCTTGGGCCAGAGGGCAGGGCTTGCAGCAGGGGTGCCTGGTGGCCACTCACACTCCGGGCCTGCGTGCAGATCTGGAACAACGACCTGCTCATCTCGCTGCTGCACAGCGCGGACATGCGACCCTACAACTGGAGCTACACCCAGTTCTCCCAGTTCAACCAGGATGACTCGCTGCTGCTGGCCTCTGGGGTGTTCCTGGGGCCCCACAACGCGTCCTCCGGCGAGATCGCTGTCATCAGCCTAGGTTCGAGGGGGCCTGAGCGCTGGGCCTCGACCCCTCCCCAGGGGCCGCCCTCCACCAGGCCCCGCCCCTCCCTTTGGCAACCCTCTGTTTGCTCCCTGCAGAGAACTTCACGCTGCTGTCCCGTGTCCGCAACAAGCCTTACGATGTGTTCGGCTGCTGGCTCACGGAGACCAGCCTGATCTCAGGGAACCTGCACCGCATCGGGGACGTCACCTCCTGCTCTGTGCTCTGGCTCAACAACGCCTTCCAGGTGCGGGGGGCGTCCGTCAGTGGGGACCCCCTCCCACTGGCCTGGCCGGCCACCCACCGCCTGCTCCCTCCTCCCGCTCCCTCCTCCCAGGACGTGGAGTCCGAGAACGTCAACGTGGTGAAGCGGCTGTTCAAAATCCAGAACCTCAACGCCAGCACCATCCGCACAGTGATGGTGGCGGACTGCAGTCGCTTTGACAGCCCGGACCTCCTGCTGGACGCCGGGGCGCCCCCCGGCCGTGTCTTTGACCTGGGTGGTGACAAGGAGGACGAGGAGGACAAGGACGAAGCAGCTGGCCTGGCCCCAGTACGGGCCAAGGAGGGCTGGCGGCGCCTCCCAGACAGACTCCTGGACAGGCGGACACAGCCACAGCTGGCGGAACGCGCACTGGAGACCAAGGTGGCGGAGCTGCTGGCTCAGGGTCGCACGAAGCCCCCAGAGTGCAGTGCGGCCAGTGCTCTGGACAAGCTCCTTATTTTCACCACGGGCTGCCTCACCTACTCGCCACACCAGATCGGTAACCGTGGGCAGGGCCTGTCCTCAGTCCTCCGGGGTATTGGGCCCAGAGGGGCCCATGGGCGTCGGGGCATGGCGGGTCCCTCACGGGTTCCTAACGCCGCCCCTCCGCAGGCATCAAGCACATCCTTCCGCACCAGATGACTACGGCTGGGCCAGTGCTGGGCGAGGGGCGGGGCTCCGACGCCTTCTTCGATGCCCTGGACCACGTGATCGACGTGCGGGGGCACATTATTGGCATGGGCCTGTCCCCGGACCACAGGTGCGCGGCGCTGGGCTGGGCCGTCTGAGGGCTGCGGCGCACGTGCGAGCAGGTGTCTCTCCCCAGGTACCTGTACGTGAACAGCCGCGCCTGGCCCAGCGGCTCGGTGGTGGCCGACCCCATGCAGCCCCCGCCCATCGCTGAAGAGATTGACCTGCTGGTGTTCGACCTGAAGACCATGCGGGAGGTGAAGCGGGCTCTGCGCGCACACCGCGCCTACACACCCAACGACGAGTGCTTCTTCATCTTCCTGGACGTCAGCAGGGACTTCGTGGCCAGGTGGGGGCACGTGGCCAGGGGTGGGGGGCGGGGATAGCGACCAGCGTGGCCCCCAGGGGCTCACCCCGGGCTGCCCTACAGTGGCGCCGAGGACCGGCACGGCTACATCTGGGACCGCCACTACAACATCTGTCTGGCCAAGCTGCGGCACCAGGACGTGGTCAACTCAGTGGTCTTCAGCCCCCAGGAGCAGGAGCTGCTGCTGACCGCCAGCGACGACGCCACCATCAAAGCCTGGCGCTCGCCCCGCACTGTGCGCATCCACCAGGCTCCGCGCCCACGCAGCTTCTTCTCCTGGTTTGCCAGCCAGAGGCGCTGAGGGGACTGGCCAGGAAGGAGGATGCCTTGGACGCTGTGGCTCTTTCCACGGCCGCATTGCTGCCCGGACCATGGCGGGGGTGGGGTGGGGCAGAGAAGCTCGCAGCAATAACGCCTTAGGAGAGGGGTCTGGCGCTGAGCGGACAGCCGGGCCCCACCACGCTCGCACGCATACGCCACCTCCTGTGGCCTCAAAGCTTAGCACTGGGGCGCTGGGTGGCCGCCTGGCTGACTTGGGGCACACAGGACACTGGGAACCTCATTCTTCACCCACCCCTTCCCCTGGTCCTGGACCCTAGGACTTCAGTGCACTAGGCTCGGCCAGGCCTGTGGGCCCCGGTGGCCTTCCTGGTCAGACCCTGCCCTGGGAGCCCCACTCTGGTCGGTGGTGCGAGTCTGCCCATTGTAGGAGGCCCAGGCGAACTGCATGTCACTAGTCGCCTGCTCAGGACTTGAATAAACAGTTGGCCACAGCATGCCATCCAGTCTCTGTGCTAACACAGACTCCAGTCCTCAGCCGGACGCTGAAGGAGTGCGCCGTCTGGAGGAGGAGTGGTGGCAGCCGTGCGCAGCCACGGGGTGGGCTGGCACCCGGGAGCGCTGACGGTGCAGGGGAGGCAGACCTGCAGGTCCACACAGGCTCAGGAGGACGCAGGGCCGCCACCCTCACCGCCCGCTCCCCCTGCAGCCAGGCTGGGGTGCAGGGGCAACGCTGTTCTCTTACAGGTGCCAGGATTGTTTAGGCAAAAACCCCCACAATCTAGGGAAAAACCCCACAGCCTCCCAGAAACAGGAAGTGCACTCAGGAAGCTCACAGGCCATGTGTGGGACACAGAGCAGCCGAGCCCCTGAACCCCAGGAAAATACGACTGCACCCCGAGGCCTTTCACGGCAGCCGAAGTAGGAGGTGCATGGGCCTGGCCCTGGCAAGTGCACGGTGGACGCGTAGTTCCACCTCGGGGACCTGGCCCAGAGCCCGTCCGTGCATCAGCAGACTGGGAGACCCGGCACAGAGGCCCCACCCCCCGAAAGGGACTCCGTGGGGCCTGCCCGGTCCCAGGGGCAGTGCCGTGGGGCTGCTGTAGGTAGAGGCAGGCAACTCTCATAAGACGAGCACGCACTCCCCAGAACAAACAGCTGAAACGATTCTGAAAAATGAGAGCGAAGCTGGAGTGGCAGCACTGGAGCTGCTGCCGCTGTGACCCTGCCGGTGAAGACAGCGTCACACACCCACAGTGGACACTCGTTTCAGTGAGCGGGGCTGGGACAGCTGGCCACCCGTGTGCAACACAGAAATGGACCCAGACGTGCCCCACGCCTTGGACCAACGCGGACCCTGGGGGTGGCAAGTCTGTGTGACCTGGGGAAGTGCCAGGTCCCCAGTGGGGCCATGTGAGAGGCAACCCATACACTGATGTTTCTCTCCCTTTCTCTCACCCTTCCTTCTCTCTGAAAATAAACAAAATCTTAAAAACAAAACTCAGCAGTAGGCAAACAACCAACTCAATTTAAAAACGAGCAGAAGAGCCTTGGCTGGTGTAGCTCAGTGGATCGAACACTGGCCTGCAAACCAAAGGGTCACAGGTTCGATTCCCAGTCAGGGTACATGCCTGGGTTGCAGGCCAGGCGCCCAGTAGGCGGTGCTTGTGAGGCAGCCACACACTGATGGTTCTCTCCCTCTCTTCTCTTCCCCCAGGAAGACACACCTGTTGTGCACGCAGGCACATGGCGCTCCTGAGGACGGACTGTCACAGGTGCTGCCACCAGTACTGGTGGGAACACAGCAGGGTCTAGCTGATGGCCCCCCCAGGGGCTCCCACATGAGAGCCCTGTCCCGGGTTCTGAAGGCGGGGGGCCAAGGGCAGGTGCTGGCTGGCAGGGCGGGGACGCCCTGGCTCAGGTGGCAGATTCTCCAAGTCCTCACAGGCCCACCTGCCAACACCTCCGCCTGGGAGTGGGGTTCTGCAGGACTTTGTGTGTGCGCCTGCGTGCGTGTGCATGTGAGCATATGTGTTGGGACACGTTCGGGCCCAAGAAGCTGCTCTGAAACACGGTTTCGGTTTCTCTTGATTTAATTTTTTAAATATTTTCTTTTTTGAGTTTAGAGAGGGGGAGGCAGAGAAGACGAGAAACCCCAACCAGCTGCCCCCCTTAAGTGCCCCCGGGGTGGGGCCCGCAACCCCGACTCGCCCTGACTGGAGTGCGCTGCCCTGGCCGTGTGGCCACACGGCACTGCTCCCTGGGACAAGGCTGCACCCAGGGGCTCAGAGCAGCTGATTCAGACCCTGATGCCTGGTGTCCACAGGCCCACGGGGTGCCACTGAACAGAGCCAGGGACCTGTGACATGCCCAGCCCCCCAGCACTCCAAAGCGTCCTGTGGAGGGACAGAGGCCGGCCTCAGGTGTCACACTGCGTGATTCTGTCCTGGGGCGCAGGCCCAAAGCCGTGGGCTCCCCGACCTTCGGCAGGCTGTACCGTCTGCCTGTCAGGGTGCTGCGGGCACCAGGCTGCACCCAGAGAGACCTGACCCCACGCCACCACAGGACTAAACTGTAAACACTGCTCAGGAGCAAATGCGTTTCACCTGCACCAGCAGCAAATTTGCAGCTGTCGCCTCGCCTGTGATGGGCTGGGTGACAGGGGAGCTGTACCTTTGTCTCTGCGCAGTGAGGACAGGCAGACGCAGGCTGGTGTCCCCCACAAAGACAAGGCGTGCGTGGTGTGCTGTCACCTGCACAGTCGGCACGGGCAGGCTGTGGCCTCCCTGGGTGTTTAAAGGTGACTTTGTGTTGAAGAGCGGGAGCGGCCTTCCAGACGGTGGGGAACACGAGGGGCGTCCAGGGTGCGGCCACTCTGGACAGTAACTGGCAGCTCCTCCTGAGAGAGCATGGGCACAGGCGGGAGGGTCACGGCGGCCACACGGGGGACACCTCACAGTCCCTTCACGGAAGAACACACAGCAACCCGTGCACGTGACGCGGTGCCCTCTGCCCCGAGAGGAAGGACATGCTGCCGCCTGCCACGTGGCCTCCAAACCCTGTGCCAGGGAAGGCGGGCGCAGGCCACGCTGCACACTCCACTTTCACGAGGTCTGTCCGGGAAAAACCCACCCCTGCTCACACCAGAGCGGCTGGCATGACACCGATGTGACCGGCAGCCGAGGAGCGTGGACTGGAATGCACATGCATGAGCCACGACGACTCCACTGCTCTAGTCAGTGGGGGTGTCGGGCACCAGTGAGGGAGCATGTGCACTGTGTGGCCGTCATGTTCAAAATAAGCGAGTGAGGAGAGCATCGAATCTGCCTCAGATTTTGCATTGAGCTTGAACGTTGCTCTGCGGAAACTATTCAGGGGACTCAGAGGCCGCAGCTGTGGGCACCTGGTGATCGGCAGCTTCGTCACAACATGCCCGTTCACGCATCATGTCTCGTGCAGTTTTTGCAAAACATCAAATCACCCAGGTGACTCGGCGCCCCTACAGCCCCGATCTGGCGTCCTGCAACTTCTGCCTTTTCCCAAAACTAAGATCATGTTTGAGAAGAAGAGATCTCAGACCATCGATGAGATTCAGGAAAATACGAAGGGCAGCTGTCGGCGACTGGGGGGACTGAGATTCAGGAAAATACGAAGGGCAGCTGTCGGCGACTGGGGGGACTGTGTGAGGTCCCAAGGTGCCTGCTTGTAAGGGGACCGAGATGTCATCGTCCTGTGAGCAGTGTCTCTTGTGTCTTCGATAAACGTCTACCTCTCATACTCGTGGCGGGTGCCATCTAAACAGGCCTCACATAAATGTCCACAACAGCCAAACCCACGGACAAGCAGGTCAGTCACTGCCAGGGGCCGGAGTGTGTTCTAAAGTTGAGGGTCACAAGGCAGCTCTCGGGCAGGCCTGCCTGCAGGGCCTCCCCCTGGAGGACCCGGCTTCCCTGTGCAAGTCAGTCGGTGAGGGCAGGGGCTGCGCTCGGGGGTCCTAGCACAGACCACCTCTGCAGCTGGCCCTGCACTGCACCCTGCACTGTCAGGCAGGGAGCCCACGCAGGCCCTCGCCCCTTCCTCCTGCCGCTGCCCTGCCCTCTCTGACGGGTACTGGAGCCTTTCTACTCTCACTGAACTGTTACGAACCCCCACGCATATAAACACACACACACACACACCACACCACACCACACACCACACCACACACCCCCAGATGCAAATCGAATGCCTAACCCAGTGTCGAAAGCCACACTCCACAGCAGCAGAAGAAATCACGAGGGTGTTTTCAGCCCCGGGGATGGTAGGGCTTCTCGAATAACTGGCCCACAGCCCCGTCCACAGGAGGTGGACTGTCCCACACTTGTGTCCACATTCGTCCACGCTTTCCGATCGGCAAACGGACAGAGTGCGGGAGGTGTGGACGCTCGCTGCTGGCAGCGCAGCCCAAGCCCCACCGAGTCTCAGCCACGCCGGTCTCCTCTGTGGAGGGAGGCAGGGGAAGGAGATGCAGAGCAGGCCGACCGGTGAGGGGGAGCCGAGAGCTGCAGACATGCCTGCGAGCCGGGCACACGGCCTCAGCTGTGCGGCCACACGTGGCATCCAGGACACAGACACGTGTGCTTACTCCGTCATGCTCCGTGCTTTTCATCCATTTCACAAAGCAGACGAGACAGTGAGGGCAGCCCGGGCCATGGGGTCTTGCCGACGCCCCTGGGCAGCCAGAGCCGGCCTCAGACCCCGAGTCTTGGGAACAGGGCCAGCCACCTGCCTTCGCCCCACGGGCAGAGGCCCTAACCCAAGCCCACCGAGCTCTACCCATGGCTGGTGCAGCCCAGGGGCCTGGGCTGTGGAGGAGACAACTGGTCGGTACAGAGAAGTCCTGTTCTTCTCTGTGCAGGGGAGCAGGTTCGGGGACAATGCCGCCAAGAGATGCCCAAGCACCAGCGAAGCGGTGGGCTGCTCTCCCAGAGCCAGGGTCCCCGCACAGAGGGTGGCGCAGGCCCAGAACAGGAAGCCACGTTCTGTTCCCAGGCAGCCCTCTGGGAAGCCGAGGGAGGAGCCAGCCAGCAAAAACCGTTCCATGAGAAACACCCGCCTCGCGAGGCCCACAGCTGTGAGCTGGGGTGTCAGGAAACAGAGCTGCCCAAGAGCTGGAGACGCAGGTAGGGGCCGTGGGACACCACTTACCACAGAGCGTCAACGGTTTAATAAGGACCTCGCTGTGTGTGGCCTGTTGGCCCAGCCGCCCCGTCTCTCAGGGGCCCGACTGTGCACCCCACGCACGCCACAGGCACAGCTGATGGGCGCTCTAGGGACGCGGGCCACTGCCCTGCTCGCCGGCCAGGTCAGGCTACAGCAGTAGGCCCCCTTGGAGCCACGCCAGGCCCGAGGCTGTCCCGGCTCCCCCGGTGGAAGGGTGGGACCAGGCCCCAGGGGTCCTCCCTGTGCGGCCCACCTGCCCTCTGCTCGCCTCGCTCGGCCGTTCCCACGGCAGGGCGCTCCCGGGCCCGCAGGACGACCCAGCCACCACCTGGGCTGGGCACCCTCCCCGGAGGTGGCTCCTGCCCCCCACGGGGCTCCTCACTGAGCCACTGGCCAGGCTACCTGGCCCCAGCGGAGGCGGCTAGAGTCCCGTCAGGTCCACGATGGCCTTGATGAAGACGGCATCGTCGCGCACGTAGGAATTCCTGGCCTCCATCTTGGAGACAGGGCAGAAGAGGGGGCAGCCGCTTGCGATGTTCATGTCGCCGACGGGCCTCTGGAAGGAGGACGAGGTCACGTCGGGCTTGAAGGCGTCAATCACGTGCTCTCGGTTGTCCTGGTCAAGCAGCATCAGGGTCACCTGGGAGGACAGTGCCGGGGGGGGGGGCCCACATGAGCCTGCCTGTCCCCACTTCCCCTTGGTGACTGGGCTCGTTCTGTCAGCTCTGTCCAGGTCGCAGGCCCCGAGGCCCCGCCCTGTGCCACCAACCGAACCCACAGGGCGTCTCAGCGACGCCCACGGGCACGCCACACCCCTTTCAGGAAAAGTCCCTGCGCTCTGCTCCGACCTCATCCCAGAACCCCAGCTCCTCGACCCACTGCAGGCTCTGGGTTTCAAGGGGGAGGACGCAGCCCCAGCCCAAGCACGAGCTGTGCCCCTGCGTCTGACACAGGTCCTCCAAGGTCGCACTTCTCACTGCCGGGTCCAGTGGCCGTGAGGCCCATGGCCCCCAGAGCACTCGATGGCCGTGCCCAGTGCAGGCCGCAGGGCCAGAACCGGAGCACCGGTCCCAACACCCTGGCTGGCGCTCGGCCCCCCCAGCCCCTCCGGCCCCCTGGGACGGTTCGAGCACCTTCTGGTTGAAAGGCCAGCGCAGGAGAGCGTCGTTGGGGCCCTTCATCACCACGAAGAAGAGCGACAGGTGTGTGCCCCGCCCTGTGCCGTCCCCATTCAGGTACAAACGCAGACACATCTTGTAGCCGTACCTGCTGGTGTAGAAGGCTGGGGTGGGGGGTGGGGAAGTGAGGCGGGGTGGGAGCAGCCGGGCTCCGCACTGCCACCCCCAGCAACAGGCGAGAACAGCCACCTCCCCTCCCTCCGCCCACCACCCACCAGGAGACCCAGGAGCTGGAGGTGGAAAGGGGCGTGAGCACGGCCAGTAGCCCAGGCTGGAGCAGAGGCACCTGTGGGACAGGCCGCCTCGGGGGTGCCTGCCTGATGCAGCTGCCCCTCTGGTGGCCCTGCTGAGATGGGGAGCCCCTCTGTGCAGGGAGCAGGGCACCGGCTCCCTGGGGGCTCCCCCGTCCAGCCCACCCGCTCGCAGGGAGGCACGTGGATGCCCAACACGCAGCAGCTTGGGCACAAGTTGCAGAACAGCACCTGGGGAGAAGATGGCAGGCACTCGGCCGGCCACGGCCTCCTGGCGCTTCCTGGCGAAGTCTGAGATTTTCCAGATAAACACCCCATCGAAGGTGGACGCCTCCATCTCACGGACCTTCTGCTCCAGGTCCGCCATCGCCAGGTCCTTCAGGCCAATGCTCCTTTCTAGCTGCTGGACCTGGGGGCCCGGGGAGCCCTGTGAGGATGCAGGGGCCAGGGCCCTCGCCCCGTTCTGCTCCACAAAGACCACCTCCCACTGCACAGGTGCCCATCTCCCTCCCAGTCTCCCGTGCTCCTGAGCCCCCCTGGGTCAGCCTCTCTCAGGTGTCCACCTCCCCCAACCCCTTGGCCTGAGGGTTCAAAGGCTCTGTGCTAGAGGTCAGGACTGTCCCTGCAGTCCTGCCGCACAGCCCTGGCCCCACAGCACTGCAGCCAGGCACCAACCTTGTTACTCAGGGCTTCGATCCGGCCCTGGTCCAGCCGGTGCTGCCGGCCGCAGGCCTCGACCGTCATGGCCGCCCTCTCCACCTCCCGGTTCAAGACGCAGACGATGTTCTCGAAGGTGGCCGTCTTCCTCTCTAGGGCCTCGCACCTGTGCAGGAGCTCCGAGGCCGCAGGAAGCCCCGGGCCCAGCACACCAGCCTCCTGGCCGCCCCCCTGGCCCTGGGACGGGGGCCTGGCCTCCACGACGCGCAGCAGCATGGCCAGGTGCTCACGGAGCCACTGGCCCTCATGCTCCTGCTGCTCCTCGCCCTCCACCTGCGGTCGACAGGAGGCTCGCGCTCACACCTGTGCGCGGCCCCGGCCGCAGCCCCCAGGCGCACGTGCCCAGCGGGAGGCGACGATGCACGCCAGGGGCTTTGCCGCCTCGTCTGCCTGCCCGCGTTTCCTCTGTTACTGCCAGGAGTCAGTCTCCCTTCAGAACCACATGCCCTCCTGCCGACTCAAACTCAGAGTAACAGGGAAAGCGCACCCGGACGGGCCCCGGGGCTGGAGGGGCCGTCTCCACTGCATAGACCTGACCCGCGGCCACACCCCCTCCAGCCCTGCACAGCGGACTCAGACACTGACTCTCGGAGAATCAGAAGTGGGGACAACGAACGTGCATGTGAGCTGCCCCCACCCCAGGGAGCGGACCCCACGGTGCCTAGACAGGGGACCCCAGGTGTCCCAGGGGTCTCCTGGGATGAGCTGCAGGGACCGCCGTGCACACACTCCAGAGAAAGCCAGCGGTGCTGCATGTGGGGCCCCAGGGCCGGGTCGGACGGACAAGGTCTCCACAGCCTGCAGCGCGGCTGGCACCAGACCTGCGGCGTGTCCACTCTCACCTCTGGGAGGCCAAGGTCTCTGTGCCAGGGAAGCCGGCTCAGAGCAGGAGCAACCTGCACCGAGCCTCCCAGGTGACGGGAGCAGACAGACTGAGGGGCAGAGGCAGCACTGTTCCCACACACTGTCCTTAGGGACACAAGAGCCAGCCCTGGCTGGTGTGGCTCAGAGGACTGAGCACCGGCCTGGGAACCAAAGGGTGGCCAGTTCGGTTCCCAGTCAGGGCACAGGCCTGGGTTGCAGGCCAGGTCCCCAGTAGGGGGCATATGAGAAGCAACCACACACTGATGTTTCTTTCTCCCTTCCCTTCCCTCTAAAAATGGATAAATAAAATATTTTTAAGTAAACAACAAAAAAGGAAGAAATAAGGACCGGACACCCGAGACCAGGGCAGGTGAGAGCCCCACAGGACTGCAGCCACCAGAGATGCTGCCTGGGCCCCACCCTCAGCAGCAGGGACCAGGCGCTGGGCAGGGGCACATGGACAGAGAGCTGCCCAGGAGGGCGGAGCTGCCCAGAAACCAGGTGTGCAGAGCAGGGAGGGTCAGATCCTGGGGTGGGAGGGGCCAGGGTGCTGGAAGACGGCCAGGCCAGTGACTACAGCAGGGAGACAAGGTCCCATCAGCCACGGCCAAGGTCACACGGGAAGGGCCATGCGGGCCACAGAGGTGAGCTGGGCAGGCGAGATCCAGCCAAAGCGGCGGGTGAACCAAGGTCTCATTTCAGACGAGGTGCAGGACTGGCGTGTGGCTGGGATCTGAGATGCCCACTGGGTGGCAGGGAGGTGCGAGGCACTGGGCACTTCCAGCAGGTGGGGGTGGTCAGGGCCGGGTCATGAGGACGAGGGGATCAGTGGGAGGAGAACGGGCGAGCAGCCGAGGGCCCTGCTGTGGAGCACAGGCAGCGGGCAGGTGGGAGTGAACAGGAGGCTAGCGGCTACCGCTAAAAACCGGACTCAGGAGGGGGCGCATGGCGCGGGAGACCGGGACCCCCAAGAGCACTCAGACTTACCACTGCGGGGCAGCCGACATCACGGAACCGGCAGGGCGCCAGGCACTCACGGCCGCACGCCCTGGCGTGGTCCTGAAACTAGGAGGGCGAGGCGTCACCAGAGCCGCACCTCCCGGCAGGTCGGAGTCACGCACCCAGACGCACACCTGTGTGGGCGCAGCCGCACACACTTGCATGCTCACGGTGGCCACACCCCGGTGGGGGCAGCATGGGGGCCAGCACCTCAGGAGACACACAGAGACCCCTCTCCTCTGCACCATCTGGGACGAAGCGGGTCGGAGCGCCCGGACGCTGGGGCTGGGAGCCTGTTTCCCACGGAGCCGGGGACGAGGAGGGGCAGGGCGGGCCGGGGGGCAGACACCCACTCTGACCCACTGTGGCACTGACGCAGAACAGTGCTGAGACCCCCAGAGCAGAAAAGGGAGGCCAGGACACACTGATGCTCCCATAAGTGGAGTGGCCACAGGACACCTAGCAGTGGTCCCCACCAGCCCCAGAAACAGGGACACGGCCCGAGCCCGAGTCAGAACCAGCCGGAGCAGCAGAGCCCTGGGACTGCACCTGCCCGGCAAACCACCAGCAGGCGGAGCGGCAGGGCAGAGGGCTCCGCCTCCAGACAGAGCCCCTCAGAGAACAATGGGGCAGGGGGGCCGGGCCTCGCTTGGGTGTGAGGGGCGCTGGGGGCCTCGTGACAAAGATGCGCTCAGTGTGCTCGTGTCTGAGATACGCCGCCTGAAGCCACCCCGGAAGCCATCTTCCCGCCACACAGGCACCCTGGAGCAGGCAGAGCCGCTTCACCGACCAGCGTGGGCTCCCACGGCCCTGCACCCCTGACCCTCAGCGAACCCCGCTCTAGCTCTCACTTGGAGCCCCACTGCCACTTTGCACACTGCAGCCTCTCTCTGAAAGAGTGACCCCAACGCTTAAGCGCAACAAGGGACCGAGGAGCTGACTGGCAGGTGATTGGGCAGTGCCCGCAGGCCAGACCACGCAGTGAGCCCTGCACCACCACCCTGCCCTCCCAGTGTGAGGGGTGAAGGGTTTCTGCGGCAGGAAGGGCTGTGAACAGGGAGGCGGAAACCTCACCTGCGGCAGCAGTGCGGACCCAGGCGGGGTTCCTCTCCCACAGCCAGGACGCCTGCCGCCCGTCCCGAACCCGCGCTGCGGGAGGGAGTGGTGGGGGCGGGGCGGTGGCCACCGCACCCCGGGGCCCCAGGAACAGTCGGGGCTGCACTGCGCTCAGCTGTGCAGCTGGAAACCAGGCCGCGGTTTCCATCACCAAAGATGTAACAGAAAAGTGGCCCACAGGCGACCCCACCCAGGCTGCCGCTTCTCCCTTGGTGCCAGGACCTGACCCCACAGCACGGGCCCCTCACAGCCCAGGCTCATGCCACCCACCGGCCTCAGAGGTGCCAGGACATGACTCACTTTCTCGCGTGGGATCTTCTTCTTGCCACAGCCGTCACACGTCAGGGGGAACTTGGGGCAGATCTCGTGGTGTGCCTTCAAGGGAAGCGGTCAGGAGTGTCGAGGAGGACGTGGGGGGACAGGGGGCACGTGGACGCAGAGACCAGGCCTGGCCCTGATCACAGGGCGGGTCCTCGGCTCCACAGGGCCCGCCGTCCCCCAGGACTCTCGCCTCAAAGACCAGACACTGGTGGGTCCCACAGGCCCCGTGGGAGCCTCGGAGCCGTCAGCACCGCCCCTCACCTGGCAGCCGCCAGGGCAGCACAGTGAGGAGCAAGACCGTCTGCAGCCCTGACCGAGACAGGACTGCGTGTCAGGGCAGAGTGGGCACGGCCGCGCTGGCCGATGGGGGGACCGGCGGGACTTGCTGGCGATGGACCGACCAGCTGGGACACCTGAGACCCTGCCGAGGCGGCAAGCGCCTGGCGTTCCCCCGACAGGCGGGCCCAGACCAGCCTCTAGAGGTAAGATGTTAGAGGAAGGGGGACAGAGGGACACACGAAGGACACCCTGGGGGAGCGCTCAGCCAGCACAGACTGGCCGGCCTCTTCTACGAGCAAACGAACTCGAGGGACAAGCTCCCACAGGGAGCTGCTGAGGGCGAGGAGGCCGTGCAACCAGATCAGAAGCGCGGTCCATGGCCACCAGGCAAAGCGACAAGGGTCACTGTCCTGTCCGGGCGTGGTGACGGTGCCCAGAGGCAGTTCTGGACGGGACGGCGTGACCCCTGGGACCCGTCCGGTCATCCTGGCACAGCGACGTCAACACGCTGCCCTCCTACGCGACTGGGCTTTCCCGAAGTGAAGCGGCCCCTCCAGACGAGGGGGCAGGCCCTCAGCCCCAACCTCCTGCCGCACGCCCCCCTGCAGACACCCTGGCCCACCCTCACCTTCACGTCGGCCCCACAGCAGGGGGCCCTGCAGTGCCGGCAGCCGTGGCTCCTCTCCGGGCACTCCTGCTCAGCGTGCCGCTCCTTGTCCCCCAGGCGCACCGGGCCTCGGCACGCCGGGCACTCGGTCAGCAGGAAGGGGCAGTGTCCTTCGTGGCAGCTCTGGTAACACAGGGAGCACGGTGTCTACGGAGCCCCTGGGACACGCAGTGGCTGTGAGGAGGGGCCGAGGGTCCAGGGCCAGCCCTGTCCCACTGCACATGGGCCTGACCAGCCCCACCCTCTCACAGCCAGGGGTTGACAGCCAGGGGTGACAGCCTGCAGGGATCAGCAGAGCAGGGGCCTGCGAGCAACCGAGAAGCCAAGGCAGTGCGGAAGAAGGATGCAGTGCAGGGGCTGGCTCGGGCCTCGGGGGCCAGGAATCCAAAGGGGACCCAGTCCGGCCTGGCCTCAGGTCACTGCTTCACTGCCAATGAGCTGTCAGGGAGATCCTGGGGGCTCTGAGGGACCTGGGACGGCCACCTGGACCAGGTGAAGGTGAGGAAGGGCAGGACCAGGACATGTGCCAAGAGCCCAAAGCCTTGGAGGAGACAGGAAGAGCAGGCCAGTCGGGCCCCTGACCAGCCCCGAGGGGCTGAGCAGCCAGACAGAGACTGCGGGCGACTCCGGGAAGGACCTGCTGTGACGGAGACAGAGAGAGCTGCGGACTTACGGCTGAGTTTCTTTCATTGAGATAAAACACGCAACATAACAGCAACAGTCCCTACCCCACCATCAGGGCACGGCTCAGAGGCCTTAGGGACAGTCACCCTGCTGTGCAGCCGCCACCGTCTTCTCCAGGACGGCCGGTCTTCCCACAGACACTCGGTCCCCGTGAGACCCCACTCCCACTCCCACCCCTCCCCCAGCCCCACGGTGGACTCCCTGTCTCTGGGTCTGCCTCCTGCAGGGACTGCATGTCCGCAGGACCTCACAAGACTGTCCCCCTGTGACTGGCTTCTTCACTGAGAGGATACACCACTGCGTGCCACGGGGAGTGACGTGGAGAAAGAAACCTGCTGGGGGAGGAGGGGCAGATCAGGGGTCCCTGGGGAGCAGGGTCACTGTGACCTTGAGAGGCACGCGGAGAGCCCAACGTGCTGCGCCCCAGCCCTGAGGGTGTGCACAGACACTCGAGCCGTGTGTGCACCAGGGAGGTGCTCAGTGCTTGTCATTCAGGAGCAAGAAATGGCAGGTGAACCCCAGGCCTGTAGCGGGTCCAGGGCTCTAGACGTGCAGTCAGCGGTGCCCACGTCTCCTCTTAGAAGCCCCCCACGTGCCTCCTGGAGCAAGCACCCTGACCCCGGGGCTCCCCTCCAGGCAAGCCTCCCTGGCAGCCCCTCAGCAGCCCCCCCGACGGACCAGTGGACACAGGCAGCCGGGAGGGGACTGGGCTAAACGGCCTGACAGGCTAGCAGCTCGAGGGGAGGCCTGAGCCCTGTGCCCCTCCTCCCCAGCAAGCACCCTCCTCCGGGCTTCGCCCCCTGGGACCCCCCACACCCAGAGGGCACTGCGGTCCCTGTGCCCGGGTCCTGCCTGCCCAGGGAGCCCTGAGGGCGGGGCCAGGCCGGGCCACACGGAGTACCAGGCAGTCCGTCCAGCTGAGCCTACGGGCCTCAGCGGAGACCAGGGCACCGCACCCGGTCCGGGTGTGAGGCCCCTGGAGGGTGCGCTCTGAGCAGGACACACTGTGTGGAGCGCACTCGGACTCGGACGCCCCCGAGAGTGCTGGCGCCGCCGCGCAGGGGCGCAAGGGCACAGGGCCAGGCGGGTCGCACCTGCCCACCTGCCCCCAGGTCCGTGCCTGGAGCAGCGACACTGCACCGCCTCTGCCCAGAACAGGCCCCATCAGCTCCCCACCCCCGGGCGGGCCTGCGGAGAATTCCGACGAGGTGGGGAAGCACAGAGCAGAGGGGAGCACCTGGCAAGGTCAGCGCTGCGAGGCGCCCAGCAGGCCGTCCAGAAACCCCTCCCTGAGCTCCGGGGAGACACGCCACAGCACCGCAGAGGCGGAACACTCTGAGGCACGGCAGGGTTTCCCCCGGCTTTCCACGCTGTCACCCGCCTGCACTGCAGCGTGAGCACCCACAATGCCACCCCGGTGCTGAGCAGCCCCGAGCTGGGCCCCGCCGGCTCAGACGTGATGGCGAGCTCCAGCTTGGTGGGGCGGGGGGCACCTGTGCCCCGGGCCTGTGGCGCTGACAGGCGGGGGAGGTTCGATCGGCACGTCCAAGGCCAGGGCCAGCGTGTCCTAGAGCAGCGCCTCCCTCCCACATGACTGCACCAGCTCTCGGGGACTTTCCAGGGCCCAGGGCAGCCAGGGACTTCCCAGCCTGCGTGCCTGCGGCCACAGCAGGAGCCGAGGGCTGGCTGCCGTCCCTGGCCTCAGCTGGAGGTGGCAGAAACCGCAGAAGAATCAGAGATAGGGGTCAGTCCGCCTGTCCCTGGGGGCTTCTCAGCCCCCTTAGAAGGCGTACCGTGCCTCACATGGCCCGCCCCACCCAGGGGAGACCCGACCCCAAGGCCCCTCTGAACGGCAGTGACAGCTGCAGGTCTGGACGCAGCAGCATCTCCTGTCTCTGCGGGCGCAGCAAGGTGGCCTCCGGGCAGCGGAGCCTCCACCCACAGGGCAGAGGCCGCTGCTCCCAGGAGGGGCGCGGCGGGAGTGGGGAGCCCAGAGCGGCTCCTTGTCCACCCCCCCGAGGCTCCTCCCAGAGAGGCCTGCTGCTTCCCCGGCAGAACACAGAACGCAGGTGAGCGCCCAAAGACCACGCGGGCCAGAGGCCCAGAGGGCAAGAGCAGCGTGTGCGGCTGGAACAGGCAGGGAGAAGCCCTCCAGGGCTCCAGGACCCCCACGCAGACCCAACACCCGTCCCCACCGTCCCCAATCGTGCCGGCTCAGTCCCAGGCCTGCTCGCAGCTGGGTCACCCTGGTAGGAGCCTAACCCTGGGAGAACCTGGCTTCACCACCCAGTTCCCTGGCCTTGCCCCTCGCAGACCCCAGCCTGTCACTCTGCACCACGGCCAACCCCTCCCCCCGCCCTGGCCACCACCACTGTGCTCCCAGTCTCCGAGTCGGGCTCTTCCAGGGACCACAGGACCCCCCCTGCTGGGCGTGGCTCATCTCGCCAAGCACAGTGGCCTCCAGGACGTCCCCACTCCAGCTGGGCCCCTTCCTTTTCCTGGCCTCGTGAAGGTCCCTGGTCGGAACTCGCCATGTCTCGCTGTCCCTCCGTCAGTGGGAGTGTGTGTGGCCCCTGCAAACCTCGTGTGCAAGTGACCGCCTGAGACGTCGTGGCAAGGAGCACTCATTAAGAAGGTGACAGGTGACTGGACATGCTCTGGCACCTCTGGGCCTCCAAGCTGCACCGCTAGTGGCCAGATGCCCATCACACAGAAGCCCAAAGTGCCAACGCAGGGACACAAGCCACCTCCCCTGGCAGAGAAACAGGCTACAGAGAAGCCTCGCGCATGAGCCCCTGCCTGCCCCAGGCCAGGTGCCTCTGTGTGACCCTAGGAAGCCTGTGCAGGTGACTTCTACGACAGCCAACGTCAGCACAACTTCAAACAGAAAAGCCGAAAAGCCTCACCTGCAGACCTGACAGAGAAGTCCCCCCTCCCCACGCCCCCATCCCGAGCCAGAAGGCTGGTTTCCTGCACGGACGGGACCCACTGCAGTGGCTCATGGGCAGGAAACGCCCTGCCCACACCACCCCCACGGCAGCGGTTGCACCCGGGCCCACAGGCCAGGAGACCGAGGCCAGGCCGTGCGGGGCTCTGTGGCGCGGGTCTGCGCTCTGCCCGGTTGGGTCTCAGCAGGCATGTCACCAGTGCCAGCGGACGCCCCCCACAGTCATCAGGGGGGCAAACCCGGGAGGCGCTGTGCTGGGGAAGAGCCTCCCTCCCAGTGGCCGCGCTCGCACAGAAAGGTGCTACCTCGTACTCCTTGAGGGTCCCCTTCCAGGTGCAGCCCTCGCTGGGGCAGACGGCTGGCAGGCTCTCCACCTCCCTGCGGGCGGCGTTGTCCGGGAAAGCCTGTGGAGAGGGCGCCGTGCCGTGAAGCCTCCTCCAGGCCCTGCCGCCGGCCCCGCACAGTGCATTCCTCTGCACTCAACCCATCCAAACCAGACACCGCGCGGCGCTGGGTCACCTCCAGCTGCTGCGGAAGTTTCACCCACCCTTGGTGTTAAAGGAAAGGCGACACGCTTTCTGGTCAGCGTTTCAGCCGCGAGACTCCACGTACCGAGCCGCTCTCTAAAATCGAGACGCCCTCTTCGTACACACCCTCGTGCACACAGGCAGCGCAGTCCCGGGGCCCGGAGCTGGGGGGAGAGGCTGTGTGAGAGCGGCTGCCAAGGACACTCGGCGAGTCCACCTCGAGCAAGGTGTTCCCGGTGGCGTGGCCCACCTTGCTGCACCACCAGCCTGCCTGCAGAGGGCCTCTGCCCCTCCCACGCACTGTGCCCACGCCCCTCCCTGGCCCTGCGGCCCTGCGGCCAAGCCCGCCACCACCCCGTACCTGAGGATGCTGCTCAGGCAGGAGGAGCAGTAGCGGTGGCCGCACTGCGCCTGGAAGGGCCTGCGCAGGACGTTCTTGCAGGCGGAGCACAGGTACTTGTCCTCCAGCTTGGTCCCCAGGATGGTCTTTTCGAAGCCAAACTGCAGTGCATCCAGGGTGCCGGGAGGGGTCACACTGGCTGCAGCCATGGGAGCCACGCCCTGGGACCACTGAGCCCTGAGGAGGAAAGAGTGCGTCAGGGCCGCCCGGTGAGGCACCCAACTCCACTGTGACCCTCGGGGAAAACGCCGCAGCCTAGTGGTCAGGGCTCTGGGTCGTCAGGCTGGCTGGTGGCCAAGAACCTGAGAAGCAGGACTTGAGTGATCTGGGAAGCCTGGGAAACAGCCCGGCCCTGCTTCGTCACCACGCAGAAAGCAGGGTCCAGCCACAGAGGCGACCAGCCCCCAGCACCCGGCGGGCACCCCCACGCCCACCTTGCAGCCCAGGCTGGCAGGCCGTCCTTGACGTCACCCAGCCTGCATCTGAGCACGGAAGATGTCACCCCCCTGCTGACACTGCCCCGTGGCCCCTGAGCGTGAAGTGCTGTCCCCTCCAGGACACTCAAGACCCAGGCAGACCACCAGCCTCTGCAGACACGGAAGGGTTCTCCTTCCTGTGCCCGGAAACACATTCCCGAGTCTGCCCGTGGTCCAGGCCTATGGCCTTCCAGCCAGGAGGCCGTGACACGAGGCCCCTCCCAGGAGGGGACGGGGGCTGCTCGGAGCAGCAGTGGCACTCGGAGGCCGGCCTGCTGTCCTAAGCTGGCCTGACTCCACGGGACACAGCGGAAGGCGGGGACGCTCCGAGTCTCCTCGGTGGGCCCTGGCCCTGGGGAGGCCTCACACCCGAGGGCCCTGCGTGGCTCACAACAGTCTCCCAGCCTGCAGAGACCCCTGGCCCCTGGCAGACGCTGCACCCAGGGCCACTCCACACAAGGGCACACCTGTCACTCGCTTATTCGCAGTGCACGTGCTCTCCAAACACGGGGCCACCGGGGACCCCGGTCAACCCTCCCGCCCGTCCCACACGCAGATGGCCCATCGGCTGCAGCCTGCGAGACACAGAGCGCCAGGCGGCCCTGGCCCCACGCGCATGGCCAGTCCTACTTCTTTCTGGTCATGCTACCAAATGGATTCCGCGAAACACCACGGCTCTCGCTACATTAGACACGAGGGCTCAGAATGTCCCTGAGAAGAGAAGGGGCCACGAGCTTTCAGTCCAAACTCCACTTTGTACCTCCTGTGACACACAGAACGGAATATGGAGCGAGAAGGACCCTGCGGTCACGGCGCATTCCCTGCGGGCGACGGGCTGGCACGGGTGGCAGGCTGCGTGCTGGGCGCTGGGGGAGGGAGACACCGCTCTTTTAGACTCTGGCTCCCGCTGAGAGCGGCCTGCAGCCTCTGTGAGACCGGGCCCTGCTCTCCGAGTCCACACTCCACCAGGACACCCGCGCTTGGCCAGGGCCCAGCTCTCAGCTAATTGGCCACACCTTCGGTGGCAGGTGGCACTGGTGTCACGGCTCCATCAACTGGCTCCTGTCAGACACACAGTCGGTGTCCCTTTCAACTGGCAGAAACAGGAAATAGCCCCAACACACGGCGGGACCTCGGCCGGTCCCAGTGCTCCTCCTGCTCGGTGGGCACAGCCGCCGACACACAGGAGAAGAGGGGGCTGGAGGAGGGGTCCCAGCTCCCCGGCACCAGGGCGCCAGCCGCAGGCAGGACGGGCAGGGGGTGCCCAGGTGCACCCTGGGGGTTAAGTCCTCAGCATCCCATTCGAATCTCACCTCAGTGCGTCTCAACTTTCCAGAACTGTCACAGAAACGGCACGAGGACAAAGCAGCCCTCGTGCACCTGCCCAAACCCTAGAACAAAACCCACGTGTCTCTGGCCCGTCTGAACCTCCCTCTGGCAGAAGCCACACCCGGCCGGGCTCCCCGACAGCCCCCGCACAGGCGTGCCCAGAAGGGGTCCTGCCTTTGGGGCAGCTGCCACGGGGCCAGGCGTCCTGAGCACTCTGACCCGGAACCAAAACGCCCTGCCAGTCCCTTCAGCTTCCACGTTACCTTCCAACGCCGACTTTCAGGTGAGTTGGTTAGAAATGAGACCTAGGAAGCCCGTCCATTCGCGGTGCCTTGCGTTCGGCCCCCCTTCCCCAAAACATACACCTGAGGCGAGTAGGGAGCTCGCCAGGATGGCCTGCCCCTTTGTTAAAAGGCATTTTTCCCGCCTACAAGGCTGTGTTTACAGAGGAACTTCGGTTCCACGCGTCAAGGTCAGGCAGTGCCGCCCGCGGTGAGGGGCACAGGGTGGTGGTGACTCTGCGGGTGGTGACTGTGCGGTGTGTCAGACGCCCGCCTGGCCTGGCAGAGCCTCCAAGCCCCTGGGACCGCCGAGAGCGCAGGGGACAACGCAGCAGCTTCTGTCATTCCCAAGCCCCCTTGGACACCAGTCACCCCTAATTCTGGGGTGGGGGGACCTGCAAACTGACTTAGCCACCAGCGGTGACCGAGCCCCTGTAAAAAAACCCCACAGGACTGGGTTCAGAGAGCATTCGGGGTGGAGAACGCACCCCGGGGCCAGGAGGGTGGCTCTCTGGACAGGACAGGGAGCTCCCTGCCCGGCCCCCACACCTCCCCTAGGTGGCTGTCCCTCGCTGTGTGACCACCATGCCCGCCTGACCACCCGAGACCAGCGGCGACCTGCAAGAGCGAGCCGTGCTGGAGCACTGGCCGGTGCTGCCCAGACCTCCGGACCTGCGTCCCACCAGGCGCACAGCACAGGCTTGGGGGGGGGGGGTCGCCGCAGAGCCACCCCACCCGGGCCTCACCCCAGCATGTCCCTAAGTGCCAGCGTGAACCTCACAGACTCGCCGTCCCCCCGACAGCGGCCTCTGCTCCTCAGTGCTGGGCTTCCGCGGCAGGGCTCCCTCAGCCCTGCCCGGGCCAGCTGTGCCCCGCGACAAGCCCACCTCGGGGACCTCCACACAGCCTCCGTGTGAGGCCCTCATCAGGAAACGCACGCTCAACCCCCAACTTCGCACGGAGGCCGTCTGTCCTCACGCCAGCATCACGCCGAGCAGGCGACAGGCGCACGCCCTACACCCAACGGCCGTCCACTCCAGAGCACACGTGGCCGGGAGCCTCCGAGCCCTGCAGCAGAGCCCGGTTCCCCGAGGCACCAACACACTTCCTCTCTCCTGTTAAATGCCGGGGCTGCCAACGGGGGAAGGCAGTTCATTACCGTGCAACAACTGTCCCATCTCACGTGACCCCAGGACCCCCTGCTCCTCTCATCTGTGTCCCTGTCCCGAGTGTGAGTGTGCAGGGCTGGCGCACACCCCCTCAGTTGCCGTGGCCAAATTCTCAGACCACACACCTCTCATCCGCTCCCCGCAGCGTGCCCACACACCCAGGGGCTCTCCCCTCCACCAGCTGCCGGACCCCGACCCCATCTGCGGCGACAGGCTGCAGCCTCTCCAGGCCCTCCTGGCCACCAGAGGGGCCTGGACACGCAGCTGGGCCTCTAGCTCCTCCCCAAGACGCCCCCAACTCCACCCTGCCAGCCAGAGGGTCTCTGCTCGTGGGGCGGCCTCCCCTAAGACCCTCACTGACTGTCCCTTCTAGGAGGCGCGCACCAGGAGGCAGGGCCAGGAGGGTGGGGAGAAGGGACCCAGGCCTGTGCAGCGGCACATGAGCGGCCCTGCTGCTCCCCAGGCCCCCAGCCCTGTGCACCCACTGACCTGGGCCAACTCGGGGCCCCCTGCTCCCGGGACCCGCGCCAGCCATTCCTGCTGGCTGAGTCACCCTTCTACTCCCCCTCCTAGCCCGACTGTGTGGTCCCCGGTCTAATCACTACCAGTCCTCGAGACCACCCAAGTAAATGCCACCTCCACCCCCGCCAGGCCCCGCAGGGGACTCGGTCTCCGCCGTGCTCCTGACCGAGGCTGGACACGTCTCAGCTCTCTGGGACAGCTTTTGCTGAGCCTGCCTCAGCGCACCCAGGCTCAGCCCCTGGGCAGTGCCGTGCCCTCCCTGTGGACACGGGGCCCAGCACACCAGGAGGACGGGGCACCCCAAGCAAGCACGGCTCCAGGGCAGACAGAAGCTGCGCCTGCTCTCAGAATAATCGTGGACCGGTGGGTACACTTTTCTGGATTTTCCTCCCTGGGCCTTCCTGCACTTCCCTGTTCATGTGTGGAGACCCACCTGTGGGCCACACCCAGTCAGTGCGCCACTGCTGGAGGGTGAGTGGGAGGCTGGCAGTCCCATCGTGGGGGTGAGGGGCGCAGACCTGACGCTCAGAACTCGTGGTGGAAAGGCCTTGTTCTTCCTTGAGAAAGTGCTTTTTCTAACAACAAGTGGTCACCATAAATCCTGTGCCATAGTCCCCAGCCACTGTCAAAACAACATATTCCTTCAGGTCCTCAGAAGAATGACATTCAGGTTTACTTCCCCAGTAAGTTTAGAAACTCCTAGAGAGAGAGGTCCGGCTGACAGCTCCTCCCCCACGTCGCTGCAGCAGACAGAGGCCCGTGGCCTTCCCTGTCCACCCACCACTGCCTCTAATGTCCCAGCTCCAGCCACGGATCACACATGGTGCTGGGGAGATGGGCGTCACTGCTCATGAAGTTGACAGGGCCCCATGGCACAAGACAGCCTCAGGTGGCAGAGGCTGGGCACAGGAAGGGCTGTCCCAGGAAAAAGGACCAGCATGCGCACAGCAGAGGCCCAGGAGAGCCTTTGGGAGCTGCAGCCTGGCGGGGAAAGGGGGGGGGCTCGGGCCTGTGAGGACACCGCCGGCTTCTGCTGCTGGGAGAAGGCTCTAGGGAAAGCAGCTGTTAGGATTTTGCTCCTTTGGAATTCAAATTCAAGCAACAGTACATTTTGTGGTACGTAAATTATACTGCAATAAAGCTATTTAAACAACACTCAAGCAACAATTCCAGGGTGGCTGAAACCTCCCCCTACCACTAAACACTGTGCTCTCCACTGTGACAAGCGGCACCTGGGCACCTTGCTGTGGGCTAGGAGTCAGGGCCCGCATGGCCGGGCCCTGCGAGCCTAGTGCCTGCTCTCCTGAGCAGCTGTCCTGGGGCCTCCACTGTCACCGTGGAGGACGGCCCCACTCTGTGACCCAAGAGCCTCCCCCGACTCCAGCTCCATCTCTCAGGCAGCTGCCTCTACGATGGATCCCGGCAGGAGGCCCGTGTTTTAGCCAATTCCATGTCCTCACCAGCCACCTCCACCCGCGTGGGCCGCGTCCCGCCCCCTGGCGCTCCGGAGCGAGAGGGGACCGGCGCGCCGTTCCAAGGAGCGCGCCAGGTTCAGAGGCCCGAAGAGACCTCCCGGCCTCCGCTCAGGCTTCCCCGGCCGGGGGCGGGCTGCGGGCTGACCCGAGCACTCCGACCGCCACCCTGACGCGAGCGGACCGAGGAACGCTTCCACGAACAGCAGAATGAATGGGAGGCTGGGACCCGCGGCGACGGCGCGGGTGCTTGGACAGGAACAGGAAGCCGAGTTTGGGGGCAGGTGGGTGGGCGGACAGCGGGGGCCGGGGGCTAGGCCGCGGGGGGCAGCAAAGGGAGAAGGGCGGGCCCGGGGGCCCGAGCGCGGCCCCGAGGTGCGGAGACTGGTCCACACCCCGACAGGTCGGGAGGCCCCTCTGTGGGCAGGAAGGAGGGACCAGGTAGGGTCAGGTGAGCCGGGCGCTGAGGCCGGGGAAGGAAGGGGTGAGACGCCCACAGGCCACAGCGGCGGCCCGGGGCAGCGACGCTGGGGAAGAGGCTGTGCGGTGAGCCCAGGCCGCAACCAGCGCCGTGACCCGGCGTTGTCGACCCCGCGCCGGGACCCCGCGGTATGAACCCACGGCAGGGCGCCCGCGGGCGTTCGCGAACTTTCCTGCGCCGGCCCCGCGCCGACTTTCAGTTTCCGGTTCCCGCGCCTAGAAAAATCCCCTCGGGCCCGCGCGGCGGCGGCGGCGGCCCAGCCTCCCTGCCCGGCCTCCCAGCGTCGCACGCCTCCGCCCAAACTGCGACCCCCGAACCCTGACCCCGACGACGACGCAGGCTGCCCGACTCACCAACGGTCGCCGCGCGCCCAGAATTGCGCTCTCGCCCCGCCGCTGCCGCCGCCGCCGCTGCAGCCGAGGACCCACCCGCGAGCCCTCCTGACGGACTGACGCAAGAGCCTACCAGAGTACCCAGGCAGCCGCAGAGGGCTGCGATTGGCCAGAGTCGTCCCCCGCCCCCTGCCTCTGATGTCTTTTGACGGACTGACAAAAAAGCCTACCAGAAGCACGCAAGGAGCCTCAGCGGGCGCCGATTGGTTGGAGATGTCGTGACCTCTACCTCATTCATTCACCTCTCGGGTTTCCCAAGCGGAGCCCGCTGGGCTCGGGGTCCGTGGAGCTCTGAGCGCCGCGAGAGGATGGGACTCCCACAGCAAACCCCTCGCTGCTCCTCACCTCTGGAGAACCTAGCCGGTGTCCACGAAGGGTCACGCCCAGGCCGAGGGCACCGCGGCGGCGCCTTCCCCGCCCTGCCCTCCCACCCCCACCCCGCACCAGCTCGTGTTAGGTTTGTAAGAAAAATGACGAAAAGGCCCCGCTCCCTTCCAGGGTATGAAGGCGACCGAGATCTCCTCTGGGGACTAGACACTGGAGACGGTCACCCGATATTACGGCTGTGCAAATGACACAATTGTATAGTTTAAATGCAGAATTTTATGTTACGTGAATTTTACCACCAACAAAAAAAATGCACAGCCAATGGCCCCCAGACACACAGAAATGTGGAATACAAATGGAAACATCTGGAAACAAGGCAGTGGTCTGGGCCAGAAAGAAAGGCGGGGCAGCGCCGGGAGGGCGGAGTGCGGACCCCAACACTGCCTCCGAGTAAGTGTGCAGGAGCTGTGCCCAGTCTGTTTCGTGCCAAGGGAGAGTCGGGACCGAACTGGTGATCTCTCCGTTTGGGAAAGCGTGGGCATTTCTAACTAGCTGACAAACAACATCTCGTCCCTCTCGTACTGTGACCGGAAAGAAGGAATTCGCTCTTCACTTTGCATAAGAGGGAGCAGAAGCTCGGGGAGACCAGATTCCTCCCGCCGAGTAACACATCTGGCACTGCCAGGGATCATCTGAGCAACTGCCCGGAAGATGGAATACGCCGAAGAACGGGCTTTGACGTTCTCTGACGTGAACCGTCCACGTGGGGGCGGAAGTGCTCGCATCCTGCTGCCTAAGACCACCTGGCCGTTGGAATTCCCCCACTCAAAACGCCGCGTCCCTGGGAAACTGCAGCAGCCAGGCCGCCCTGCCTCCCTTACGAGCTCCGGACTGGAGGCTGAGTTGGCCAGAAGCTGCAGTGGAAACCTCCCACCTCCAGCCGCGCGGCTGTGCGCGGTCTCGGGTGTGGGGGAAGATTCTCCTCTCCATCTCTGGGAGCCCAGCAGCAGCTCAGCAGGAAATCGTCCTTCTTGCAAAGAAGAGGTTCAGTTGCAGCACCTTCTTCCTTCCTTCGGGTGGTAAAAGTTAGGAAACCACCCGCCTGACTTCTGCAGTGAGTTCCAGGAGTGTCACTACTCCAGGTCAGGGACACAGCAGAAGCATCGCCTGCCCTGTGTCCAGAGATTTTGGGAGCAAGGTCTCCCCCGCTGGGAAGGCAGCCAGCCGCCTGTGGACTTGCCAGCACTTCTAGCATGAAAACACTTTTGCTAATTGTGAATGTTGCCGCTTTTACAGCATTTTCATGACACACTTTTTTTTTTTTTTAATTTGACTCTGACAACAGGCTTGCACAGAGGGAGGGGGAGCATTGGTGGCATGGCCCTGATCAGAAAGTGGCCGACCCGGCCCCTCCAGTCAGCTGGGAGGGAGTGACACCTCCGTCCTGGCAGGTTGGAAAGGGGTGACTCACTCTGGTCTTTGGGCAGTTCAGGGGATTCCCAGTCAGGTTCCTTCCTGCCAAAAAGAAAGTAAAACTCAGTCCACAGAGGCAACTACGACTGGGGAGGGGCCAGGAGGCACCTGGGACAGCCTGGGAGGCAGCAGGGCTGGGGGCTTGGGAAAGAGAGGGTGCAGGCCTGGAGCAGCTGCCCTGGGATTCAGCGACCCTCCCAGAGAGAAGCGTGGGCCTGGCTGCAGATCAAGGGCAAGGCCATGTGGCCACCTGCCCTCTGCCCTCAGGCCAATCAGGGCAGGAGAGGCCCCATCAGCTGTCCACTGGGTGTGCAGACCATGGTGGGGGTGGTTAGCACTGCCGCCCACTCTGCCTGAAGGCAAGCAGCTCACCCCCTCTCCCACCCGTAGCAGCCCCCCCCCCCCCCCGCTTTCATGGCCAGGCCCCTCCTAAGACCCTCACCTCACGTCCTTTACCCACTCAGGTGTTTGGGGGGAGAGACACCAGCTTGCATATGGGGCCAGGAGACAGGAAGGGTGACCTGGGCTCCCACTCAGGACCTGGACGTGGGATGTCCCACCTGTGCCCCTCCAGCTGTCCCCAGAGCCTCTCGAGGTGTGGCCACCTCACCAACTACAACCCACTTCCCCACCTAAGAGCTCTCCTCGTCTTCTGATTTTTCAAACATTTGAAGATCAACCCTGGACAGCAGCTTCTAAAATAAGCTGGTTTCACTCTCACTCCACCGTCATCTGAAGGACACGCTTCCAGAAAGGCAGTGCTCACCAGCTCCCCACCAGAATTCCCCTGCCTGGCGCCAGCCCAGAGGGGCTCCCCCTCTGCCTCCCCCTTGAAACACACAGCCAGGCCACCACTCCCCCAGGACAACCCCTGAGGTAAGGAGAAGACACAGGGTGGGCTGCACCGCCCCCAGCAGCACCAGCGCTCTGAGTCCAGGAGGTCACCTCGAACAGCAGGGAGGAGGACTGGAGACCCGCATGGGAAGGGTCTGCCCAGGGTCCCCCGGCTGGCAGCGGGAGCCCAGGGGGAAGCACAGGGCGCAGAGCTGGGGAAGGACAGTGTTAATGTCCCTTCGGGTTCTCTGTAGACTGGGCAAGGACACACAAAGTATTAAAATGGGGCCATGTGCGCTGTTCACGGTCCCAGACTTTTTAAAAAAATATTTTACTTATTTAGTTTTAGAGAGGTGAAGGGAAGAAGAGAGGGAGAGAAACATCAATGTGTGGTTGCTTCTGGCACGCCCCCGCACTGGGGACCGAGCTGGCAACCCAGCCATGTGTCCTGACTGGGAATCGAAACGGCAACCCTTTGGTTTGGAGGCCCGGCACTCAATCCACTGAGCCACACCAGCCAGGGCCACCGTCCCACACTTTTTAAAGCCACAGATAATATTAGGTCGTCAAACTATGACTGTGTTTGACAGTCACTTCGGAAGGCCACTTCTGGAAAACACATAAGTACCAAGAAAAAAGCAAAGATCGCCCCAAATTCCCTCTCCAGAGACAAGCGCTGCCCGGACTCCCTACTCGCTGCCATCCCACACACCCTGCTGGCTCAGCGGCGGGTCTGCGTGCGCCACCTTCCGGCTGAGGCCGAAACTGCAGGCCACCCCTCGCAGGCGCCGCGCGTCTGCCGGCTTCCTGCCGCACCTCACTCCCACCTCCTGGTTTCCAACCCGCAAACTGTAAGTAGGCTCACCTCGCACTTGAACACAGCAAGAGAGGTCACCTGGCCGTGGTCCGCAGCTTGGAAGGCTCCTGGTGCCCTCTGAGGGTGTCCCCTGCACCCTGCAGCAGCAGGCACTCCCAGGCCCACTGGGGGGCCCTCCCCAGCTGCACTCTTCAGCCCAACTGGGACCCCTGACCCTCTGAACCTGGTCCTGCCTCCCCTACCATCCTTTCTTGTTTCCCCAGATGAGGCCCAGTGCACTGGCGAAGCCGATAGCCCTCCACCACGGTGGGCCATTTGCTCACTCCCGTCCTCACATGCGGCCAGAGGACAGGACTGGACACCAGATGGATCCTTTTAAACACCCCTCCTCCCCAGGACTAAGGCCGTTCAGGGGGTAGGTGCGGGTGAGTGGAGGCAGCATGGATGGGTGGTGGGGGAGGCACAGACGCCCGCTCCGTGGGTGCTGTGCTGGTAGCCAGGGTCCCAGGAACGACTATGGCAGAAGTCTCTGCGGCATCAGGCCTGGACTGCTGACGAAGAGCCGGCGGGACGCTGGCTGTCCTGGCAGACACCTATGGGGACAGAGGACACCTAGGACTAGATGCCCCATTTCTAGGCCCGACCTGACAGGGTGCACACACCACCACGAGCTCATGCATCTTCGTGCCCCGGGAGGCCAGCCTTGCTCTGCGGGAGGGCCGGCATCAGGTTCGCTTGTCTGAGCATTGGTGAGATTTGCTGAGTGGAGTACTTTAACTGCCGTCAGATAAGGCCACCTCCTCTTTCCAAGCAGACTCTTCCTTCGCTCCACTCTTCTTGGGGCGCATTGGAGTGACCACAGGCATTGTTGGGACCCCCATTGTGAAAGTTAATAAAGAAAACCTCAAAGAGAATTTGGAGTGGGCGGGCCCGTGGAGTGAGTTCTTCCGTCCTACTACTCAGTGTCAACCACCCCAACAGGAAGAGACATGTGCATCTCCAACAGATGTTTTTTAAGTTACTACCCCAGCTGGAGGAAGATTTTCTCCTAACCCAGCAACAGCTCAGCCAATGAGAGACCATCACAACGCAGCCAATGAAAAGCCACTCCATTTGGACTGCCAGGTTTCCTTCAATGGATTCTGTTTATAAAAACCCTTCCTGCCCTGGTTGGTGTGGCTCAGTGGATTGGGTGTTGGCTTGTGAAGTGAAGCGTCGCTGGTTCGATTCTCGGTCAGGCCACATGCCTGGGTTGCCAGCCAGGTCAGGTCCCCAGTGGGGGCACACGAGAAGCAACTATGCATTGATGTTTCTCTCCCTCTCTCCCTCCCTTCCCCTCTGTCTAAATAAATAAATGAAATCTTTTTAGAAAAACCCTCCTAATTTCCCCCTTTCCTCTGTAAATGAAGGTTCCTCTCCTTTGTTTTCCAGACTTGCTTATGGTTTTGCAATAATTGCATGTTCTGAGTTGTGATTCTTTACTGTTTCTAAGTACAAGGTCTGTGCAGAAAAAGTCGAGCCACTGTTAATACAAGAACAGTCGGCGTGACATCACTGTGACCTGGCAGCCAAGGAGAGTGGACTGGAACGCACATGCACCAACAATGAGACTTCACCGTACTAGTCAGTGGGGGCGACAGATGCCAGTGAGTGAGCAGGTGTGCTGTGTTGTCGTCCATTCAAAATGACTGAGCTAGTAGAGCAACAAAACTGCCTCCAATTTTGCGTTAAGCTTGAACCTTCCTCCACGGAAACTATTTGGGTGACTCAGAAGCCTCGGCTGTGGGCACCTGGTGACAGCCTGCTTCATCAAAACGCACCTGCTAATGCACCCCATTTTGTGCAGCTTTTTTTGCGAAACATCCAATCACCCAGGTGACTCAGCTTCCCTCAAGCCCAGATTTGGTGCCCTGTGACTTCTGGCTTTTCCCAAAATAAAAATCACCTTTGAAAGGGAGGAGACTTCAGACCATTTATGAGATTCAGGAAAATACAACAGGGCAGCTGATGGCAATTCCACCAAAGATTTTGCAGAGTGTTTTGAACAGTGGAAGAGACGCTGGGAGAGCTGTGTGAGGTCCCAAGCTGCCTGCTTTGAGCGGTACTGAAACGTCATTTTCCTATGCACAATGGTTCTTGTGTCTTGTATCTCTTTCGACAACTGTCTCTGCTTTTCATAGTACATGGATGGATACTTTCTGGACAGAGCTCATGAAACCACTTTTGTTGGTAAAATACCTGTTTCATTTTTCAGGTCAACACCATGAAGAGGAACTTGAGTTGAGAGACATTTAGTTGCAGCTTATGGGACTGCAGTTTTAGGCATCATTTTAATGCAGTTCGGTCTTGCTGGCCTGTCCCGGGCGGGTGTATCTTCCACGGCTGCCAAGTACCACCCATGCGGCACCCAGCACGGCAAGCATGGGGGAGTGAGGCAGAAATAAGGTTTGTACTATGAACCAGAAGTCAGTCTGTGCAAAATTCTTCTAATTGTGCAATGTGTAAAGTGCTCATCAGAGAACTCGGTTCTGTCCAACTCCTGGACAGAATGAAAGTTACCTCCTCTGATGAAGGTATTCCATGATGCAGAATATACAATTTAATTCACCATACGCTTTTTTCCCTTTTGTGTGGGGATCACACTTACTAAGATTCTTATATTTGTGCAGCACACCTACCTGTAGGAATGCCACAGTGAACACACCATGCAAAGCCCCAGGTACTGCCCAAACCAACGTCAGTACAAGCAGGTGCCAACTCGATCAGACTCACTAGAGAAAATTGGAGTCGTCAGTCTGTTCTTTCTATGAAACAGTTCTGCAAAGTCATGATGCAGCATTTAAAGAGAACAGCCGAAATGTAAGCAAAAGCACTAGAGATGCATTCATTAATCCATAGAAAGGTTATTTCTCTAAATTTTGTGAAGTTCTTGGCATTTGTCAGTGTTTTTTACATTTACCATGTAAGCCTCCTAATACAAAGTTATCATAAAAATGACTAAAATATTACTTATTGTACAATAATGCTCATATAGTATGCAAAGATAACTTTTCTAACTTTGGTGTTACAATTTTCCTTCTTTATTTTTCTTTTTATAGATTTTATTTTTAGAAAGGAGAAGTGAGGCAGAGGAGAGAAATATCAACTTTTGGTTGCTTCTCGCACGCCCCCTACTGGGGACCTGGTCTGCAACTCAGGCACAAAGCCTGACTGGGAATCGAATGGTAGACCAACTGGTTCGCAGGCCGGTGCTCGACCCACTGAGCCACACCAGCCAGGGCCCCGTCTTTATCTTAAAGAGAGTCCTGCCCTGGCTGGTGTGGCTCAGTGGATTGAGCACCGGCCTGCGACTCGCCGGTTCAATTCCCACTCAGGGCACATGCCTGGGTTCTCTCCCTTTCTTTCTCCCTCCCCTTCCTCCCCTCCCCTCTCTTTAAAAAAAAATAATAAAATCTTTAAAAAAGAGAGTCCTTCCTTAATTATATATGCTGCAGGTCTCTGCACCTCGTGACCTCAGCTCCAGAAAAATAGAGCTCCGAGAAGGATAACAGAATAACGGGATGAAGCAGAAACGAAAGTTCAGCTACAGAAAAACTGATGCGTATCAATTTCCCTTGCACCCAGTTGGTGAACCGATATCCCCCTTACCCGCGCCCCCGCCCCCTCCTCTGCTCGAGTCCTCTCTTCTCACTTTCCCTCCCCCGCGCACAGGACCCTGTCCCCGCGCTCCCATACCCCAGCCGTCTGCCCCAGTCCCTCCTGCCCCACTCGCGCGCCTTCCGCGCCCCCTAGCGCACACTCCCGGCCCTGACGTCGCCACCCTTACGTCACGCCACGCCCTGCGTTCCCCTCAGACGAGCCGGGCGGGCACTGGCCTGGAGCCGCAGGAAGTGCCCTCCTCTTCGGGCCGCTGACCAATGGGAAGCGGGGGCGGGGCCCTGACTGGTACCGGAAGCGGCGGAGCGACGAGGCGACGTCGCGCCTCAGGGTCTCGAGCAGCTGCCGCGGAGCCTCCCGACTGACCGCGGGACCCGCCCGCCCCGCCATGGCCGAGAGTGACTGGGATACGGTGACGGTTCTGCGCAAGAAAGGCCCCACGGCCGCGCAGGCCAAGTCCAAGCAGGTGCGGGCGCCGCGCCGGCCTCCTGACCCCGGAGCGACCGGGCGGGACCGACGCGGGGCCGACCCGGAGCCGGGGGCCGCGGTCAGGAAACGGGGGAGGGAAGGGGCGGGGCCGGGGGGGGAAGACAGACAGTGTGTCCGGGACAGTCCAGGGCAGACGTGGGGCGTTTGGGGTGAAGACGGTCGGGTGATGCGGGTGGGTGGGGGATGGGACGGCATCCTACGGCTGGGACAGGACAAGGCGGTGGGGGGACTGGAACACGGAGGACCGCGGGGCCGTGGACCGGGACCTGGCCGGGATGGGAGCAGGAGGGTCAGGGATTTTCGGACCGATGGTACAGGCCTGGGTTTGGCGTCGGGGCAGGTCCAGAGGCTTTAGATTTGTGGGCGCTGACCGGGACAGCGAGGGCGAGGCGGGTGGAGGACAGGGCAGGTCTGTGGGGGAGGACCTTGGGGCGCGAACAGGGACCTTGGGGCGCGAACAGGGACCTTGGGGCACGGACATGGGACATGGGGCAGGGGCCCGGGTGGGATGGGCTTTGGGGGGGCGTTGGAGTCCCCCAAGAGAGTCTCTTCAGTCCAGGCCGTCTGTGTAACCCATGGAGGCAGCTGCAGTCCGCAGGGGCTTTCTGCATCCAGGCTGAGGTAGCCTCCCCATCTTGCTAGTGGAGATGAGCCCTGAGGGGCGTTTGGGGGCACCCAGTCCAGGGCCATCAGTGAACACAATGGAAGGGGGGAGGGTGGTTCAGCCACCACCCCCGCTCTTTTGTGCCTGCAGGAGCCTTAGACACGCAGTGCTGGGTCTGGGCCCGTAGTGGCTGTGGCCTGGTGACCAGCCTCACTGACCTGTCCTAGGCTGCTGCACAGTCAAAACCAAACTCACTCCTTTTTTCCAAAGGGAACTCAACAGCCACAGGCCAGGAAGCAGGCGAGCAGTCTGGGAAGTGTCTTCGAACACTTCGTCGCACCTTGGAGTGTCCGACAACCACTTCCCTGAATGTTCGTTAGGAGCACTAGGAAACACGTTGCTAGTCACGAACTACAGTCAGGGGTGTCACTCTCCGTGGTGTGGAGAGCGGGGTGGTACAGTTCCCAGCGCTGCGCCCTCTCTGTCACAGAAGCCCGGAGCCCCGGGGGCGGCCAGAGCAGGAGAGGCAGTCTGTGTCAGGTGTGGACTTCCGAAAGGAGCCGGGGAGGGAGCAGTTCCTGGTTTCCAAAGCAGCGGCTTATTGAGCGTTGCCTAGGGGTTCGGCTGAAGGCAGCTCTGTGTCCCAGCCCCAGTGTCAGTCCTTGAAGGAGCCCTGGCCTTGCCCACACCTGGGACTGCCCGGCTCACAGCAGCCTGCACCATGAGCCCACACGGCTGCGCTTGTCTTCACCAAAGCATTTCCTGATTTTCCAGGCCATCCTTGCGGCCCAGAGACGAGGAGAAGATGTGGAGACTTCCAAGAAATGTAGGTGCCTGTGCTTCCGGTCCCCGCGAGGGCGTGGTGGTGGGTTGTCTGTGCAGTCGTGCACTGTGGCCCCGGGGTGGTGGCGGCTGCTGGCAGCTGAAGCTGCTGCAGGGCTGGGAATGTCTGGAATCTTCCCGGGAGGAAATTCGGGGCTCCGTGCTGTGAGACCTGTGAGGTCCTCATAACAAGCTGGTGGCCTGGCTGCCCAGGCCAGCTGGGCACAGGGGCCATGCTTGTCGTGCCTGGTTCTCAGCTGGAAAGGGCTTCCCTTGGCATTGGCAGCAAACCCTCTCTGCTCTCCCCTCCCCCTGGTCCAGGGGCTGCCGGCCAGAACAAACAGCATTCAATCACCAAGAACACGGCCAAGCTGGACCGAGAGACAGAGGAGCTGCACCACGACCGAGTGCCCCTGGAGGTGGGCAAGGTGATCCAGCAGGGCCGGCAGAGCAAGGGCCTGACGCAGAAGGACCTGGCAACCGTGAGTGTGGCGGTCCCTCCTCCCAGGCCGCAGCCAGGCGGGCGGGCCGGGCTTCGGAGGGCCCTGCCTTCAGGCTCTGTCTGCCCGCTGACTCGGGCTTCAGTGCGCCCTCTCCCTTGGCCCCAGGCCCCCAAAGGCCTCTGGGGAAGCCGCCTGAGATAAGTTGTGACTTCCTCTCACGCGCGACCCCAGAATACCCGAGAGCTTCTCCACTGAGTCCCTGGGCCCTTCACTGTCACAGAAGGTGGTGTCCCTGGGGCCGTCCACGGGTGGTTGGTCTAGTTTTGCAGCATTTCCTTGTTGAAGTGACACACACAGAGTACATCTTTTTAGAAAATCAATGAAAAGCCGCAGGTCATCGCAGACTACGAGAGTGGACGAGCCATTCCTAATAACCAGGTTCTGGGCAAAATAGAGAGGGCCATCGGTGAGTTTCCTTCAGCCTTCTTCAGGGACCGAGTGTGAGGGTCGCCCCTCCTCACGGTGGGGGGGGGCTGGTGAGGATGAGGCGCAGGAAGTCTCAGGCTCTGAGAGGATCCCAGGAGTGGGCTGCGTGGCCCGCTTCCCCCAGCGCCCTCCCCCTGAGGCAGGCGTCCTCTGTGGCCCTGGTCCCGTTCCCATGCGCCCCGCCCTCTGTGGCATCAGCTGGAGCCCTGGAGCACTTGTTCAGGGGCGGCGGCTCTGGGCCCCCAGTCGGCAGGCGAGGGGAGCCAGGACCAGGGCCAGGGCCCGCGCGTCCTTCCCGCCCCTCCATCCTTTTTTCCTGTGGGGTCCAGGGGGCGATCTCTGTCCCCTCAGGGACTGCGGGTGGGGACGCCGTGGGGCTGCTGTGTCCTGTGGGGCCGCAGGGTCAGTGGGTGTGACGGCCCTTGCAGGCCTCAAGCTCCGGGGGAAGGACGTTGGGAAGCCCATTGAGAAGGGGCCCAGGGCGAAATGAAGACAAAGCCTCGAAATCAGCACGTCCCAGCTGACCTCGTCCGGCTGGTCCCCCGGACCCAGTGCCAGCGTGGGTTTCCCCACGCGGCCGAGTGGGACACGGGTGTCAGCCCCACCTGCCCCTCCACCCGCGCCTGCTGCCCAACAAAACCTTGCAAAGTGTGTGCTTTTCCCATTTTCCTCCCACCCCCAGTCCTCAGGTTGGGGTGCAGAACGCCACTGTCCTCGCCCAAGGTGTCAGCCTGGTTGTGGGTGTGGCTCCTGGGGGCACTGAGTGGGGGCCCCTTGCTTGGGCGGGTGCAGGGTGTGGCCCAGTGGGTCCGGCAGCGGAAGGTTCTGCCTCTGGTCTGGCTGTTAGAGATGCTAATAAACGTTTGCTGCCCTCCCGGCTGGTGTGAGTCATCCTGTCCGTCCGTGTCCTCCCACCCCTGGGTGCACCCTTGGCACCCTCTACCTTTGGCCCCTCTGGGGCGGGGGGGGGGGTTGTTTTCATGGCCAACACTGGGGTGAGGGGTGGTGCCTAAGAGGCCCTGAGTGTCGCCAGGATAGTCAGTGGTTGACTGGCCTGTTGGCACAGGGCCCTGCACCCCGCCCTCCCCTGACCCTGAGGCCACAGTGTTCCCCGAAGGGCCCAGTGGGCCCCCGTGTAAGGGTGGAGCTGGCGGGACAGGAGCCCCTGGCCATCACCCCTCCCAGCCCAGATGGTGTCCACACCCACCCTGGGAGAGCAGAGCCCAGTGCCCTCCCTGGGTCAGAAAGGCTGGCTCCATCTTCCTGCACAAGGGTGGGGGGTGGGCTCCCCAGGGACCTGCTCAGGAGCATTCTGGGGCACGAGTGGGCTCTGTTTTCAGACACGTCGTCTGTGGCACTGGGGGACCTTGACCGTGGGATGCTGGGCCCAGGGACCCTTCAGGAACCGGACTCAGAGATGGGCTGGTGGGACAGGGGCTGCCCTCCCAGGCTGGGGAGTTTATTGTTGGGCTGAGGGCCGGGCTGGGCTGGGTGTGGCGGTCTGCAGGTGGGGCCTGAGGGCATCTGCCCAGCACCAGGGAAGGCCGGAGTCCCTTCTGACCAAGGCCCACGGGACGGGAGAGGCTCACCCGAGGAGCCAGGGGTGTCTTCTCTGGGTCTACAGGTCGCTGGTGACCGATGCGGGCAGGGCAACTGGGTCCTAGGAGGAGGTGAGGAGCCTGCTGGCTGCCGTGCGGGCCGGGAGGGTCCCTGCCCCGTGCTGCCTGTGCTCCAGAGACAAGCCAAGTGCAGGGTACGGCAGCTCCCCGCCCACCCCCCACCTGTGCGGGCCTACCCCACTGAAGAGGATGGTGTCAGGGCCCGGGGCTGTGGTGCCTGTCCTGCGCCAGGAGCGGCAGCCCCCTTCTTCCGCAGCCAGAGCCGTCCCAGGAGTCTGAGCAGTACCAGGAACACGAGGAAGAGGAGGGCACTGCCTGCCCAGGCTGACACCACCGTGGCCACTGCCGTGTCCCTTGCGGGCCACAGGGCAGTAAACCCTGGGACTTGAGCTGTCCCTGTGAGTCCCAGCCCTGAGGCCAAGAGCGATGCCTGGGCATACCAGTCTCTGCTCCTCCCCGCCCCGGGGGTTCCTGGGGTTCACTGCTGTAGACGGGTGCTGTGCCCGCACAGGCTGCAGGCCAAGGCTGGGGACCTGGCCAGCAGGCGTCACGGATCCAGGCTGGCCACCACGGTATGGTGGAGTAACAGCAGCCAGCAAGCACTCCAGGAAGAGGCTGGCTTCAGCCTGTGGCCTGACTGGCACCCCCAGGGCCTGGCCACACCCTGGGAGCAGAGCATGCACGCAGCTCAGGGGCCCGGGAAGGGGCAGGCGGGCATGGGAGGGAGTGGGTGGTGAAGGGCCAGCCTTGGCGGCTCTCCCAGTCTCTCAGGCAGCCCCGTGGGCCGAGGGCCACAGAGGCCCAGGCCCAGAGCGTGGTCGGCCCACTTGGGCGGGGCTGGGCACAGGCAGCTGGCAACGCTGCCCAGCCAGATACTCAGTATCGTCCAGGGTGATGGGCCCCAGTGCTGGCTGGCCCCCCAGAGTGGCTTAGAACACGACCTGACCGGGGGAGGAGAGGCTCTGTGACTAGAGGAGGAAGACAGCCCCACGTGAGCCCCCAGAGGCCCCCTTCCTCCGAGTGCCCCGGCCTCACCTGGAACTCCTCAGCACTGGCCACCTCCACATGGCCTTCCAGCCACTGCCGCTGCAGGTGCCCACTTGTGCCCCACACAGCCAGCTGGCCCCGGGTGCTGTGCAGAAGCACCCTCAGCTCACCTTTGTCTGAGAGTGTGGGCCAGGGGGCGGGGGGTCCCCAGGGCCCTGCCGCGCCCACCACCCAGGCCCCACCAGCCAGGCTGACTCACGGAAGTGCTCGGGGAAGCCCAGGTGGTACCAGAAGCACAGGCAGGTAGCCTCTGGCTGGCAGAGGCTGGCTGTGCAGCCAGGCCACCCGGCCCCCTGGGCCCAGCAAGCTGGTTTCAGAGTGGCCTGGGAAGGAGACCGGGGGTGCCCACCTGACTGCATGGGGCTGTGCCCTGACCCGAGGCCTCAGACCCTGGTGGGATTGTGGACAAACTGGGCTGGCAGGCCCGAGCTGGGTGGGGTGTGTGCCCCCAGGTGGGTGCAGCTCAGGGCCCCTCCTCACCTCAGACCCACCTGCATCAGTGCCCAGGGTGTGGTTCATGGGGTCTGGGGGTATGGAGAGGGTGTGTTTTTGCTGCTCCAGTCCCAGCTGTACCCACCCAGGCCAAGCCATGGCAGGCCATGGCAGGTCAGTCTCAAAGTCTAGGAGGCTGCAAGGAACCTGGGCAGTGAGCGGCGCTGCCCCTGCCCCCCATCCTGGGGCAGCACTGGCTTTGGGGCAGTGCCAGCACGGAGCTGCCACCTCCCCAGCATCACTGCATAGCAGGCCCCGGCGCCAGGCGGCAGGCTTCCCCCCTGACCAGGGCAAGGCCCGTGTCACAGGAGCAGGTCATCCCGAACGATGTAGGAGCACTCTGCGCCAGTGGCCGCGGCCTCAAACACCACCTGGGCGGGCACAGGGCAAGGTGACCTCACACCAGGCCTGGTCCGGACAGCCCAGGGACCGGGTGAGGGGGGGCCATGCCCCGGCACTCAACCTCCAGCCCACTGGGCCTGCACGCCCACACTGCCCAGGCGCCAGGCACGCGACCTCCGTGGTTGCTGATGCTGAGCACCTGTCGCCTCTCGGCCTCCTCCACGTGGACCTGCAGGGTACCTGCCCCGCCAGACAGCCAGCCCAGGTCAGCAGCAGTGGGGGACCTGTGCCCTCTCAGGGCCTCACAGCAGTGGGCTCCTGCACAGCCTTGGGCGGGGGCTGGCGCGGACACGCGGCCCCTTCTCCGTGGAGCCCTCACCGGGTTGTGGATGCTCAGGTGGGGCCAGAAGGTCAGGCGGGCGGGTTGGGCCAGTGGCCTGTGCTTCTCTGAGGTCAGGGAGGCCACATGACCTCTGGGCAGGGACTGTGGGCTCCTGGCCACTATCAGGTTGTGCCCTGGGGGTGGGCCTCCCAGCCCTGCTCTTGGCCCTGTCCCCAGCCCTCAGCCCCGCCCAAGCAGGCACCCTGAGCTGTTTTCAAAGTGTGGTCAGCACCAGGGCCCCAGATGGTCTGGCTATGGCACTGGCCTGGCAAGTCCAGACCCAGCCCCCCCCCCCCCCCCCCCCGTGGAGAAGCCTCAGGCCGAGTCCTCAGAGGAGCGGCACTCGGGCCCAGCAGGGCCCAGGCTGCAAGGCCACATCGCCCAGCGCCATGGTGCCCTGGTACCCATCCCAGAGGCCCTCAAACAGCAGCTGGGGGCAGGGGGTGTCAGCACTGGGGCCTTGTGCTGCCGCCCCCCTCGCCCAGGAGCCGGACCTCGCTTGGTACTGGGCACCAGAGTCAGTCTGGCGGTGGAGCGCGGCCCAGGCCTCGTGCCAGCGGTTCCGCGGGTGCCTGACTGCAACCACAGCGGCGTGTTCTCCGTCCTGCCTCATGACCAGGTGCAGTGTCCCTACAGGGAGAGAGGGGTTTGGAGGGGAGCAGACCCCAGTCCTGACAGCTCCCTGCCCCGCCCACAGCCCCCAAGGGGCACAGACAGGCTGGGGCCACCTGGAGCCTCCAAGCCCTGCCCTGCTCTGGGAGACTCACCAATCTGGGGCCGTGGAGGTGGTACCAGAGAGGCGCTCCTGAGCAGCTGCCGCCGTCTGGGGCTGGGTGAGCAGGTGGGCCCCAGGGCCTCGGGCTGGAGGGTCTGTGGGGTCCAGGAGCCTGAGGTGGCCTATGGGGGGGGTCAGGGAGAGGCACCCCGAGCCTGGACGCCACCCCCACTCCTGGGCACTGCCTCGCTAGCCTGGGTGCCCCAACCCTACCTTTGCCTGTGCTGTAGTTGTGCCGGGGGCCCTGGCTCTCCACCTGGTGCCAGTGGGTGTCTGTGAGGTGGCCAGTGTGCCAGCTGCATGTGCCCCACTCGAAGTTACAGGAGACCTCTGGGGGCGGGCAGCGGTAGCTCAGCAAACCCGTGCCCGCTCTGTACCCCTGCAGCCCCAGAGAGGCCAGGGGACTCGCTCTCTGGAGCAGGTCTCCAGAGGTCCCTTGAGGTGGTCTGGGTGGCAGCCCTGGGGTGGGGCCTGGGTGTGGGCAGCGGGGGGAAGACCTGTGTCTTTCTTGGTGGGGCTGCAGTCCTTCCTGAGCACATTGTCCACCCCAGCACCCTGCTGACCAGGGCTGTCCACGTCCACCAGGCCGACAGACTCCAGCTTCATGGGGGGTGTGAGGGAGGGGCTGTGAAGTCAGGGCTGGCTCCACCAGCTCCCGCCCCCCGCCCCAGGCTGCCCTGCTCGTCCGGGAAGGCCGTTGGTGTCTCCCCGACAGGACTGTGTCCACCTCCCAGACACAGCCTCTGCTGCCACTCAGGGCCTCCCACACTGGCTCCCGGGTGCCGCCCTGCACCATGAGTAGGGCCAGGAAGCCTGGCCAAGGGGTCAGTCACCGGGGGGTAAGTCACCCGCCTCCACCCTCCTGCAGGGCACACCATGGAGCTCTGGGCCCAGGGCTGGGCAAGGGGCCTGAAGGGACAGTGGGACAGAGGTACCTTGGGTGTGACTCTGGAAGTAGTGAGCCAGGTGGAGTTCATGGTGGGGCCTGAGGGCCTCCCAGGTCAGCTGCCCCCAGGCTCTCTGCAGGGACAGGAAGTGCCCTGGGTAAGGGCAGAACCTCTTAGGGCTGACTCCTTCCTGGGACCCCCAGCTCAGAGGACCTCCCTAGTGGAAGAGGCAGAGCAGGGGACCCCTCTGGGGGTCCAGCCCTGCTGGCCCGGACGGGAGACTGGGGCCTCACCAGCAGCAGCCCCACCAGCATCCTCGCTGGGGGCCCCGCTGTCCTGGGCTGGGAGTCGACCCCACTGCAGCCGCCCCACCCTGGTGTCCTCCCAGCCCCCTGCCGTGGGGTGCTCGAAGTCCTTGGTGCCTACAACGGCCGGGAGTGCTGCTCCGTCCTGGGGCCTGCCCCCCAGCATTGAGAATTCCAGAGGGAGGGAGGACCCTGCCGCTCCAGCCGGCCCTCCCCACAGTCCTGCTCATCCTCGCCCCCCTCACACTGCTGCTGCTGGAAGTCACACAGCTGCTGGGGGGGGGGGGGCGGTACACAGGTCACCGCAGGAGAGATGGCCCTGCTCACAGAAACTCTGGGACTAGGCCCAGAGCCCTGGGGGTGGGCATGGCACCTCTGTAGGGCAGAACAGAATGGGGGCGCGGGTGCGGGGGCCGGGCTTGCCTGGGGAGGGAGGGGCTCAGCAGGCTCACCCAGGGCCGGTCCGCAGCCGGTAGACAGGATGAGGTTGTCCAGGCCCACGACGCCCCTGGGACCCGTCTGTCCAGCCAGGAGAATCTGAGGAGGCACCTAGCATCCACCTCCTGTCCCCAGGGTCTGCTCCCTCACTCCCGGTCCCTGTCACCACTCACGGCCCTTCAGGAGTGGTCACCTGTAAGCCACCCACCCAGCTCTGGCCTCTCAAAGCCCACATACCAACAGCTGCCCCCCGCCACCCTGGCAGCCTCACCGGAAGGGGTGCTTGCTCTGGATGTCAACCCAGTCTCGAACCCAGGTGGCCCCCAGCTCCCTGTGGCACCTGCGCAGCAGGACGGGCTCAGCAGCTGCCGGGCTCTGAACCTGCAGGTGCAGCCAGAGGAGGCCGGGCTCAGACCCGTGTAGGTCGTGGTAGAAGATGAGCTGGGAAGGCACAGAAGGAGGTCAGGGGAGACGCCCGGGACCCGGTGGCCAGGACAGGCAGTCCTGTGCCCCCCGCCAGCCTGCCACACTGAGCAGCCACAGGGACCCGAAGCCTGGAACCCGGGGCTGAGGAGAACAGCAGAGGCACCGGGCACAGCCAGAGGCCAGGAAGTAGCCTGGGGAAAGAGCAGGGGTGGGAAAGGGTGGGCCGGGGGCTAGGGCTGCTGCCCAGGGCCCCCAGGGGGCCACACCCTATGTGCTGTTCCAGCTGTGGTCTCGGCACGGCCAGGTGAGGCGCTCGGGGTGCTGGGCCCGGTCTGGCGCTGTGGTTCCAGCCCCAGCCCTCCAAGTAGTTCCACAGGCCCAGCCCCGTCTCAAAGTCGGTGGACATGTGGTGGCCTAGGGCGGGAAGCAGGCTCAGGCCACTGAGCAGGGCCCCCGCCCTGTCCCTGGCCTCCTGGGATTCGGAGGGCCTCGGGCTCCATCTCTGGACACAACCCGCCAACCCGGGGAGGACCAATCAAGGCGCGGCCCCCTCCCATGCTCTCAGAATGAGAACCCTGGCTCACTGTAAGTGGGCGTGTGCTCATCTGAACTGTCTCCACAGTCACACTCACCGTGGAACAGCGGGTGGGGCTGCACGCAGGCCTCGTTTCGGCAGTGGTGATGCCCCTGGGGGCAGCGTGTCTGGGGCGCTGCGTGGGGGAGGGGTAACTGTCACCCTGGCCTGAGACCCAGGGGGAGGGCGGCTAGGGGTGGGTCTCGAGACCTCCTGAGCAGGGAGTAAGCAGCTGAGGGGCTCTGCCACTCTGCTGCGCCCAGCTTGGGCCCACGTGGGGGGTCTTACAGGGCAGCCCACAGCCCTGGAAGGCCATGTCATCCAAAGCCACAGCATCCCTGTGGGTGACGTTTCGGGTGGCAGAGGTCAGCTGAAGAGAACACGGTCCTTAGGACCTAAGCCAGGGCTCAGACCCAACCTTCATCCCCCCCACTTCCCCGTCTAGAGCACCCTCTGGCTCACCCGGAAGTGGCCCCCAGATACAGCCAAGGGCCACCACCAGCTTCTGCCAGCCAGGACCGCAGGGCCCTGGGCTCTGCCACAGGGCCAGCGTCTCAGTGCTGCGGGTCAGCTCCAGCCTCAGCTCAGCCACCTCTGTAGCGGGGGGTCACGGAGCAGCTGAGCCCCTCCAGCCCCCTCCTGCCTGCTGGCTGCGCCCTGCCCCTGCTCTGGGGCACACTCCAGCTCTCTGCAATGGCCAGCCTTCTCTTCCTGTCCCTCCCTGCCCCTCCCGCCCTCTCTTGGGGCACACCACTGCAGGGGGCGGGGGCGTGTGTGCAGGGGTCGCAGGGTCCTGGGCGCACACCTCCAGAGGCTGCATGGTGCCAGAGCCTCAGCTCACAGGCAGGGGCTGCCTCACGTAGCACAGGGGAGCACCGGGCTGCAACAGATGCCTCTTTCCCAGGATGGGTGCCACCGGCCATGCACGAGCCTGGACAGGCAGCCAGGTCAGGAGATGGGGCAGGAGTCAAAGCAGGGAGGGGGCAGCACAGGAACCCAAGAAGGGGGGTGGCCAGGCCTCACCCAGGTCAGTGCCCAGAGTGTGGTCTGAGCGCAGACCGGGGCCCCCAGCGCGGCTCCCGCCTGGTCCCGCGGCTGCAGCCCGAGGTGCTGATGTCTCGCCAGCCCCAGGAGTCCTACTCAAAGTCGCAGGTGAAGGGGGTGCTCCGGGCGTGCGAGACCCCACTGTGACCTGGGACAGTGGAGAATGAGGGGAGCTGCTGGCCACTGGCCTGCCCCCCCACCCCATGGGCACTGGCTCACTGCGCTGGATCTCCTCGGAGCAGTCCCTGCAGTCACACACGAAGTCACACACGGTATGGCCTGGGGTCCCACAGTGGCTGGGGTCCAGGCCCAGCCTGGAGGCCCTGCTGCCAGGGAATAGACAGCCGGGTGGTCTCAGGCAGGGGGTCTTTCCACTTCCTGGTATGGCTGGGAGGTCCCAGGTCCCAGAACCCTTAGGCCTGGGAGCCCAGGCTGCTGGTGTCCCACTTTGGGTTTCAGAGTGGGGTCAGAAAGGCCCAGGGTGGCTGGGCCTGTGGCTGGGGCGCCCTGTGCAGGCCAAGCAGAGTGTGTCTGGCCCTAGAGAGGCTGGCTGTCAGTGTGGAGGGATGTGCGCGTGCCTGGGCCCAGTGGCTCCCCATGCGGGACACCCCTGGGGGTGGGGAACGGGACCCCTGCAGGCAGGGTGCCCCCGAGGGGATTTATCAGTGGGTGACCCAGACCCCCCAGTCCAGGAGCATGGCTCTGCCTCATGGCCCTCTCACCTCGGGCCTGGGCGAGCAGGAGCCTTGCCCTTCCCTAGCAGGCAACCCCCGAAGCAGGTCACCTGGGGCCTGCTACCCAAGTCCCTAGCCAGCCCTGCTTCAGGAGCCGGGCCCGATGACTCACCCAGGAGCAGGACCAGGGCAGGCAGGATCTGGCCGGGCAGAGGCATGGTCAGGCCACAGAAGTAAGGCTACGAGCTGCATGGGCCCTGCGCAGCCTGGTGGGGACTTTGGCCGGTTTCCAGCCCTCACCTGTACGCATGGACTCTGCTCTAACTTGGAGAGAGGGCCCCGGCCCCTCCTGTACCTGTGACCCCTCTGCCAGCCCCACCCTGGCTGCTGAGGGTGAACTTCCGGTCGTTAAGTGTCCGAGAGAGGCGCCTATGGCCCAGGTCAGCTTCCCACCAGTGCAGCGCCTCCAGCCTTGCCCCAAACGCCCTGCTGGAGGCAACTCCAGGAAGCACTGGCTGCAGCCACTTCTCCCAGGGCTCTGTCCCCACCGTGGCTGTGAGGTCAGCCCGGCCCAGGCTGCCAGCAGGAGCCCGGCCTGTGCAAACCCGTGGAGGGGGGCCAGCAGCCACAGACCTCAGCCACCTCCATCTCTCTCTCAGTCTGTGGTTCCTGTTCACTTGCTCACTCATCAACCATCAATTCCTCATGGGCAGCTGTCCTAAGCAGCATGGCTGGGTCCCCAGGGGCCCGCTTCTCACAGCACAGACCACAGATCCCCCCACCCCTGTGCAGGGTTGAGAGCCAGGCTCTGCTGGTCATTGACGCTGTGACCCGGGGGCCTGGCTCCCTGAAGCATTCCTCATTGGTACATGTGGCCGGCAGAGAGGCCGCCGTGAGCTTCCTGAAGGCACACCTGTGTTCTCAGTGGGCCACAGGGACAGCTGCACCTCCCTGTGCCTGGGAATTTCCCACAGCCCTGCACCAGCAAGTGGGGAGCTGCTTCTGGGAGAGGGGCTCCCAGCTTCATGTCAGGAGGCTCTGCCCGTTCTCCTGGGCTGTGGGCCCTGGTCATAGAAACAAGGGGTCACAGACCAACCATTCTTGGTGTGCGACCTCAGCTGGCAGAGCACGTGGGCACACTGGAATAAGCCTCCAGGGCAGTGGTCACTGGCCTCCTCCCTGCATGGCACCCCCGCCGCAGGCACCAAGGGACCAGGCACTAACTTCTTGTGCAAGAGTGAGATGGGCATCCTCCCAGAGGTCCTTGGATGTAGCAGCCACGAGGAGAGGCAGGCCATAAATAGGGACAGCAGCCAGCGGTGGGGGGACCCTTATCAGACCCCAAAGGGCTGACTGTGCACTGTCACTCCCTGGGGCCCCCAGAGGTGGAGCTGGATGAGGGGCAGCCCGGAGGGGACCTGCTGCCCCCAGGGCTGCCTCTGGCTCTCTGCTACCTGCCCTCAGGGTCTTGAGAGATGACCTCAGGGTCTTGAGAGATGACCTAGGAACAGAGAAGCCAAGATGCACAGCACCCAGGGACCCAGCTGAGGTGACAATACTTTATTTAATTCCAGTTGGCGAGGTAAACCTGAGCCCTGGGCCAGGCTGGTGTCTGTCCCCGAGGTCTGTGCAGGGTGGCAGGACGCTGGGACAGGGCGGGTATGGAGGGGGCTTCAGGGGCAGAGTCCTGAACGGGCAGCTGGAGTCAGCAGGCCTCAGGGGCCCTCAGTAGCCGTCATCAGCCCACGTGACCTCGTAATCAGGGTACCTGGCCTTGATCTTCTCAGTGGAGACGGAGTGCTGGGCCCGACCAAATCCCTGAAGAGAAACAGCGTTTCTTACAGCCCGTGTGCTGGCCCGTGTCACAGTTGGCTGTGACGCTGAGAAGCCAGATCGGGGCAGGGGCTCCAGAGCAGGGCCAAGTGCAAGCATCCTCCAACCACCCCAGGTCGCCACCAAGGTGAACAGACCTCGTAGTGGGGCCCTTTAGCACAAGGCCCAAGCTCTTCCAGGTGCTGAAAGAAAGCCCCTGAGTTTCCACTGGTAGCTTGGTAAAGGAAGAGGGAGGGGCCTCTGAGTTTTACCCCAAAACTGACGACTCAAAGGGCTGGGGGGCAGTGACAGCACAATCAGGCTCTTGGGGCAGGGGCAGGACCCAGCCCCCTGTCGCTGCAGGGCAGGCAGTGGTCTCCCTCCCACCCTGTCCACGTGGGGAACAGGGAGGCTGCGGGCCGGGAGTGAGTTCTGCAGCTGAGACAGTAGCGAGAGCAGTCGGGCGGCTTGGAGGGCCGGCCGGGCCTGCAGCCTCACCATGGAGTAGCCATACACGTGGATCTTCTTGTCCTGGCTCTGGTGGGAAATGCGCCCGCCTCCCAGGCACTCGCAGTCATAGCCCTTCTTCTGCATCTCGCCAGATACCTTGTCGTAGATGTCGGCTGGGACGGGGAAGAGTGCAGCACTCAGCTCTGGCTGCCCTTGGCCAGGGGTCCGAAGCCCCAGCTCTGAACAGCTGATACCCCAGGAAAGGAGCCCCTCCAAGCTGGGGAGGGGAGGAGTCCCTACGCCTGAGCAGGGGCGCAGGACTGAGAGAGAAGGGTCGGGCCATGGTAGCCTCTAGGCCCCAAGCGCCCCAGACCCCGCGCGAAAGCCCCTCCCACGACGCCCCTCAGCCCCGCCCACAAACGCAGCGGCCCCGCCCCTGGTCCTCATCTCCGCCCTCACCGTGGTACTCGGCCCACTTGTAGCCGCGCACGATGTCCTTGCTCTCCCCGGCCGGGGCCTCGGACGGCGCTGCCGCGCGGACTCGAATCAGCACGTACTTGAAGACGCCGTCCGGGTCGATGTCCACATCGGGAATCTGGGCGAGGTCCGCCGCCGCCATGTTCCCCGGAGCTCGCCAGCCTTTGCAGCCCTCCGTACTCCCCCCACGCCAACCGGGGCTGCGTCGACAGCGCGAGAGGCGGGCCCTGGGAGCCCACAGCCAATCCCGCGGCGGCATGCAGCCCCGGCCCTCAGCCTCAGCCAATCGTGCCGCCAACACGCAGCACAGACTGGCCAATCGTAGTCCAGCTTCTCGCAGCCTTTTGGACCTCGGGACTCCCACTTAAAGGGGAAAGTAAAATCAGGAGTGGGTCGTGGTTAAAACCAGGCCCCTTTGAAGGTGATTAGGTGACCCATGAGGCCGGAGGGACCCGCGCCGGCTCTGACAGCCTCCCCATCCCACCTTGTCCGTAGGCCGTCCTCCCCCGTCCCACCCAGCCCCGGCACAGTGAGGCAGCAGTGGTTACATTCGAGTTTTTACTTAGTTCGAAAAGCACTCGCTCCCTGGAAACAGTATGCTCCAAGGTCCTTCCAAACTGTACGGCCGGAAGGCCGGCCGCAGGCGGAGGTCCGGGGGCGGGTGGGGCGGCGGCCAGATTTGGGCAGGCGAGAAGGCGAATAGGACAAGCGGAGCGCGTGGCCGGTGCAAAGTCGCGGAGCCGAGGCGGACGCGCAGGCGTGTGGGGGCGGGAGTCACGGGGCTTTCGGTTGGGGGAGAGAGCCCGGAATGAAGGCGTTCAAAATTTAATTCAATGGATGCCCCTTCTCGGTCCCGATAGGGTGCTGGGAGCTTCCGAAGGGCCCTTGTGGGTGCCCGGCCTCACCCTCTCTCCCGGACACTCGTTCTCCAGGGAGCCCGAGCCTGGGCGGGAGGTCGGGCTAAGGGCCAAACTTGCGCTCCCGCGGCCCGGAGCCGGGAACCTAGCTACATATTTCCAGTTAGCAACACAAGAAACTAACGCACAGATCCAGCGCCTGGGCGGGGAGCGTTTGTGTAACGACGTTTGCCCCGCCCCGCCCCTCGGTTTGCCCTGACCAATTAGCTTGTGTCTTCACTCGCTCCCACCCACTCTTTCCCCGCCCAGTTCCCCACCAAGGAAACCTGTCCTCTGGTCTCCATATGCCATCGCGTAGGCGCTCCTCCTGAAGTCTACCCCCCACCCCACACCCGCCCTCGGTTTTCGGGCCCCCCTGTGAGGTTAGATCCTGCACTGTTGTTTGTGAGCCTGGCCCTGGCACCCGACTTGGGCCAGTCTGTCGGGTGTGGGCAGACAGCCCGACTCGCCCTGCCAGGTCTCCGCTCTCGGCTGGCGCCTGCCAGCGCCCCACCCTGACCTCTACACTGATCCTCCTCCCCTCTGGCTGAGTGTCCTGCGCCTTGGCCTAAGACTTCCGAGTCCCCCTCCACTACCGCTCGCCTCAACCCCTGCCGCAGGGCCGCAGGGCCGCAGGGCCGATGGTGAGGGAAAGTTGGCGGGTAGCTCTGAAAAACGTGTGGGCTCGGGGGCCGGCTTGTGCCCGCTCCAGCCGGAGCTAGGACCAGTAGAAACGCACCGTGCCCCACCTGGGCAGGACGTGCTCGGGACACGGACACACCGAGACCGACCAGGTTGTCCTCCAGAGAGGAAAAACCTTTGAACTGGACGCAACCCAGACTTCAAGAGGCGGGCGGGGGGGGGGGGCGTGTTAAGTGGTACGGGACTAGGCTTTGGTGAACTCGAGCTCCTGGACCAGAGCGAAGCGGGCCTGGGGAGGTTCCAAGGAGGCCCTTGGACAGGGGACGGACGGACAGACCGGATCTGCGCGGTGTGGTCTGCAATAGTGATCCCTCCGCTGAAGGCAGGGCCGGGCGGTCCTCAGGCCCACCCCGCCTCCCAGCGGGGAGCACCAAGTGGCCAAGGACCTGCCTCTGGGGAAGCCGGGGGAAGAGCTGGGGCAGGGGAGTCGCAGTCCGGCAGGAGGGCAAGGCAGAGCCTGTAGAAAACACAGCGGAGTGGGCGTCTGGGCGGAGCTCGGGGCGAGTAGGGCGGGGACTGGGAGAGTTTGATACCGGGCTTAGGCGAGGCAGGGGCGGGGTCTACATGGACACAGCCGGTCCTGAGTGGGCTGGGCGGGGCTCAGGGCTTCCCTGGGTGGGCGGGTCCTGAGTAACTTGGGCGGGGCCAGAGGGCGGCCCTGGGTGAACTGGGCCGGGCCCTAGGTGGATCCGGTGGGGACAAGGCGCAACCCCACGCCTCACATGATGTCATCGAGCAGGTTGGCGCTGGCCACCCAGTCCAACGCTCTAGGCTCGGAGGCGGCCATGATCATGCACATGAAGGGGCGGCCAGTGCGCCGGTCCGTGGGGTAGATGGTGGTGGGCGTGAAGCGCCGGTTGGCCTCGACGAACTCACAGAGCTGCTCGTAGACGTGCGGGAACTCGTGGCGCAGGAAGACGCCGCGCAGTCTCAGCTCGCGCTGGATGTGGATGAAGGCCACCTCGCGCGCGCGCCGGCCTGCCTCTCCGTCCTGGTCCAGGCCCGCTGTGCCCGGTGGCGGCGTCAGAATCAAGGTCTCCATATCGGGCTCGCGACCCCGCGCCGGGGGAGGCCGCGCCGGGCTGCCGGCCGCAAGCGCCACCTTGGCAAACTTGCGCACCGTGGGCCCAGGGCTGCGCGGCGCGGGCCGGGTGGGAGCGCCCGGAGGTGTAACTCCGGGACCTACGGCCACGGACACGCTGAGCAGGAAGCACTCGGCCGGCTCGTAGAGACGCCCTGCAGCTGCCAACTCACGCGCGTAGCTGCCCAGGGGTGCCGCGTGCGTGGCCAGCTCGCGCAGGGACAGGTAGGTGGGTGACAGCAGCAGCCCCTCGAGCCCGAAGCGCAGAAAGTTTTCCGCGGAGCCAGGACTCGGGAAACCCAAGAAGAGCACGCCGCGGCCGCGCGACAAGAAGCCTACACGTGCGATGCGTGAGAAGGCGCGGTGCACCGGGCCACTGTCGCGGCAGAACTGTAGCACGTGGCGGCACACGCTGCCCACGCGGCCGTACACGCAGCGTGCCTTGTGCGCGTCCCAGTCCTCGCGGCGGCACAGGCGCGAGCAGTAGTAGGTGTAGCAGCTGTGGCAGGACTTGAAGTAGAGGCAGGCATTGAACATGGTCTCCGTGCGCCGGCAGCGCGCGTTGGAGCACGTCATGAGGTCGTCTTCGTCCGCGCTGGGGTCCGGCGACGCGTCAGCCGTCTGTCCCGGGCCCGCAGCGTCCTCGACGCTGCCGGCAGATGCCGGTGGTGAGCGCGGCGCCAGCGCGGGGGCCTCGGGGCCCGCGGGCCGCGAGTTGAGCAGGCGGCGAAGCTGGCGGCCCAGGCCATCGGCCACAGGCTCTGGTCCCTGACCGGCCGTCGGCCGCGAGTCGATCACCAGGTCAGTGATGAGCTCATCCAGCTGCTCGAGGCTGCGCTGGCGGCCAGGAGTGGGGCCGTCAGGGGCGGCAGGCGCAGGAGGCCGCGGGCGGTTCCGGGGAAGCTCCCAGCCCCTGGCGGTCGGGCCCTCAGAGGCACGCAGGTCGTTGTCCGTGATGGTGATCTCGGGTGTGACGTACCAGTTGCGGCCCAGGCCCTCCCCCGACCGGCCCTTCTCGGACAGCGACGTCTCGGACAGCGACAGCGCTGCGTAGCGTCTGGGCGAGGTGGACAGGTTCACGACGACTGGCGGGCGCCGGCCTTCAGGGTACGTGCCCAGTGGTTCCCGCACCTCCGCTCTTCCCAGCAGGTTTTCGTAGCTGCGGCCGCGGCCCAGGGGGTCCTCGCGGCGCGGTGCGGGCGCCAGGATGTTGTCCCAGGAACGTGAGTAGTGGCGACTGTCGGTGGCCAGCCGTGGCGGGCTGGTGCCGGTGCCACCATGCCAGGAAGCGAGCAACGGGCCAGGGTCCGGAGGAGGTGCCACCTGCAGAGTTCCGTAAGGCCTCATGCCCCAGTCGCCCCAGGCCAGGCTGCTACGGGGGTGTGGGTAAGTCCTCGCCAGGGCGTCTCGATCTCGGTACCGCCCAAAGTCCTCTGTGTAAAATGGTCGGATGGTGGGGTGGGCCTGGGCCTCCTCCGGGGAATAGTGGGGTCCCCAGGGTGGGCCATAGGCTCGGGGGCCCTCCCCGTAGTAGGAACGGGAGGGCGGTTGGTGGACCGGAAAAGTGCGCACGTCCCCTGCATAGTAGCCTCCCCCACGCCGTGGACTGGGCCCCCGGGGCTCCTCGGGATGCAAGGGCCTGGGGAAATAGCTGTCAAAGGCAGGGCCTGGGCTGGCTGTTAAGCCGCCCGGGTGACCCTCGGCCTCCTCTGTGTAGAAGAATTGGGTGGGGCCTGGTGGGGTGGTGAAAGGCAGACTTCGGCGCTCCACATAGTCTCGGGGCCCCGGAAAGGGCCCGTCGCAGTACAGCGCCCGAGTATCCGTGCAGTACAAGTCACTGGGGGTGGGGGTGCGCGACAGTCCCACATGGCGAGGCCCGGGCACCGTGAGACCGTGGAGTTGTGGAGCGGCACGGACCCAGGGTGTGGTCTCCATGGGCCCGCAGGGCCGCGAGCTCCGGGCGGCGTGTTGCAGCACCGCGTCGTCAGGCTTGATGTCCAGGCGGCAGCGGACGTGGGGGGCAGGCCCGGAAGGCGGCTCCGGTGGTGCGCAGCGGCCGGCGGTGGCGCACAGGGGAGCGATGCGGCCTGGCCCGCCGCGCTGCGGCTGCAGCTTGATGGGGTGCAGCTCATTGGCGAGCGCGCGCATCGCAGGGTATGTGGGATCCCGGCGTGGGGATCCCTCCGCCCGCGCCGCCCTTTGGACCTCCCGGCCTCGGCGCGGCTGCACCGGAGGCGAGGCTGGAGCCAGGCCTGGGGGAGCGCGGGGCGCGCTCTTGGAGCGGGCGCGGCGCCGGGGTTCGCTGTCGCGGGGCCGGGCGCGTGGCGGAGGGTGCTCCGGGGGCGGTGGCTCAGGGAAGGTCTCCATGGCTGCCCCGTCCAGCGCCTCCAGGAAGTCGAAGCTGCGGCAGTGGCGCTTGTTGAAAGGTGCGGGAGCAGCAGGCCGGGCCATGGAGCGCTCACATGGCGGGCGCCTGGACGCGGGCCCCGGGGTCGCCACCTTGATGTCCTGATACACGGTCGACACCAACAAGTCTGGCGGGTCCGTGCGGGTCATCTTAAAAGAGGCCCCCAGGCTGGCGGCTGCAGCTCACTCGGCCTTGTGGGGCTTTTGCCCTGTAGGGAGACACGAGTCAGCATGGCCTCTCTGAAGCCCAGACCCAGGCCCGACTCCCCGCTCTCCCGCGCTGGCCCCACTTACCTGGGGCGCAGTGGGCGGAGCAGCCCTGGCTTGGGGCCTTGGCTGAGGCCGCAGGCACTTGCTCCATGCCGGAGTCGGAAGCCCCTGCAGGAGGAACCCAGCTGTCCAGCCACTCGGGTCTCCCACCCCATCCTTGTTGACCACCTTCTGCTGGGACGAAACTGGGATGGGTTGGCTAGAAAGGCGATGCCCGTGGCCGTGGAGGCAGGCTTGGTCAGACCCCCTTTCCCGGTACAGGTCTGGGTGGGAAGAGGAGGGGTGTGGGCCCAGGGCTGCCCCCTGGTGCCCGTGGCTGGAATGACCGTGAACTCATTTGTAGAATTAGTACAGATCTCTTTATGGCAGCCGGCTCTGTCACCCATCGGTGACAAAAGCGCCCGGAGCACCCAGTGCAGAGCGCGCCCTCCAAGGGCTCTGGTCTCAGCCGTCTCTGCACAGTAGAGTCTCACGCCCCACCTGCTGACGGGGCTGCGCATGGAGCCCCTCCCCCAGCATAGCAGTGCCACTGCACTGGGGACAGCTGGATGCTCCAAGCCCCAGTTCTGAGTTCCCAGTGGGCCCTGAGGTGGCCCCATCAGGTCCAGGCATGGCCCTTAGGCTGACAAACTGGTCTGTTCCACCCTTAACACTTGGTATGGCCCCGGCCAGAATGATGTCCCCAAACAGCACATCTGGGCCCTAAAGGCCCCTCTCCTTTGCAGAAACCCCTGGCTCCAGCTATTTTGGGGTGATTCAAACTCACCAAGCTCACTGGGGTTTCATGACAAGGCTGGGAGAGTGGCCCCTGGCTCTGCAGCCTGTGTGCCGCATGCACCCCTTGGCGCTGCGAGACAACGTGGGAGCCAGGGCTCCTGGCTGCCCCTCTTCCCCTGAGTAGGGAACCTGGCCAGGAGGCCGGCTGTCTGTGGGGGAGGCGGGGTGGTGGGTGGTTTGGGCTCCACCCCTTTCTCAGGAGAGGCCCCCCCAAAGCATCTCAGGAAGTTTCCATGGAAACCCGAGGTTCCACGCCCCCGCGATGCAGCTGGGTTGGGGTCCACCCTCCTGTACTGGGCTCACATTCAGACTTAGGCCACCAGCCCCTCTGTGGCGCCAGGGCCCGACAGGCTGGTGGGGGGAGGGGCTCAGATATCGCTAAGAGGGCCGCAGCCCTTCACACAGCCTGGGGAGTGTGCCCCTGGGGGAGCTGGGGAAAGGGGGTGCTGGGCCTTCTCCTGTCAGGACTTCTGGTCGGTAGACCCTGTGCCCCAGGTGTACAAGGGGCTGCTGGCCAGCAGGGCGTCTCTTCTGGGTCAGCGTCACCAAGGTCCAGCGCTTGCCCCCATCCAAGCCTGCTGTCCACCCCAACTCTGTCCCTGGTTGGCAGGACCACCCCCCATCCCCCCTCCCCTTGCTCCAAGCCAGGCCGGAATCGGGCCGTAGGATCGGGTGAGGCTCCGCCCCAGAGAGGTGATAGCCTGGCCTCGCCGCTGCTACGGTGAGAACGACACCCACCCTATGGGGCAGGTGGTCGCCCCGCTTGGGTCCTAGGCCTAATGAGCTTCGGGGTAGGCCTTCGCACGGCAGACCCTGACCCCCAGTCCCCGGGCGCCCTCGCAGGATGGCCGGGGGCGGGACCCCATCCTTGCGGGTGCCCACCAGAGGCAGCATACGGGGCAGCAGCTTCCGACCCCTTACCTGATCGCTGCTCCCCCGCCGAGCCGGATGCGCTGCGCAGGCCCAAGCCCGCCCACCAGCCCCCGCGCCCCCACGTCCCCGCCGCATCCGCGCCGCGTCCCCGGCACCGGCAGAAGCTTCGAGGCAGCGGAGCGGAGGCTGTCCGTCCGCTCGGTGCTGCCCCAGGTGGCAGCCGGCGGAGCTGCACTTAAAGGGGCCGTGCCTGGGGCCCAGGACCCAGGTGGCCCCTGGCTCCGCACTGGTGCTGGGCTTGGAGCTGCAGGAGGCGCCGTGGGGCACCCATAAAGTGCAAGCCAGAGGTCTAACCAGGGGACCTTCCGGTTCTGCCGGCTCTCACTGGGCAGCTGGCCATCTGGAGGGGCGAGGGAGCAGGGCTCTGGAGGAGCCCTCCACCCTGGCCGGGGTTGTGGACATCTCCCGGAATTCACACCGGGGCTGCGCCCAGGCACGAGCAGATGGGCTGCCCTCCACCCGCCCTGCTGGCTCTGTGCTGCGGTACTGAGGCGCCAAGCTCTCTGCAGGTACCTGGGGCCATATGGTCCCCAAGCTGGACCTGGGCCTGAAGCCTTTCCTGGAGATTCTCGACTGGTGGCCCCCACCCCACCCAGCATCTGGTGTCCCAGCCCTGGACAGGTGGGCAGGTGGCAGGCCCTCCCCAGCACAGCGCGCTGCCAGGGAACGTTCCAGCTGGGCAGAGGGGCGCATGACACACACCCTTGGCGGCAAAGGGTGGGGACCTGTCCCGTCGTGGGTCTGAGATGTGGGCCCTGGGCAGGTTCACGGGCCCCATAGGGATGGTCTGCCTCACAGGCTGTGGGCCAAAGGGTGTTCCTGCCTATCAGCTGGGTGCCTGCCTAGTGACTGCTGACCCACAGCCCCTCACTCCTACCCCAGGTTCAGAAGCAGAAATTGAGGAAAGGGAGGGCAGGAGAGCACCCAGCCACCACCCTCCCACCAGGTGCTCGGCCTGCCCACCAGGAAGGCCAGAGGGGAGACTTCTGGAGGGGACAGGGAGGTAGTCAAGGCCAGTATGGAAGCCAGCAGAACATGGACACACCTACCCTCAGAGAACTGGCTACCCCCCATGTATTCCTGGGTGCAACTGCCCAGCCCCAATCTAGACGGCCTGGGGCAGACATGCAGGACAGTGACCACGCCAGCCCAGCCTGGCCAGCACGTGGCTCTCGTGGGAAGCCCTCCTACCCCAGGTGAAGCTGCCCTCCTGAGAACAAAGGCTCTGGCCCAACAGCAGGGAGCCCAGGGCGACCGGGGCAAAGGGGCCTGCAGGCAGCCCTGGGAACCGAGCAGCAGGAAGCGACACACAGACACGCGGTAAAACAAGAGAGCTTTATGGTCGGAGATCAGTGTGGAAGGAGAAAAAAGAACCGAGGGAACTGAGTGAAGACACCCCGGCCCCGGATGGAGGCGCACTGGCGTAGGCGCAACGCGGAGCGTAGGGCCGGCAGCTGTGGCGCCCGCGGGAATCTGGGCCGCATGCGGGATCCGGGCAAGCAGGGGCTGGGCGGCGACCACGGCGCTCCCGCCTCTGTAAACAGCCTTGCCGGCGCAGGGCCTTAGTCCCTCCCTGAGAAGCCGCGGGGCGGCGCTGCGCGGAGTGGGCGAGCCTGCCAGGGCGGCCGGCCTAGAGCTCCTCATAGTCCCCGCCCCCGCGGAGGCGGCCACCCGGGTCCCCGCCGCCCAGGAAAGCCTCCAGCTCGTCCACCGCTGTCCTCTCGCGCCGCCGCCGGCGCCGGTCTTCGCGGGGCTCCTCCTTGTCCTTGCCCTTCTTGTGTTTGCTCTTTTTCTTCGCAGTCTTGTCCTCCTGCGGGCGCGGCTAGCGTCAGCAGGGCACCGGGACCGGGCCCCACCACCACCCGGTCCCTGCACAGAGGAGGCGTACCTCTCGGCTTTTCTTCTTCTTCTTCTCCTTGGATGGAGGCTTATCTGCGCGGAGGGGACACATCAGCTCAGCCACCACTACAGGAGCCGCCCCTCCCCCACCCGCCCTTCAGCCTCCGCCACGACACCTGGCGCCGCTCAGTGGCTCAGTAACAGGCCCGGCTCCACGCCTCCCCCCACAAGCCTGGGAGGTCCTTGCCTCTCCCTCCCCAGGACCAGCTGACACTGCGCCTTGGGGCAGAGCTGGGCTCACAGTCCCAGGTGAAAGGCAAGGGCAGGGAGCTGGGGAGACTCCTCAGGCCTGAAGGCCATGCCAGCGTGTGGGTTCTCTACCTCCTGGGTGGACACCTGGCCAGCCCCCAGCCCCGAGTCACTGGAGCACAGATGGACCCCAACCAGGGCTGGGTGGGGAGCAGGCGCAGGAACACACGGCTGGCTGCGGGCCCTGCAGGGGTGGCCCTGTTGCTCTGAGGACACCCAGGGTGAGAAGGAACAGAAATGTGCCCCCTGGCGGCGCTGACCCAGGCTTCCAGCTACCTTCGCCACTGCTCGCCTTGTGACCGGTCTCCTCCAGCCCCAAGCCGAAGAGATCCACGTGGTCCTTCACCCTGAAGGATGGGACGCGGGGCTTGGGGGGCTGGGGCGGTGGTGCGGGGCCGGTGTCCTCCTCTGTGTCGTCCGAGGGTTCCTCTCGCACAGGGAACTCGTCCTGGAGGAGCAGGCGGGGACGCTGCCTCGTCACCCCGTGGTTGGGCTCTGCCACTTCCCGGGCAGGTGACAAGCCCCCTTGAGGGGCCGTACTTGACCCAGGGTCGGGGGACGGCAATGCCCGTGTGTGGCAGCCAGGATGTTGTCACCGTGGTGACACGGTGAGGGGCAGACAGGCCCAGGCTGGGGGGCTGCGCAGGATGGCCAAGGGCTCTGGCTTCAGGGTGATGTCCCCCAGGCTCCCGGAGCTCCCAGCCTTTCCTGCCTTTCCCCGTCCCTGACAGGGCCTTGGGGTTCCTCACCACTCTCGGGGGTACGTCCAGGTCACTCTCGAAGTCAGGGTCATCCATGACGAAGGACAGCATCTGGGCAGCGATGGGCCCCTCAGGGTCGCTCTCTGACGATGCTGTGGGTTCTTCTCCCTTCCTGTCCTCGGGCCCAAGAGCGGAGCCCTCGGCGGGGGCCCCGGGAAACTCTGCTGCCCTGGGGGCCGTGCGCCTGCGTGGCCCAGGGGCCTTTGCAGAGGACCTACCGGAAGGGGAGGTGGTTTGGGGCCCATGCCTGCCTCCCCCTCT